CCTCAGAATTCCACATCCTCTTTGAATTAAGCGTGGCTGTGGAAAGTAATGCAGTTGTCTTTGCGTATTGTCCACTATAGGTGCCAACGAGACACTACGTACCAATCGGGCGCTAATCTCCATGCTAGACCTTACCGACCATTCTTGCGTGTAACCCAGTTCAGAATTTCTGGACCAACCACAAGAGTTGCATTGATGTGTCCAAACTCTACATCAGCATTGCAGTCGGCAGCATTGTGACGGACTTCGTGCTGATAATTATTCCCATACCGTACGCCATGAGACTGACGATGTCTCCTATAAAGAAAGCTCTTCTCATATCGTCTTTTGTTTTTGGAGGCTTGTAGGTCATACCCAGTTCCTAAAACATTCAGCAAAGGGGCTTGTACCTCTTTTAATTGAACAAGAGCTTATGATAGCTTTCCATATAGCAACTGTTTTGTCACCATCATTCGGTTGATCAAGGTGACAAGTTTCACTTACGCCGATCCCACCTGGGGAACTGTCGATTTGATGATATGGACAGGGTTGGAGGCGTATTGGTAAGCCGATCCCCAGTCCTATTACCAAAAGAAAAGCAAAACCGAATTTGGACTAATTTTGGATAGTGCCGTCATATGCTGTTGCTTACCGACGCTGAGACCTTTGCTTCACATATATCGTTGTGGTAGCAATTTCATAGACATCGACCGCAATCCCGTCGACTCGAGCCTGCCCGACGTCTACCTCAAAATGCCACCGCAGATAGCATCCCGTTCATCCGAAGAAGCTCTTCAAGAATACGGCTTTGTAAAGCCAAGCCTCGCCGATTTGCGGGACTGTGGTCGGCAGTTAACCATCAGCAGGCTTGAGAGTCACCCTACTGTACATACACCAACATTGCCAGAGACAGCGCACAGCTAAAGATACCATTAGAATTAGTCTTTAATACGAGAGTACTTATTTCATTTCAAACGAATAATACCGATTAGATTATTCTGTGGAAAACATTGTCGTATTGAATAGTGTCATTCACAATTCTAGCGATATAGCTGTTGAGCTGAAGTGTTGATTATGTGTTCCGAGTTTGGGTTGAGTAATAACCTGTACCATGTCTACGCCCGATGTCTTGGAGGACTTACCATCGGTTTCATTCAATCCTAGAAATCAATTCGAATCGCGGCGCAAAGCAAACTTAATCTTTACCTATATTTACAGCGTTATTCTGCAATTATTGACCCGATTTGTACTAGCGTGTACGATGAAGCTGATGGGAGTCAATCATAAAGACTTACTGTGGCTACATCGGCCGCGTAGATCGTCCAGTTGTGAAACCTCCTAAACTGGTAAAACTAATCCGTGAGCAATGCCATCCCTTCCGTGGTGCATTGGGCAATGAAGATGGCTGAGCCAAAGAAATGGGAGAGAGAACAGGATTGATTCCCTCTTGCCAGTTGATAGCTTCTCTCTACTGATAGCTAGGTCAACTAAAGAACAGCCTCTGATAGGCTGTAACACACATCCGCACCCTATGAAGGGCTGCAGAGTATTACTCCTGCAGGCACGAGAATGCTGCCTGCACGCAGCAAGGGCAGTAAAAGATCCGAGAAAACAAGTACCAAGCATTGTTTTCTCACTCTTGCATGGTTTGATAGCATAGCAATGCCATCTTTATAAACCGACCGACCGACCCATTGAGTGTCATGATTCTGGTGACTGCAGTCTGACGGCGGACCTTAAGTCCGAATAGAAGCTACGTGTGAGAATGGCGTGCACCGAAAAGACTTAAACTTGATGCATGGCTTTGCAGTCAGGCGTGGCCGACTAAACCTGGCTTGCAACCCTCGGTACAGTGGTCGAGCAATACGTACCAGAGTCCAGTGGTAACTGACAGGCATACCTTGGAAGATGTTGACACCACTCGTTTTGGATAGAGTTTAAGGGTCTTTTTATCATTTCATTTGGACTTAGACTGCGACGCCGTCCTAGCTATCTCTAGGAATCTATGGCATTGTTTCTTTCTGAAATAGAAAAGACTCTCATAGATTTTAGTGTCAAAGCGGCCAGCCTCCTTCATACAACCGGTAGTTGACCGTGGAAGAGACTAAGAATGAGATGAGTCTCGCTCGATTTGGGCAAATAATGACTGGAATATTGATTTCGAGGGGTGATCATAAGGATGGAGGTCCTCTCAAACATGAACCTAGGACTCTTACCTAGGGACTCGATTCATTACGATTAACTACCTAGTCGTGTTCCTATCTCGAATTGACTCAGGAACTCTTAAAGTATCCGGCGGCACGAAAACCCGGTCTCTGGGACTGAACCACCGGATCGGGAAGCAAAGTAGCTCACGACATATCGTAGCAGTAATCAAGTCACATTATAGCGACTATAAACTCTGTCTATGAATTACCTGGCCATGTAGGTATCAAGAGATGCGTGTAAAGTCCAAGTGGTAAGATACTTCTACTTGTTGAAGTATTTGTAAATGGCATTTGACTCTACGCAGCTGGAGACCTCTTCATTCGCTGTTTACCGAATTGTAGAACTTTATCATATTGATGCACATGGAGCAAGGTATATCCCTCCGGTCTAATACCGAGAGGTTCTCACTGACAGCCACTCTCGGCTAGTAGGGTTCTAGTCACGATAGCTACAACCATCTTCCACAGCCTGGAATAGTATTGTCATGGGCCGATCACTTGGCGTTTCACTCATTACTCGTACATCTCACCCGTATAGGACCATTCTTTTCATTGTCATGTTTATAGAATTAAGCCTTTTGGACCTGAATTCTCTAATGCCCTGCCGGGTGCTCTAACTTATGACAGTTATAAGCCTAGCTCTACTAACATTATGCTATAATAGCCAAAGTGCTGTAACAGCTTGGTACCTTAAACACTATATAGGTTTAAGTCCTATAATTGTCTAAGGGCGATAAGGACTCCTGGCCAAAAATCCCAAATCCCCAGGGAATGTACAGTCCACACCACCTATGATTAGCGAGATGTACCTAACTAGGTTTCCTACTGCAAAAGAGTGTTAGATCTGACTTCTTAGGTCAAAATCTAGGGGGTGTGTCACGAGATATATAGGTGTGGTTACTGCCTATATAACTAACGGTATTGTTTTGTTACGTGACAGTTCTCGCTTTGGTAAAGACAGGGCTAGACTACGGGCCTCAGACGCTGTCATATCAGCTCGTTAACAGCCCTAGTCTCTAGGCAGCTAATAAACTGCCAAGCCGAGTACAGACATACGGATTACATTCTATTCAGGAGGCCGTCGGTAGCAAGCCACAATACCAGTCACGTCCTGCCAAGTAGAATGACAGGGTTGGCTTCCAGAAGATGCGCGAATTACTCTCAACACGATACCGAACCATTTGACACATGACCCTGGCCATTGGGTAGTGTTGTCGGAAACGGGTGAAGGAGAATTGGGCGCTGAGAGAATATTCGCGCGCGGTTCTGTCACCATTCAGAACCTTGGATGCCTTTGAGAATGGTTGGAACCGAAAGCGAGACTAGAACGTGGTCGCTACCGCAACATAATTACTATTACCCTGCGGTTTCCAGAGGAGGAGAGATTCAGTGTACGGATACTATGGTGCGGAGTACATTACGAAACGCTAGTCTATTTGATGCGACGATTGTTAGTAATAGCCCACTTGAGAGATGACACGGGAGACGCAATTCACCGAATCTATTTATTACCCAAGGAGAAACAACACACTGGCCGGCACTCAGGTAACCACACAATTGCAACTGGCGAGGGTGTATCGGGTGTGCTGTGCCGCGGTGTTGCATGAACGAGGCGTTATCAATGCACGATGAAAAGTCTAATTGGCAACCGACATTACCGAATCTTGTGAAATTTGTCTGCCATCGTATGATTAGAAAAAATTACGAAAAAAATCAGAATAGTTGGTGAACAGTCCTGGACGAGGGCCAAAAGTCAGGTCATGGCACATGGGGGTGGAGATGAAGTCCGTTGACAAGAAAACCAAGTGGAATGATCTAACGATGGACCCCTTGGAAAACAATGCTCATAGGTCCGTCCCGTGGGACTAATACATGGTGCTAGAGCCTTCAAATCTGGATGGCCTATTGCCGAAGGGGCCATGGCTCTGGGAGATATAGCTAGGTAGTGCGCCAGACAAAAATTCTGCAATTTATTTACCTGTACGATTTACAAGGGGTCTCGATTCTCCACTCCGCAAAGTTCTTAGCCAAGGCAATCTACTACGTTATTAGTAGATTTTCAGGGTCACCTCTTGGCTGAATGTCTGCGGGAGGCATTGTGGCCCGTAACCTGAGCGGGAGAAGAGACGAGACGGTAAAAGGAAGGTGAAGAATCTCATGTGTGTGGATTCTCGGCGAGGTTCTGCATGGGCGGACCTTTTTCATTTTTTTTCGTATCTTTGTTCTTCTTCTTCTTCTTCTTCTTCTTCTTCTTCTTCTCGTCATCCGGCTCTTCCTACCCTTACACCCCTTGACCAGTCAGGAGTATGGCATGGAACTTATGCCCTTGGCAGCATCGCTTCTGTCTTCCCAACTTGAGAACACCCGAGATGGACAATATTCCGGACCAATAGTCGCCGACAAGTGACCATCTACCAAAGTGCAAGCTGAAACTCGTTTGCTCGGGGCCGGAGTGGTCTCCGCCACAGACGTCGGGAAGCACAGACATCGTGGATCACAGGCGACAAGCCTTTGTCCTCCCCCCCCCTCCAGTTCCCGCGCGTGCAGCGTCTCCCTATGGCCGCTTGAGGGAAAACGTCCGTTAGGGTCTAACTCCTGCCGGTGTGTGTGTGGGCTGCGTGGCACAGTGGATAGGACGGAGTCCACCGGGATCCTCCCGCACTCTCCATGGGCCCCATGAGTGTAACTAGACAGGCGACCGTTGCTAGTGGCCCGAGTCTAGCCGGCCTTCACCACTGCAGCCCAGGGGCAAAGGAGGTGTGATTAGACTTTTGGTCCATTGCAATAGACGTACTCCGTAACAACCTTGCTGACATGGGGCCCTTTTGGGGGAGTGAAATTGGACAGCATCCCTAAGCTTTCCGAACTCGAAGCGCGAGGATAGCTCTTTGCCTAGCTATACCGCTCATACCACTGTGCTGTTGCTCCATTTCATCGGTGCCATTCGCCTGGCTGGAGCAATTGTGGTTGACTGCCTGTTTGCTGCAAAGTCACTCGCTACTGTCCCAATCTCCCTGTCATCTCCTTGCGAGACGAAGGTTCTGTCAACGTGCACCCCCCTCCCCCAATCGGTTTAAAGAAAGCACGCAGTGGCAAGCAGAGAAAAGCAAAGACACGAACGCACACATCAAAAACCACCATGGCGGACCGAGACCAGGTGTCAGGCCCCCTACCCGTCATTATCATTGGCGCGGGCGTCAGCGGCCTGCTGCTGGCGCAGTACCTGCGCAAGATAAACGTCCCCTTCCGCATCTACGAGCGCGACGCGGACCTCACCACCCGCGGCGTCGGCTGGGGCTTGACTCTTCACTGGTCGCTACCGGCGCTGCGGTCCCTGCTGCCCGAAGACTTGGTTGCCCGGCTGCCGGAGGCCTACGTCGACCGCGCCGCCGTGGCAAGGGGAGAGACCTCGGCGTTCCCCTTCTTCGATCTCAGCACTGGCGAGCTCAAGGGCGCAAGTCCCCGCGCGCCAGAGAGTTTGAGAATCAGAGTCACGAGGGAGAGGCTAAGGCGGTTAATTGCAACCGATGTCGATATCCAGGTATGCCACATCTTCTTGGACTTGACATGGTGTCTGGCAGCATGCGTTGATGCCGCTACCGAAAGCAGTGCTAAGTCGCAGCGCAGTGGGAAAAGAGCTTCATAAGGTACGAAGAGAAGCAGGACTCGGTCGATGTTCTCTTCGAAGATGGTTCATCGGTGACCGGCCGCATTCTTGTTGCATGCGACGGTGGCCCATCTCGTATCCGACGCCAGTTGTTCCCGGACCAGCACGAGAGATACCAGATCCCGGTCCGAGTGCTCGGGCTGAAAGTGTTCCTGTCGCCTGACCAGATGGCACCAATCCGAAAGCTCGACCCCTTCTTCCTTCAAGGGACGTCGTCTCGCAACGACACGTTTCTCTATCTCAGCAGTAAGTTTACCCACGCCGCATTTGATGGTCCCTGGCGTTTCCGCCATGTTTCCAGTATGCGCCGATGAAGGTCTCGACCACCCCTAATGCTGCTGCATTGGGATGTCCCTGTTTCCCTCAATGCTACCTTGTGCAGGGAAACCCTACTGTTGATGTTCCATTTCTTCAATCAACCGCCCCCGCGGGTGCATTTGCGAACCAAGAAACAAAGTAGCAAAAGAAGAAAAAAACTAACTCCAACGTTTTCCCGCATCGTAGTGCTTGATGCCCCAGGGAACAACGATGGGAGCACGGAGCAATACAGCTGCCAGATGTGCATATCTTGGCCGGATCGACCGGGGTTCTTGGGCAAACAGGAACCGACGGGTTGTCCTCAGACGAATGCCGGCAAGATCGAGCTCATCAAGTCGTTTGCCGAGGGATGGTCGGAGCCGTTTCGTGGGCTTGCACTCGGAATCCCTGATGACACCGACGTGAAACAGCTTGACCTCTACGACTACCCTCCGCCAAAGGGACTGAGGTCCAAAGGAAGAGTGTTGTTGATGGGCGACGCCTTCCATGCCATGGCGATGTGTAAGTAAAGCATCATGCTCTTGAAACCGCCCCCTCAAGCCGCTTTGGGTGGGAGGCGGCTTTGTTTTCTCCTCTTGGACCTAGCTGGTGATAACAGTCAAGGTACAACAGCTGACGGAACGCATAGACAGAGGTGAGGGCGCCAACCACGCTATTGTCGATGTCCTAGACTTCGCAGAGAACGTGACGCCCAAGCTAGACGCTGGCTTCGCAGATGTACGAACTGCCATCGATGCCTACGAGGATGAAGTCGTTACCAGAGCCCGATCTGGCGTGTTAGCTTCGAGACGGGCCTGCATGGATGCGCACGATTGGCCCAAAATAAGCCCTACGAGCCCCCTGCTGAGCAAGCGGGAAATGAAGTTGCACTTTGATGAGGAGTGATGTTATCGTAAGGTATAGAATAGATTATCTATTAATTGAGGAAGATTGAGATCGGGGACATCGTCTTCTCTGAAATGGGAATCGGCGTCATGCTGTGGAAACCTGTGGTGTCATGATAGCACGCAATTGTCTCCAGTTGCACTCCGCCCCCTCCCGCGCGGTGGAGAGCGATTCGCATGAGTCTGTGCTGTGGATGACTGGGTCCCCTTCGCTCCCGTCCGTGATATCCCCGATCCATGGTATAGTTTCCTTTGCCGAAGCGGGAGAGTAGTGCGTGGGATCGAACCAGATCAGCGAAGTCTGCAATAGGAAGTGATCGCTGTCCAGCAGCGAATCCCAAACGTGCCAAAATGCCCCATCATTGGTGCAGCGAATCTGATGACCATCTAATTACTATCTAGACACGTTAGAATGCACGTTTTCTGTAGAATTGCTGTTCTGGTGAGGGCATGTTGCGTAAGCTACAAGCGCTCAAAGATCCGAATCTCGCGAATCTCTTCGTCGTGGCCCAGACTTGCCAGACTTGTCATTCATCCTCTCTTCGACCCGAACGCTGTATGTCATAGACTTCACGATGTTCCCCGGAAGGATATTCTCTTCGCTATCGTTGCCGCCTTTGTTGTTGCTTGTCGAAGCGAAAACGCTCTTGTTGTTGTTGACCTCGCTGAGCTTGTATCTCTCGCCGCCCTGCATCTGACCCCGTCCATGCGAGGAGCCGCCTGAGTACTTTGAACGATAGTTCTTCGCCTTCCTCATGCATACCGGGGCGAGAAACGGCAGAGACGACACGATGTTCTGCCCGGGGCTCATTAGTACGGCTCCTGGCGGGTTGGAAGGGCCTGGGGAACAGCTTACGCCAACGTTGAACTCAACGGTTCCCCACAGAACCAGCATTGTGGAGTTTCCGTCGCCAAACTGGATTCGGTTGATTTGAAGGTAGCGTAGTATGGAACAGATGGTGGTGAAGAGACCAAGGAGGAATATGACAATGAGGCCGACTTTCTTTTCGATGCGGATATTGAGCTTCAGCAACACAGGGATGGGGAGAATTGCCACGATGACATCGGATACAATGGTGACGACGGCGTATGTCGTGAAAGAAGGGCCTGCTGGGAGGCAAGTCCCATCTTTGAGGGGGTTCCATGACTTATCGACAGGCGTGCAGGCAAAGATAAGCGAAAAGCTGCACGCCAAGTGGGAAAGGAAGACAATCGCAATTGTGAACCACACCACTTGACGGTAGCCTTTTGGATCGGTTCCCTTGAGTAGCCGTAGGTAACTGATCAAGAGGGCAATCTTGAAGAAACTAATACCGAGTTGATAGAACGGTCGCCCAGCAAAGTTGATGCGGGTATACTTGATAAGGTCTCCTTTGGGTCGTAGCTTGATGGGCAGACCAAGCCCGTATCTTGTTTCTAACACTCTTGCATTAGAATTGCCCTAAGGCCAGACAGTTTGATTGGATACACTCACGAGTAATGGTGAGGCCGGAGTAGATGAGAGCAAATACCACAGAAAGTGCCGACATCCAGTCGTCAGCTGCCAATCTTCTAGCGGTATACCGAATCCATAGTCGAGAGCCGACAATGGTTACAGACAGAAAAGACAGGACGCATGTGACGCCGACAATGGTTGGCCACTGTGAGATGGCTTCGACCTCGGGCGTGGCGTTGACGACCCAGCCCATGATGGCGGCTATGCTGGTGGCGTAACAGGTTCAGTCAACGTTAAAACGTTGAAAGCGGTTATGTCTGCTCCCGACGTTGAGTAGGTGGAAGGTTCTGAATTGCAGACGAGTGTAAGTCAAAACCGCCACGTCTCCTTTAGAACAGACAAACGCCAGAGCCGAGGGTCTAGTAATGGCGAGGTCGTTGTAATAAAAGACAAACAAAGCCGGACAAGGTTCAAGGTAAGAAAGTTAAACAAAACATGGGAGCCAGGACTACCAGCACTAGGCAAGGAACTCCGGACTTGAAAATTGCGGGGAGTACGCTCTACGGGCAGTGGTCTGATCAAGGAGAAGCTGGTCGGGACGCCTTCTACATCTATTATACGTTATACATTGTACATCGTGTCGCCTGTTCTTTCTCGCGAGATCACTTTACCCACTCGGAAGAAAAGAAGAGAGATAGAATAGCCAGGCCGTCTCTGCTGCCCCGAGGAGTCTGGGTAGAGACACAGAGTTGCTTGTATTCTCCATTCCTGTGGCCCCTAGTTAGCGCTGGTTGGTCATGACCTTGGAGTAGTCGGGACGGAGTTGAGGCACCGCGTAGTAGGCCCTTGCATCGTCAAACATCGCAAGGATGCGTCCATCTGGCTCAATATGATAAATTTGATAAGGTTTGGATGTACTAGGGCCGGCACCGGCATAACCTGGGTAATGCCCGCATAGCCCAATGAAGGGTCATCGACATGGGGTGGGGAGTCCCATGCAGGTTTCGAACCACGGGAGAAAACTAGTGATGCCGCTCTAGTTGCGCCGTTTGGGAATTCCCTCCCGGGTGATGTGTCGAATGGTTACACTAGAGGGAACACAGAGGGGCCCGTACCGGGGGAAAGGGTTAAACAAGAAAGAGAGAGGACTGCTTGCTGCGCCATTTTGCTCTTCATTGACGCTGGATATCTAGCATTGCATGTAGGTCATCGATGCCGCAGGTCTGGTTTCTGAACGTAATTATGAAGTTTTTCTGGGCCTCCAATCTGCCTTCCGTTGTACACCAGCCGGGGCTTGATCCGAAAGGAAGTTATGCAGAAAGGTTGACTGGAAAAGACCTCGGGATCGCTTTCGCAACTTGTGATAATGCCGAGTACGATTGCATGGCACAGTATGGTGGCAGGCCCTCCAATATCCCCTGTGCAAGGGTCCAATGGAGGTCTCGGTTAGACGACACTCGTCGACACTACACGGAGACATGGACCCGGTACAGCCAGGTGACTTAAGCGGCGTTGCATTTTTTGCTGCAGGCCGCGGGCTATGACATTCAAATTCGCCTCCGCTGGTGCTGCTACGCCGCTGTCTTGCATCTAGGCGAGAAGATGAGGCGAAAATTTCCGCTTCCGAAGTGTGCGGATGTGCGTATACGCATGCGAGACGCCTGGGACAAGCGGAAAGTTTAGCATCGTTCGAGATCACTTGAAATTGGTGGCTATTCTGTTTTTAGATGTCGGTTAGACCTCGCAAATGTATATATGCGGCCCCTTCAACATCGCTGTCCATACCAACCCAGCCGATGCATCCTTGGCGAGAATCTGTCCGCCCAAGGCCGACCACTTCACAATGAGAAACCCTAATTCCTCCCTATGCTGATGACCCGTGGTCCCTTGAGAAGAACCTGAAAAGATACAAGTAGGCAGACAGGGAGAGAATACGATCCATTGGTGGAAGGCCGCTAGGTCATATTTCCGCATAGGCATGGAGGAGGAGAGCGGGCCGATTCGGCGAGAAATCGACGAGTTAGCATGGGCGATTGATCATAAACTAGGGGGACTGCCGCCGGATGCGAACGGAATACTACTTTTCTGCTACATAGGTCTTGAATGGAAGAAGACCTCGCGGCGTGCCAAGCACCAGCTGTTGTTTGGCTGCGACCCTTGGCCAGGAATGCACCATCCATCGGAGATCCGGATATTCCTCACCTATCATCGTCGAACGGGAGGCCCAGGCCAACCAGGCTCAGGCTGGGTGTACCCGGTTAGCCGGGGTTGCAACGTCAGTGCTCCGGCCCAAGCCGGGGCCCCCCCGGCCCCTGCTCCGACCCGCGCCGTACCCCTGTAGATTCAAGCGGGGTCGAGGAACTGCACCGGGTGGATAGGGCACTTGAACCGCTCGATTGTTGCGCCGGTAGCTGGTTGTGATGGGTTATACGAAGTATCCTCTTGAAATTTGGTACTGACATGGGTATGACCGTACAAAGGCGCGCATCTTGCAGCACCATACTGCGTGGGTGGTCTCAGCTGGTATTTCCGTTCTCATGTATTCCTCCTGGCAGAGTTACATCACGGCTCGAATATACTAGTCCATCAGTCGTATCACCTTTTGCCCTTCTTTACTGTACTATTCTCACCCTATTCGTCCTACCACCATCCCAGCCCCCTTCTTACGATATAGCTTTGTTGCCATCTTTTCCCATCTGACACCTGCGCAGATCGCAAGGAGATATCTGCAACGTTCTTTTGTTCTTCCCAAACCTGCAGGTTCCTTGTCGAGTACAGGACAGACAGATAGCGTTTCGTTTCCATCGCTTCGCCCATTCTTTCACTTTCTGGCCTGGTATATCGAAGGCCGGCCATGTGCCATCTTTCCTCCGCTCTTGATTGTCACCCTCTTTAACAACAAAGAGAAACGAACTCAACAATGTCTACGGAAGAGAAGCAGCCCCAGGAGTTAGTGAGCTCGGCCTCGTCCGAATTGAACGCGTCTTCAGGCAATGTTGACGCCGCGTGGAAATATCTCAACGACCACCGCGATGCCGGGAACGACACGACCTCCGTCGACATCAATGCGCTCAGGCGCAAGATCGACTGGCGTATCGTGCCGCTGATGTTCCTGTGTTACACCATGCAGTTCTTGGACAAGGTCATCCTCAACGTACGTTGCCCTATCTTGAGTGCTTGCTTGGTGTCTTTTGAGGCCCAGGACTCCCCTTAAAACATCGAAACTAACCTGCTGCATGACGGTAGTACGCTGCTGTGATGGGATTGCCCAAAGACTTGAAGCTGGTCGGCAATGAGTTGTCCAACATCGCCACCTTCCTCTTCGTCGGTCTCCTTTGCTTCGAGATCCCCAACAGTGCGTAACCCCATCCATCTCCTTATATGCCGGAAAAGGAGATGATCGAGAAAACCGAGTTATGAAACATCACTCAAACGGACAAACTACAAGCGCAAAGGTTGACAATTTGTTTCAGTCTACTTTCTCCAGATGGTCCCGGCGGCCAAGTGGCTAGGCTTGAACGTCATCCTTTGGGGTACCGCCACTGCCTGTGGTGCCGCCGCGCACAACTACCAGACCCTCCTCGTCTCGCGCGTCTTCTTGGGTATCTTCGAGGCCACCATCGGCCCGTCGTTGATGCTCATCAGCTCCCAGTGGTACACCAAGTCTGAGCAGGCCCCGCGCTTCTCCTTCTGGTACCTTGGTCTCGGCCTGGGTCAGATTATTGGCGGCTCCATCTCTTATGCCTTCCAACACGTTTCTCCCAACACCGCCCTCGCTGGATGGCGCATCATGTTCATTGTGCTGGGCTGCCTCACCGTGACAATCGGCATCTGCACCATCCTCTTTGTACCAGACACCCCCATGAAGGCGACTTGGCTGTCCGACACGGAGAAGGTCGCTCTGTTGAAGCACGTCAGTGTTAACCAGACTGGTATTGAAAGCCGCAAATTCCGCCCCGGACAAATACTTGAGGCTTTGATGGACCCTCAGATGTACATGTTGACTCTTGCAGTTGTTCTCGTACGTATCCTACCCCCATGTTATAGGTTTCCTTAGCTAACGCTCCAAAGCTTTCCGTATCAAGCGGTGTTATCACCACGTACTCGGCCACTCTGATTCGCAATATCGGCTACGACCCGAAGCATGCAGCTTTGATGAACATGCCCTCTGGTGTGGTCAGCATCTTCTTTACTCTTCTCGTGGGCTATGGTATCCGTCACACGTCCAACCGGTGGGCATGGATCGTGGTTTGCATCATCCCAGCGTAAGTTGACACAATGGTGACGTGAGAGAGAAATGATCCACTAACAGCTTGCAGCATCATTGGCGGTGCCTTGATGTCTTTCCTTCCTGTCAGCAACCGCTCGGGCTGCTTGGCAGGCATCTACCTCGTCAACGCAGTTGTCGCACCTCTGACTGTTTTTTACGCCGTAAGTAGCCCGAGAGTCTGTTGGGTTTGGGAAAGCCCGCTAACATACTTCCAGTGGACCGCTGCCAACTTTGGTGGCGCTACAAAGCGCGCTTTTGCCGCTGCCATCATCTCGGGCTCCTTCTCTTTGGGCAACATCATCGGTCCCCAAACCTTCCAGGCCAAGGACGCGCCCTTGTATCGTCCAGCCAAGATCGCCGTGATGGGCACTCAGGCCGGTTGCGCCATCGTCACTCTCGCCCTGTACGCCTACTACCGCTTCGAGAACAAGAAACGAGGGGCCACCAAGCAGTCTGAGGACGCTTACATGGCGCCGGAGGTTTGGCAGTCAATGACAGACAGGGAAAACAAGTCGTTCCGCTACACCTACTGAAGACGAAGGTTTGGGCTTAGGCAAAGATATTCAGACGAAGGAGAACACTTGTACCCATCGATGTATAATTCAACGAGCGGGAAAATCCTTGTTGTACATTAGTGAACCTACATAGTATATATTAGTGGTCAATTCGATCGGGGGTATACCGGCCATATCGTTGACGTCCGTGGGTTCTGAGTTTCAGACAAGGGTAAAGAATCAGCGTCGTAACCTCTTATGTTCTTAGGTTTCTGGGCAGAGGATCGTCGTCATTAGTCATATCCGACTTGTGCTGCTTGCTTCTTGCCGCTTAGCTGTGATCCTGATCTGAAAAACATTGAGAGCAGCTGGAGCGCCGTTGTGGATTCTGCCCAGAATCATGGCGGAATTTAATTAATTTCGGCCGGGAGATCTCTGCACTGCCCGCAACGTTTACCAAATCAGGTTATCCATCCGATGTGTATCCAGCGTCGCGGCTCAGTACCGCGCCCTCGGGGCTCGCCTTACCGCCGTGTCATGGACTATACTTCAAACCGGAAAACGGCCGGTATCTGCGTACGGACACCAATCGGAATCCGAGTATTGGCGGTGAGCAACTTTGTCCATAATTTGCCATGAGATACCCGTGAAGGTGCAAGGGCAGCGCCTAATACCACAGCACGCCTGATGATGTTTAGGAGGTGGCCATCGTTCCGTCTTTCTTCGCTCTTCCACGCCAGGACCATTTTATTCAGCGGCAACCCGTGTGCGATGGCTACTTACTGTTCGTTGTTGGGCCAAGGTTGGCTGAATTGACTGCTTAGTAACAGATATAATCATGCTTTCTACAGCGGCGAAAACGGTGCGCGTACTATCTGGAGTGCTCCATTTTATATACGCCATCCCTCTGAGAATAATGCTTTCCTAGGAGCTATTCTTGTCTGATTGAGTGAGGAGGAGGATCTGGGATATTGCATCAAGAAATTTAGGTACTGATATAATGTTAAAGTTTCTAGCATTGCATGAGGTACAACTCAAGGACCAGATGTGGACCTCCAGATGGTGCTGTCGATGACAGCCAATTGTAAAAGCAAATAGAGAGACATTTCACAGTCCTCAGGTAGTTCACCACAGAATACTATTAATTACGCCCGTCAATACGTTGCTAAATGCTTTGAGTTCACACAATTTGAACGAGACACATACTCAATACTTATTCCCTACTGTTCAACAGATTATACTCAGCCCTTTAATCGGACCTTGGAGAAATCTGTGTGAACTATACGCCGGTTGTACTCGCGTTCTATCCTAACAAGGTGACGTGGACATTAGCTGGTGAGGGCGAGCCAAGCCAGATTGCGGTTCTCGCTTGCGCAGAAAGGGCACCATACAGACCAAGTGAACATTAATAGCATCGTCGATTCCACAGAAGTAATATTTCAATTCGTAAAAAGAGACATGTACTCCACAATGGCGCAATTTACCTCAGACGGAAGAGGCTTGGCTTCGAAGTCTCGACCGCCAAACGGTGACCGTGCCGACCTAGACGTTGTGAAAGAAGGTAGACAGGTCTCTGACAGTCTTTGGTCATGGCCGAGGCCTGGCTGTCAGGATTGCAGGGACCCACGACTTGCTTACTTTGACGGGCCCTACCGCAACACATGCCTGTCTTTATGAGCTCCAGTACTTATCCTAGTCGATGGCTGTGCGTCTCAGGTAGGAAACTCTTCGGACCAGTAGCTTTGCCATCTCTTTGCTTAAAGCCTGAATTACTAGGCGAGTTCTTCAGTTCTCGATTCTTCTTGACATGTGACCCCGGTTTCTAGCGATCCATTGTCTTGAATGTAATAGTGCCTTGCTGGGAAAACTGGCGGATACAGATATATCCTCGACTTACGCGACCATCTTGCAAGTTTGAATCTTCTTCAAAGGCTTTATTTCAGGTCTAATATGCTCTTCTAGATCATCTCCGGTGCTATGGATCTACATATTTCTCGTGCTTGAGGTATCCAAGATGGCCTACACTTGCGACCTTGAAGGCTGCGGCCGATCGTATCTTCGAAAAGAACACCTCACTCGACACAAAAAGGAGCACACTGCAGCGCCTTCTTTCCCGTGCCCATCATGTGGCACGAAGTTTACAAGAGGGTATGGTTGAAGCTAGTTGCCTACTATTCTCCCCACTTTGACTATTCAGCATCATTCCGCTCCCGAACAGTGTGTACCCAGCACAGATTTATGGCGATGGACTGACTGACAGACCCCAATAACCAGAGACACGCTCCGTAGGCACATGGTACTTCATGGCCCTTCTGCTCCGCCAACTCGGGTTGCACAAGCCTGTATTCCGTGTCACCGGACAAAGACCAGATGCGACGGCCAGCAGCCCGTCTGCTTGACATGCAGTGACAAAGGGAAGTCATGCGAATGGCCACAGCCGTGCGGCAAAGCTTCGTTCCGACCAACCTACAGATCCTCTACAGCTCCGGAAAAGACGCCGAATCTCATCACTCAACCCGAACGAATGGCAGAGAGGATGTCATCACCCAGCTTGCCGATGAAAGCCAACATGCCGTCAACAATGGCGACAATGGTCGACACGATCGATTTCAGCGCCCCTGAGTCTCAATGGTTTCTAAACGAACTTGGGATTTTGCAGTCTCAAAGGGCTTACTTCGAACAGTTCCACCCGCAGTGGCCTTTGTTACATCGTGGGCTGTACGAAACAACCACGCAGTCCAGGCTGCTGGTACGAGCTGTCGTCACGGTTGGCTTGTGGTTTGACGGGTCATCAGAATCGAAAGAACTCTCCATAAAGCTTCACGATCACCTCTTGATAGAGACAGGAAACAAACTTGTAAGTCTCATCTTACATTTGGTTCTGTGCATTTTCTTCATCTTCAAATCAATCCATTCGACGTGCCTAAACCTGTACTACGGAATATCACAGCTGATAAGCATGTAGCTCGATCTATTGGAGCAATCTAAAAAAGGATTGTTGTCGCCCCGAACAGATTTGCTACCTATCTTCCAAGCCACATTGATCGTGATGATTCTCGTACCATACCGAGCAGACAAATCCATGGAAAGCGTCATGATTACCCACCCCATGCTATTGGAGATATTCAAAGTCACAGGTGTTTATGATCAACCGAAAATCAACGCCGGTTCGCGACTCGGTTGGCATAGCGGCTATACTTGGGTCTTTCGAGAGTCTTACCAGCGGTGAGTTATGCCAGAACTCCCTAGTGCAGTACGACAGATGCCCACTGTAAAGAAATTACCAATAAGGTCCCAGCATAGGGCCCGTGTACCATCATACTCTGTTCAACTTGCAACTGACAGCATCGGCCCACAGTCTAGCCGTATTTCAGTTCAAACTTCATCTGATTCTACAAACGTTATTAATAACAACACACCCCCCGCTACGATTTTCACGAAACGCAGAGCCTGAACTGCTACGGATTGAGTTACCTCTCCCACTGATAGTGTGGGATAGCCCATTAGCGCAATGGTGTGGCGGCACAGAGCTCACTGATCCAGCGTTATTGGATATGGATGAGAACAATGGGTTGCTGGTCAGCCAGATGTACGCGGAAGCGATGTTGACAATGGACAATGAACCCTTGGTTCCATTGCTATCATGGGACCGCTGCTTGGGGATGGCAATATGGTGCTGGTGCTTACGAGGCAACGAGAGTGACCAAGAGTTCATTGAGAACATCAAGCCATTTGTCCTTGATCCGCTAAAGGGCACGAGTTTTCTCCCTAGTTCCAGCTAGTTTAAAAATATGTTAAGTATACAAAAATGACATCAATATGTTGATATGACTTGAGCTTTTCCCCGCTGACAACGATTCTTAGTATCAACTGGAATACAGATGCGACTCAGAACATTGTTACATGTTTGAATATTCCTCTGGCCGATGGAATGCCCCCCAGCAGTAGGCATCTCGATGATGGCGCGCGACGGCCAACCAGGCCCTTGGTTTGACAAGTGGTGTTTCGTCTGCCGGTGGGATAAAGGCATTTTGACAATGCCGCGGACGTGAAGAGGGGCTGTTAAAGCATGTCAGTAACAAAACTGACGAATCGCATGCCGGGCCCATGTGTGACAGGCTGTATTCAAATTGGGTGATTTTGACTCTCCAACCATAGTTGCTACTGGTTTGTATGGATCAACAATAAACCTTTCGAGGCTACCCTGCAATCGCGGAATCGGAAGTAACATGTAATATAATTAGGATCCTCTCCTGTAAAGCGCAAGCGTACGAACGAACCAACGAACGGACGGACGGACCCCGAGGAATCCAAAGCAATGTCAAGCATACGATGTCCGAGAACAATAAGATACTAGCTCTTCAGTTAGCTAACACGCTTACTGTCGTACACCTTAATGGCAGCAATCCAATGCTGATTCAAATCGCTGTGTAGTGGATACGTGGCCCGCAAACGGTCCTTAAACTACTAGTCAAGGGCCAAAGGATTTTCGATTTACAGCATAAAGCAAATGGAAGACATAGAGACAGCTGTCGAGCATTAGCTCTGGGGACGGGAAGACTGCCGAACAGGCTAGCTCGTAATGCTTCGCAGGAGGGCATGACTATTTGATATGCCTGCACAGAAACGTACGTCTCCATCCAGAGTTGCAATGAAAGCAACGTTTTTTGACACGGTTCCTCGCCTTCGAGATGAGGTGATGAGTGTCTCGACTATACCCAGAGGCGACTGCAAATAGAGGGTTTGGCATCTCAAATTGTCTCAGCTGAAGTTGGCTTGGCTTATTGTTGCCCGTCTTCACTACTCTGATCGGATCCTTCATCCTCCCGAGCGCTTATGTTGATACCTAATGTCTGTTAGGGAATCTGGAGTAAAACAAGAGATACGCATGTACTCACCAGACTTGCCGCCGACAGAAGTGCTGCCATCGCTGCCCTTCGTGATGCCCAGATTGCCGCCAACTAGAACAGAAAAGTAAGCAATATGAAGGAGAACACGAATGTGACGTCCTTACGATTTTGAACTTGGCCGTCAGCACCAATAGTGATTCCGGCGTCGTCCTTAAATTGTTCCGACTCTTCCACGGCTTTAGGTTGCCCCTCTTTAGCAGCAGCCTCCCCAGCTTGATTCTCTCCCTCCTCTCCGGCATTAACTTTCTGACCTTCTCCAGTCTGTTCTTCGGGAGCCGCTGCTCCCTCTGCGGCATTTGCAGTGCCGTTTCCTGCCTTCTTGTTTCCGCTGGCGGCACCCAAGAATGCGTCGAGAGCGCTGTTGCCGGTTGCTCCAGCGGACTTGCCGCCCCCGAGCTGAACACCTCCAATCGTCAAGCCAGCGTTGTTATTCGCGGTCCGGTTGCCAGCAACGTTGTCCCCCGCTTCGGCGGCCTGACCCTTGCCCTTGCTGCCGAGCTTCAGCCCATTCGCATCGCCGATGTTGATGCTTCCGTCCGCGAAGCTGATCTGCCTCTTTGTGGAACTGGGCCTTCCGAGACCTTTCCTGACGAGAGCACGAGCGCGGCTGGCGGCACTGCCCTGTAATCCATAGGTTAGCCTGATAAGCCGAGAGAAGAACGATAGCTATGCAAGAGATGATGTTTCTCTTGCTGACAGGGCATCAGATTATCATACCGACAATAAACCCGGCTGGCTATCTTGGCGATCGCAAAGCCCTGTCTGGCCAAGCACCAAGAGGGCGCAAGCAACCACGGAACAGAAGCGCATCGTGACTTTGATGAATCGAGTAGGGTAATAAAAAGTAATATGAATTACAATAAGGCCGCACAGCAGCAAAGAAACAAACAGATGGTAGATCAAATACGTCAAGAAGCGTCAAGCCTCAGTTACAGACGATTTAGAAGTGAAATTATAAAGATGCGAACCGCGGAATGCATCGAAGTTGATGAATGGTTTGGGGAATGAGGGGACCGGCCACTATAAGTCGGCATGATAATATTCGAAGAGCGTCACCAGGTTCTTCACGTCGTCAGAAGTGTGTCTCCCCATGTTCGAGCCAATACACCATCCCTACGACACTCCGGTAGCGAACGGGATCTCATAGGCCGAAGTTGCCGTCAACCCTGACCACGGGTTGTGGTGTTGCGATAAGGCTCTCTGTTGCATGCCCCTGCCCCGTGCCCGGATCCGGATGCTACCCTGCTCTTGAACATCAGCTTTTACTGTGTGGTGCCTGCGCGTCCGAGCTCCCGGGTTCAATGGGTAAGGTTTCTATGGCCTGTCATTCACCTTTGGGACCCATCCACAGACAAGAAACCTATCAAAACACACGTCAGGTGAAGATAGATGATAGGAGACAGGACGAAATGCCAGGCGCCGTTGGAGCGTGCATGATAGCGAATCCATTTTGGGTGAGATTGGACGGCGCTGCATATGCGTACGTGCTTGTTTGGGGTCGGAGTTTCCTACCGCCTCCACCGTCTCGACGCGCCTTGGCGTCGCGGAGTTGTGGCAGCGCGGGCTATTATTGGCATCGCTGGGGTCGCCAGGCCTGCGTTCAATGGGGAGGGTTTGGATCCATTCAAGATTCTTTGGGCCATTGCCATGCATTTCGGTACATGTGGTACTCGGGGGGGTTTTTTTTTTTTTTTTTTTCAATTCTTTTTCGTCGCAAGACATTGAGACATTGACAAATTGGAGCGCGCACACATATAAAGAGGACATAGTGAAGAAATTGTGTAGAGACCCTGCAAGTTTGATTGCAAGAGGCTTCAGGGCTGGATTTGAAGTGCTCTCCAGATCGGGCACACTTCTGCCGGCCATGCTCGGGTTGTTCATGTTTTTGTGGCCAGAAATATTACACCAAACCATCGACATTCAAGAAAATTTGCCGCAAGCGAGACAAATATATACACAACACACTCCACCACCAAAATTACACCCCGGTTTCCGTTTCGCCATATGCCGTGTTGATTGCATTGCCGAGGGGGCTTGTCAGATAAGCCGTTTCCACTTAGCAGGTGCAGGCGCCAGTGGGGGCCATCTCCAAAGGCAGGTAAGTGGTGCGGTAGATGGTACTCGTCACGTCCTCGTCGTCGTCATCGCTGCCGGTTGAGGAGGGGGCCTGGGTGGGCTGGGCGAAGGCGATGTTGTCGGGGTGGCGAGGGGGCTTGGTGAGAGTTACAGGGTGATGGTAGTCTGCAGCCCAGCCAATGATGTCAGGACAAGTGCCATGGAAGACGGGTGCAGAAGTGGGCTGGGAGGAGGCCGAGACGGCGGCGGAGGTCGTGATCTTGCTCTGGGCCGCCGAGATACCGCCCGTCGCCGCCGCGGTGGAGTTCTTGGAAAGGGTCTTGCTCACCGTAACAGTGACGGTGCTCGGCGGCGCACAGGTGGAGGGCGAAGCCGGGGGCAGCGTGGTCGGGCCTGTGCAGTCGGCTCCGGAGATGGAGAACTTGGGCGTCTGCGCGTAGATCACGTAGACGTTGGTGCCGTTGATGGCATTGCTGTGACATGTCAGTTTGCTCGCCTCTCTTCACCATCTACGGAAAACCCTTGTTTGGCATCGTCTCAGGTACAGTGGACACTCCACTCTTCATCCAAAGATGCAGGGTTGCAATGCATGACTCGGTGTGATTTCACCCCTGCCGAGAAATAGGCTAATGGGGTACCAGCTCAGGGGCCAAGGAGCGAAGGCGAGCCAAAGGAAAACAGCGCAAGAAAAAGGAAGGAAAAAAAGGGGGGGAGTGACAAGCAAGAGAGGGATCTGTTCGCACAATTGGTAACCATAAGAGTTGATAGCCGAGCAGGGAACGTCGACAGAGACGGCCCCGGCAGAGGTCTCGACGTTTTCAGCCAAAAGAGTGTAGAAAGGCGGCCAATTGACGAAGTTGACGAGGAAGATGCTGAAAGCAGACGGGTCCGTGTCGACAGTGTTCCAGGTCAGCTCGTAGCTAGAGCCCTTGGTGACGGTAGAGTTCATGGACGGGCTGGTGAACTGCATGGCGGAGACCAAGGGGGCCGCGAGGGCAAGAGCAGTGGCGAAGAAACGCATATTATTGGTAGTAGAGTTTGTCGGATCCGGACTGGAATACAAAAGAGTGACTGGGATCGGTGAAGGAATAAGAAGAGAGACTCCGAGAGGGCCGACTTCTCAGGGGAATGGGGGCGTCGTGGCCATTATGTGCACTTTTGGATGCCTTGGAAGAACAGCAAAAGACCCAAAGATCGGGAGATTACAAACAGTCAGGCAAGCCAACCCCTCAGGTGTGCTTCGCGCCGCGATTGGTGTGGATACACCTCTCGGCCGACGAAGTTCCAACGGCGAAGCACGCTCATCCTTGGCTGTGTGATACATTGCAGGATTCAGGCCTCAAAGCGCAAGGGGCCAAATAGTGTGATTTCCCAGGACGGCGAGCGCCGTGTAGCATTAACTTAAGCGAGAGAGCTTCATCCCTCTGTGCGGCACAGCCAGGGATATCTCTTACTCTCGGCATCTTTTCCGGAGTATGGAGCCGTTGATAAGCAGCGATTAAGTGGTTCGCAGCGTTGGTGTGGCTCTCTGATCCAAGGGGGCTAACCCATGATGGCTGCACCAAACCACTTTAGTTTGTTAGGGTCGTCTGGCTGTGGTTGACTTTGCGCTTTGCGGCGTCGAGTCAGGCTTCTGTTCCTGCGTCCAATCTGCCAGCCACATGGCACAGGGATCCCATCGGCTCTCCGGGAGCTGTGCGCCTATGACATATTAGCTCACTAGGACAAACTTTGGGTTGTCACACGGCAGAGCGCTTACACTGATGAGGCATCGCACATGGCTTGATAAGAGGCGCCAACGGTCTGCTGCATTCTGACTTGGGGACACTGAGGGAGGAAACATCACGAAAGTTCCACGCAATCGGGAAATTGGCGTTTGCCGCCAGCGCTGCACTGCGCGATATGTGGTCATGGGAGCGTGTGTGACCGCGACAGGAGATTTGTTTCATTTTGGAGCTGCGCCAAACATCTATCCCAACCATGCTCCTCGGAAGCCTCTTATCTCAGAGCTGGATAAGAAGAAAAAGAAGAAAAAAATCCCCCGCTGGCGTGCTTTTCTATCAGTAACTCATCTCGCCTGCCACCGGAGTTTAGCAAGGATATCGCGCGTGCAACGGGGATTTTGCGGATCCTAGGTCCGCTGCAGGGAGAGGAGATGCCATATTTCCGCCTTGGCCTGTGCCTCGGCGGACGCTGCCATGGTATTTCGGTCTTGGTGTGGAGCTTAAGATTGTCCGCGCCAACATCCAACACGCAATGTTGAAGACATATAATGACGACAGGCCATCACAGTTGCCCGGATAATAGGAGACACAATCCGCTTGATCACGGATGGCCCTTGCAAAAGCCTCCGAAAACTCGAGGAGCCAACTACATGCAGCAAACGCGCCAAGCATCTCTTTCAGATGTGATATCCAGCTCAGCCGTTGGCGTCAAGCCTAATCCGGAATCCATGGCGCGATTACAGCAGGTAAATACGAACACATGGCTCTTCATACAATTGCACTTCCGGTTGCAGCTTGACAACACGAAAAAGCCCGTTACTAGACATGCCAGTCCGCGCGCGCGAGTTCCGTCTAGAAGATCAGCGACACTGGCATCATCTCGGTCCAGGCTTTTTGGGAAGGGTAAGACTGTCTGTCCTGCGGCCGTGACGCGCTGGTTCGATCGCTACATGCGCGGGCTTGCGCAACCTCAAATCGGACATGACATTACTAAGAATGCCGTTCTATCCGATTTAAGACAGATTAGAGGTGTCTCACACCTGTTCCAGTGTCGTCGCAATGCCACAATACTTCCAGCTAGCGCCCGAAAGCCCGATGGGGGACCTTCGATCTATCTACTTCGTCCACATGGCCAACGGGGCCCGCAATTCAAACACATCGTCTACCAAGACAACATGAGCCCATTGTTCGAAAACCATAGAAAGAAGTGAGACACAATTGGAGAAATGGAAACACTCTGTTCGAACTCGACACCACTCGATGAAATTTTGAATCACTTTCGGATAATCCCATCCAGCCATCATTTATGAGAGGACTTGAGAAATCAACGGCTGGGACTTGGACAGGAATCAGACAGCCTTGCAATAAAGCGATCAACGAAATCGTAAAAACCGAATTCGTCGCCGTTTTGTATAGATAGCTACGAGGCCGAGGTCCCTGCCTTTCAAGAATATGTTTGATAGTGTGCTTTTGTTGCGAGGTGGAATGCCATCTTGTACACCTTTTTGAATACACTTACCCGCAACTCTTTGAGTGTTGCGCATAATAATATCGGGCATGATATGGTGAAACCCTTACTTCGCCCTCTGATGATGGCCCTCAAGGGCGATATACGTAATCACCCGGCACTCACCTCTCTTGACCGTCATCGAGATCCATATGTGCGCATCGCGAGGCTCCATAAACTCTTGTACGATATGATTTTAAGTAAGAGTCTCGATAGGCGTCCACATACCGGTCACGACTTGTTATTCTTCTGTCGTGAAGCTGAGATAGCTTCGTGTGGCTAGTGCCAACGTGCACGCCACAGATGTGGCTCACTGACCACGTGATCCACTTGAAAGGGGTATTCCAACCCGATCTCGTTTCCTATGTAGATTCTAGGAAAACCAACTGCTAGAAACGTCCCTTTAACAGACGCTGTGTTTCATCAAATCTTAATTGAAATACATGGTTGCGGTCACCATCGATCCGTCGTCGGCTCTGTAGTGACAAACGAGAGTGTATACAGTATAATTCGATATTGGATGATAGCCCCCGAGAACTCTAATGTTGACATTGCAGATCAAGTATCCAGAAGACCAGGGTTATCGGCAATAGACTTATATATATGCATAATCAATAAAACGAGGATATTGTAGTTTCCACGTACTTTCAAAGATGCTAGGAACTAGTCGAGATTTTGGCATGCATTGAACGACGCGAACTAGACTTTTCTTATCCAGACAAAAGTTTGATTGATAAGTAAATAGTGTCAACTCAAGGACGAACCTCACTACATCAAGTGGATGAAACCGTATATATGAATGGGCGGAAGAGCTAGTCAAGGTGGCAATTAAACCCCCACGAAATCCCGGCTCCTGTGGAAAGTGAACATGTAGCATGCAGGTGGTATATGTACGCTACCTAGAAGAGGCTCCGGAGCTGCAAATTACCAACCAGGCGATGCATAGCACAAGCACTCAAATGTATGAAACCCATAGCTCTCCAGCTGGACAGGATAAGCATAAGCGAGATGACATGTATACGGAAAAGATGAATAGAGGGAGGGGAAAATAGAAGGAGAATGGAATCTCATGGTCCTCAAACCGACTGCTCTTCCCACACTGCATTGCACAAATCGAAGACGGCAACGTACATTACGGTCTATTCACCAAAACCCGTGCTTCAGCGATCTTTCAATATTTAGCGAGACAAGACTTCGCGCACACCCCGATGCACAGCCTAGCATACAGCCTCGTCGCCCTCGGGCTGGCTGGTGGTGTAGCTGGGGACGGCTGGGATGACTTAACGAACGACCTGGCGACAGACCTCATGCCGATCATGTCTCTTTTTGGAAAAGAGGCAACCAAACAGTACCTCAGTGAAAGTCTCCACTGGATCGACTACTTCATCTTTGCCATGGCCCCGATTGGAATTCTGACAGCATTGGTATCCGCCATTCGCGTCTGCGGTAGTTCATCCCTAAAAGCCTTCATTGGGAGGGCGAGATAGGGCACAGGAAACGTCGAAGCGGAGCTTCTATCTTCGATGAACCATAATGTCTGCGAACTCTTCGATAGCGGAGGGATCACGCGCGTACTTGGTCGCCCCAAAATTCTGGAATTTGTTCACGACCTCAACGCTCCAGACTCTGAGTTCATCGGTCCTGGAGGGATGGCAAGTATTTATACCTCCCAAAAGCACATGGAAACAGTCCGAGGGAAGGAAGAATGGAAAGTCTTCACCAAATATTGTGATAACTTCCCTCCCAAGGAGTACGCACCGAGTCTTTCTCGCAGTTTGAGATCAAGCTGCTGAACTACATGTGGTTTGAGATGGCGGCAATACTTGGATTCGCCCTTCAGACTGGCATTCTAATATTTGCTAGGGTAGTCACCTATCTCTCGAGATTGGAAAAGGGTGGAACGCAGCCTCCTCGGTATGCATGTCCAATGGCCACGATCGGGGCTATGATAGGATGCGGGGGCATGTTTTTCTGCGCCATTCTTGTGGGAAAGAGCACCGAAGAGCACAGAAGAGCGAATTTTCACCCGCATAAGGACTGGCACACAATAGACTGCAATATATTGGTTGCAACCGCTACAGGCGCTTGGACACCAAACACTTGAATCCTTCTATCATATTGACGAAGGACTATGAGTCACACAGTCAGTACATATAATGAAAAGCAGCAAAAGAGACAAACAGCCGGTTGATATGGCTCGCCGTTAGCATTGCCTTTCTGGGTTTCGTGCTGCAATTTGTTGGCTTTCGAGGTACCCACTCGTCGATCTCGATGGCTCAGCTCGGAGCAGCGTTAGCAATGAGCATCGTGAGGGCTGCTCTACGCACACAAAAGTTGTAAATCAAGGAAAATATCTTGGAAAAACGAACACCTTCTCAAGGGACATGATTTTGATTGGCTGGCATTGCGGATGGGCGAGAGAGACCTCAGAAGCCGCCAAGCACATAACCACGCGTTGAGCATACATTCTGATCAAATTTGTTGGTCATTTTATGGCATGGCAGATACGGGTAGAAGAGCCACCAAGGAAAGAAGGAATTCATCAGGCTGGGCTTCCGAAAACAAGCTGTCAGCTGAGAGACTACTGGCGTATCGACGTGTTCTCGCTCAGCTTACCGAATCAGATTCTCTCCCGAAACCTCACGGGCAACATGGTCATCGTGCGAGAAATGGCAAGGAACCTTGTTCTAGCAATAGAGTCTATTGCAAACTTGTTCTTTCGAACGGCATCAATACAGGAACCATGGCAGAATGCTGAAGGCCTTTCCTGGGTCTTCAAATACTGGGGATTGGAACGCTGGTTGAACACGACATCTTCCTCGTACTGCGAAGCTCCTAAGTCAATCACTTAGTGTCTCTTGAACACATGCCACATACCTAGATTAATAACCAAGTGAAAGTCACTAATGCCAAGCCTAAAACTAGTGTTAATCATCAACTCCTAAACGTACTGAAAAGGTAAATAACACACAGCAATCTTGAACCTTTGATTTTATGCCTAGCAAAGCAAAATGCTAGATATGCATACAATATAAAGCTAAAGATAAGGTGATCTGGAGTGATAATGATAAGCCAAGATTTACTTTTACCCCCAGACTACTCTTAAAGCCAAGTTGCAGTACTTGTAATTGAAGTATTACCTGAAAAGCATAAAAGATATGGTTCGCCATTTCTTCAGATCTGTTAAGCTGTCTTTGTAGCATTACCTGATGGGGGTTGAAGCTTCCTTATGATTCTGGCAGGGTTACCTGCAACCACATGATAATCAGGAACGTCCTGGAAAGGAAGTCAGTCAACCACAAGGACACAGTGACTCTTTGGTCTGTGTTCGCCTACCTTTGTGACGACGCTACTCGCCCCAACGGTACATCCTTTGCCGATTGTCACACCCGGAAGAATGGTAACACCTGCCGCCAGCCAACAGTCTTCACCTATTGAGATAGGTTTACCCAACTCTGGGCCACTGGTGCCATTTCGAATATGCCCATCAAGAGGATGTGTGCCGCTTAGGAATGATACGTTCGGCCCCACAAGAGTTCGATCGCCAATGGAAATCATACAGGTGTCGATGAACGTGCAGTTAAAGTTGATGAACACATTGCTGCCCACTTTGACGTTGTACCCGTAGTCGATTTTTATTGGACGCTCTATCCACGGGTACTCATGCAAAACGGCGTCATCTTCCTCTTCGGTTGCCCCAGCAGGCGGGAGAGGTTGATTGCTGTTTGTGATGCTGGTTTTAGACTAGTCAATCCCGAACTCTACCACCACACGCTCGACTGCTGGAGCGACCGGGAGATGAGGGGTTCGCAACTCACTCTTTCCAGTGCTCAGCTATTTCTCTACGGGTCAAGTTGCCAGCACGGTTGAGTCTGTCAACGGCTTGACCACAACGGCGACGTGCTGCAACGAGTTGGGGCGTGAAGGCGTAATAGAGCTCGCTTCTTTGCATCCGAGCGAGATTCTCTTCTTCGTCAATGTTGGTCAACATGTTGAGTAACAAAAACTCGAGAACTAGCCAATGTGATGTTACCAATGTCGTAGCGAGACAGCGTTTGTAGCTTTGAGATGAGTGGCAATAATTAGAAGTCAAAGTTTTGAAGAGGTCAAAGATGAAAAGAGATCTGGCCACTAAGGTGGTACGGGCCAATAGAACTGAACTTTAGGCTGTTGACCCAGTGTACCGGTAGCACTTTGCCCCTCACGACACCTCCACTGACATAACAAGCTTATGCGGGACGAACCAATCAGACTAGAAATGTGCATGGAGATGTGTTCATCCACGACTAAACACCTCAATGAACGCAAAACAAAATGCGTAGCACATGCTAAACGGGTCAATCATTAAGCTCCAGTCTTGACCGGCGGACTCCATCTCCAAGCACCAAGTCTAATAACCACTGCATCCCCAGAAGAAGATACGAAGTACAGATTGAAACATCAGTAACAATTGACCCCTAACTGTATATACGTTAACGCCTTTACTCTGTACGATAGCATCCTCCGATACTTCTCTATCAAGAGTATCTTAGCCACGATACCAGACGCTTCACATGGTAGAGGTAGAGGGCAGCAAGACTGCACGTATCAGGAGAGGTAGCTCTTCTCTACAAGTGTCTTGCGAAAAACCCATTAGTGCGAATTGATAGGGCTCCACCCCTGGGCACCTGAAAAGACTTGGATAGATGGGGTTCATGAAGAATGGGATGATGAAGATATTGTATCTTATATAGTGGAAACTGGTCCCTGGAATGATGATAGGCAAATCACGCCTGACGATACCATCGGACTGGTCGATGAGTCTCACAGCCAGCCATTCATCTAAGCAACTAAGCGGGCCAGCTATTTGTGCTATCGTTCACAGCCACCCAAGAAGCTGATGTATTGGCTACGATCTGGCTGCCCGCCAAACCATGATGTACTCTACTATCTATACGAGCGACCGCCGGTAGCTTACATTTCTATCTGTTCCCCTTTACATAGGTACTTAAGTAGTTGGTCAGACTACTGAGTATAGCACCACGGATACTACGGGCCTGAAGGTAATCTATATACGGACGAAGAAGAGGAATGTGAGGAGGAATATGATAATTATGACGATAGGCATAGCAATTTTCAGGATTGATGCAATGACAAGTATGGAAACGGATGCAGCAATAAATTTCATGATGAGAACGGCGACAATGACTATTGACCTGTGAGTGTACCTCTTTGCTCCTGCAAGAACGGCCTGGTAGAAGCAAGGCAACAGCTAACAACAAGCAATCAATTCGTCCGCCTGTTCACTATACTCGACTGGTATCTTCACTTTCGGTTACTCTTTTCTGTCTGGCAATTGTCCTCAGCGACGAATCGTTAGATATGGGAGGGGGAGATTTTGGGAGTCAATGTCTTCGTGTGTGGCACCGGCCTCGCCGTTAGCCCGGTTAGGAGCTCTGTGTTACGAGCAGGTCAGGGCAACCAACTGCAGCACAAAGCAAATGCTTCGGTAATGATGCACCTGCATCATTATCCCCTGTTCTGCATTATATAGTTACGCCGGCCCGCACCCCAACTGGTCGGGCCGTAACAATCCGCAACTTGCTGTAGCATTGAAAGCCACTTGACTGAAATGTCTATTGACGCGTTGAAGTTGCGTAATGGAGGTGCTAGTTGCTGGTGAATTTGCAAGCTGAAGTCAAAGCCGTCACGCGGCAAAAGCTCTAGAAAGACGACATGAGGTCATAGGACCTAATAGTCACTATTAACTGCCGACTGCCCATGAATTGAATCCTTTACTCTGTGAACAAATGCCCGTTCTTTAACGGCCATCAAGCGTTGTCTACAACTCAGTGGTTCTACCCAGACCACGCCGGCCATCATCTCCCTGTGATAATCCGGTTCGAGCACCTGAGATGATGGATTGGCTTGAAACACCCCTTTCCTGTAATCTAACGGTATTGCCTGGACAGTCGCAGGCGTTTGAGCCTAGAAAACTAGCTGTTGAATGAGGGGCTTGCGTACATGTAAACACTGAGTAAAGTAAGGTACTTCGGTGTGGCGTTGCCCCTAAGTGGCGTCTTGTTTGACTGCAAACAGCTGCGCGGAGTCAGTAGGGTAGCGCTTGTGTCTCATTAAGAAGATGTATCAGAGGTAGCAATCGTTGATTCTTCTAACCTACCTTGAAGCTCATATACCCAAAATTGTACCAAGGGAGATCTTTCCGGGTTCGGGTGTCCGTCGCAACACAAGAGATAAGCATTTTCCATTATATTATATCACAACGTTAGTTCCTTATGATTATTGTATGAAGATTTACGCCGTCATGTATTTTCCGTATTCAGAACTTTTTTAACAACACTATTTTTAACCTGTTCCACACCAGTACTCATGTACCCCGGTAGCTGTCGAACCAAATAGGCCCATGTCTAGCAGTTGGCGTTTTCTTTTCTTTCTTTAATGCCATCTGCCTCATTGTCCATCGTTAGGGGTAACCCTCGAGATTGTGTACTCCTTGGTGACGGTGATGTGGTTATGTCCAACGTCATGTGCTTTTTTCGTCGTCGGATTACGCTTGATGTGATTGGTCTCCGACTCTATTTGAGCAGTATTGGTATTCGGGCAGAGAGAAGGGTTGTGGTTCTGTTTGTCTGAAGAGCCGATGGAAGCTTCTTCTTCGCCAATCGACTTTTCGGCCTTGTTGGAGACGATATGTTCATCTGAACCCCAGGCTGTCTCGTTTGGGATTGATAGTGGATGACTCCCGCTCTTGGGTCCCTTTTTTCCCGGGTAGCTTCCGAGACGATAGCGGTTGCTATCTCCTAGGGTGCTCTTTTTGTTGGTGCTTGCGATGCTTTTGTCAATGAATTTCTTGAATAGGGGGTAGACCATAGGCATGTTCGTAAGCACTACTGAAACGAAGGACTCTCGGACGGACCAGTACCCGGATTGCGCTGGGTCGGTGTCACCAACCTATGGAAAGGAGTCTTAGCGTATATCAATATCTCCGGGCCTTGCTTCACCACTTACCGTTAGGATAGACACGCAACGCAAAATACCGAAAGCCATCTCGAGGAATCCTCCGCTGAACATTAACGTGAGAGCAAGCTTCTTCCGCCATGGAAGATGTGACTTCCATACCATCTACATCACGGTTAGTCAGCATCTTCTAGGGTTCCAACCATGACGATAGCTTGGCAGAATAGATTGACCTACAGGGAGTGGGATGGCCATCAGATAGAAGTCAGTGATGGTGTTCATAGTCATGACAAATATCGTCTGGATGGAAGAGATCGCGGGCATGCAACGGTCTGCGGCTGGTAAGTACGAAGATTTTCTAGAATCGTAGAACATAGTACTCACTTCCTGGGGAGGGATAGATTTGCCATTGGTGGTCGAACGGTATGCATTTGAAGAATGCAACCGAGAGACAGGAAATGTAGGTAACTGGCATAATGATCATAGCCCCGAAGATGAGACGATTCGTATGTCTAACGCCCTCTCTATTTCAAGTGTCAGTGTCTCAGATCAGCAATGTGTAACGGCGTGACAAACGTTAAACGCGTATAGTACGCGACCCAGCAACCCTTCAATAGCCACAGCAGAGTTGTATATAGGAGAAGGCCAATGACGTGCGTCTTCGATCCGTTGACTCGCAACTGCCACTCTTCCGATCCTGGGACAACGGCGGCCCGTTGTTCATCCGTCAAACCATTGTTGGCTAATCCTTTCCAGTATGCTACGACGAAGTATGCTGCAACCGACTCGGCCGTGTAAACAAGCTAGATCAGCCAGTTAGATACGTTGCTCTTCAGCTTCAGTAGAGGAAACTCACAATTGCTATGGCCATCATGGCGTCGTCCCAAGCAAAGTGTCGCCATCCCAGCGTAGAGGCCCGGCTGTAGTATCGCAGTCCGACCACAAGGTACGCCGTACCTTGCAGTCCCCAGACCTCGCTGATGAACTTATTGGCTTCGTCGGACATAGGAAAGTGCAAAGATTTGACAAAGGAGAAGTTAGGGTTCGGTCAGCAAAGAAGTACCCAAGTCCAGCAGGTGGCACCGAATATATCAAAACCCTGATCGGGGAAGACGAAGTGTAAACAACTGCGAGTGTAAATTTTGGATAAAGCATCGTCCGGGATAGACGTGTGCACCCTGTTTCAAGAAACTGAACTCAGCCGCCCAAAAGAATAAGTCTCGTTCCTGACGTATAATGCCTATCTCGGTTCCATGTCCCTGGCTTAGTGTTCCAAGGCCCGTCCTGTCGATCACAAGGGCGCTACAGGGTAGGTCCCCTCGAATAACCTTGCATATACGGTCACTATGTGATACTGGGAACGCCTCCTGTAGTCAAGACCCACAGACAGTATGAATGAGCCAGTACGATTGGAGCGTCGGTTTTCCAGAAGCGTCAGAGGTTAACGTAGTGCTGTCACTGGTTCAGGGTTAGTGATCACATTTGTTGGTAAAAGGTCAGTAAACTACAACGGATGAGGCTACCCCGGCCGAAGTCCGCCCGAGATACAATTTATCCAAGGCGGTCCCTCGCCCTATGTGAGGTCGTACGAGTACAACAGAAAGAACACAGTCGAAAAACAAAATATATTAAAGTATCATGCCCGAGTCTCGATGCAATAGACGGGTTATGGAAAGAAACAGAGAACCACTTGGGGTGTAACACAGTGTGAAAGTCTTATAGAAGCATTTTTCTTGCTGTAGGGGTGGAGAGCTGGTTCACTCTTGAGTGACCTGAGTTATAATTGTCGATCTGGGCTTGAGCAACGATCAAGGCGCGAACATCAGTACAGCATCACATCAGCACAGCGCAATATTCATGCGTATATCTCAGGTGCGCCGAATGCTAGATTTAGCGGCACAGCAGTCACCTGACTCATGAAGACTGGAAAGTCGTATTCGAAAGACTATTGAGTAATCATGGTGCCTTTATCCCGGTGACCGGGTAGATTGCACCTTAGCCATGTCATGCGGTGTACCTGCTCATTGGACGCGTACGTATCGCACCTGAGACATCATCAGGCAGACAACCAACCGACTTCGTTTGTGCCGTCCGACTATCATAAGCGCTTTTCACTAGCATGGCTCGGAAGGCGTCCGTCCCTACCATCGGATATCGTCGCCCTTAACGGCACCGTAGAAATTCTGCCATATGTCGTCCGCTACATGTAAGCCTTATTCGGTTTCTGTCTCTTGGATATTAAGATGCAACAAGTCGATCTGTCTGCTATTAGGAGCTAAGAGCCTATAGAATGACGATCAGCCCCTTGAGCTTCGTGAACGTGATATGGTCATAGCCCAGCTGATTGACCGCGGACTGTTGCTGTTATACAGTGTGCTGGAGGGCAACAGTTGAAGCAAAAAGACTACTTCGGCAGTTGTGACATGTGATAGTTACCCTGCAGTAGCTGATTCCATGTGGAAGCGCATATTATCAACACCAACCTTGGAGATCAACGCTGGCAAGGGTTTTCTCTATTTATAGTGGTAGACTGCCCATAATCCTGAGTCTCATGTATCCTTCGCTTGCGACCTATTCCTCGTTCGTGATCAGTGGCTCGCGTAATAGCAAATCTGTCAAGTTTAGCTATCGCAGGACTGGTTAGGTAAACCCTTTGGGACTGTCGGAGTCACCTCCCGGATCCCGCAATACCATGTCGACAGGGCCGTAAAACGAGCAAACCACGGACGACGAAGGAATCGCCGAGAGGTTGCACGGCCGCACAAAGACTGAAGACCCTACCGGTCCATTCAATCCGGTTCCGTGAGGGTCACATTCCTAGTGGAGTGGCCCATAAAATGATGACTTGAAATGAACCTTTGGTTACAAACCTAGTGCGATATGGCAGGTATTTTCTGATTAAATTTTGTCATGTCGCATCGTTTATTGCGAAGCTGAACTTTCTTGCCATAACTTCCGCTGCAACCCTTGTGCTTGTCTGTCACTGCCTACCAGTGACAAGAGAATCTGTCTTTTATTCTCTGCTTCTGGCTGCGCCTAGTGGATTTTCCCTCTCCTATTTTACAGACTTTTGTGCACCAGAACGGTAATTGCATTACTTGGAGGCACACACGAAACCTGAGGTCTATAATTCAAACTCGGTTTACTTAGTTTGCCCTCTCATTCCGAGAATCTTTGACAAGGAGGTTACTGTTTGGGTCATCGGAAGAGAAACGCTACGCTGAATCCAAAGACGCTCCCGAAGTCTCTGGTCTATTGAACTGCCGACAGTGATGTATCCACTATGCAAATGCACACCCTAGACTCCCGCTCCATTTGTACGCCCGACGTTGTATTACCTCCATCAATGAGCTATTCTGCTACGGTATTTGAAAACGGCCTAACGCGGGATGGCGTTGGAACAAGGATTGTGTTACCTAGTCTGTTCTTGGTAACTCACCCCATGAGGGATCAGCCATGACCCCCTTGGACCCATTGTTAACGGGACGCTCCCGAGAGGAGTCTACATAAGCTCCGCTCACACGATATCCGCCAGCCGTTCCACATAACCCCGCAACCTTGACAGTCTCGTTGTTGGACGACATTCTGTGCTTTCTGCTCCTCCTTGACCAGCTCATCTCCGTCTTTATCATAGCCAATCATCTTGTAACTTCAAAACCCCCTCGAACGCTAGTGGGGTAACATCGGGGAAACAGTTTCCCTCGAGAACGAGTCAATATGCATGCAAACCCCGCGACCTGAGAAACTGCATAGGTATGCAACCCATCTCGCCTCGTCTTGTTCGCAGCAGTTCTTCTTTGCTTCCCTTCCCTTCTTATTTCTCCGTCAAACTTAAATTCTTGTGGCACTTCAACAGTCTCTTTTGGCACTGCGATGAGCCAAACTGACCAAGATGGGTAGTCAAGTTTCTGAATCAAATGTGGATGTGTAAGTCTAGTTGCACGTCATCATATGACTCGCTTAAGCGGTGCAAAACAATGACGACTTGCTAACGTTGTGTCACAGTCTCATCATCGGTGCCGGCCCTTCAGGGTAAGTTCCGCGTGCCCGCCACCCCTTTTGGAGTCCGTTCAAGTAGGTAGTCGCATTCGCTAAAAGATGAGACACACAGGCTGATGGCTGCCGCCTGGATGGCACATTGCGGCGTGAAAGCCCGCATTGTCGACAAGAGAGGCACCAAGGTCTTCTGCGGCCAGGCCGACGGGCTCCAATGCCGCAGTTTGGAGATATTTGATTCGCTGGGTTTCGCGGACCGTGCCTGGAAGGAGGCCAATCACATGATCGAGGTGTGATATGCCACTCTTCGTCTCCTAAGATGTCTCGCTGACCGCTTCTGCTAGATCTGCATGTGGGTATGTGATTTGGTGATTGCGAAATTCCAGAGTATTGCCTGCTCATATGTCTACAGAACCCTGGAAACGGCGGTGTCATCCGTCGCAGTGACAGAATACCGGATACCATCGTGGGCCTCTCACGCTTCCAGCAGATCGTTCTGCAACAGGGTCGAATCGAGCGCTTTTTCCTCGAAAACATCAAGAAGTACTCCAAGGACCAGATCAAGGTTGAGCGCGGGGTTCTCCCTGAGTCTCTTGAGATCGACTTGTCCAAGGTCGACGATGACTCTGCCTACCCCGTGACTGTAAAGCTTCGCCAGCTCTCTGAAGAAGAGGCTACGCCCCCTCAGGTGCCCAACGCGAGCAAGATCTCCGACGGTCTCTTCCGGAGCAACCTTGTGCAGGAAGACGATGAGGAAGACTTGATCAAGAAGAGCCAGGCAAGAGTCGGTGCAAGCGAGATTGTCCACGCCAAGTATGTCATTGGCTGCGACGGCGCTCGTAGCTGGACTAGAAGAGCTCTCGGATTTGAACTCGATGGAGAGGCTACTGACTTTATCTGGGGCGTCATGGACATCATCCCCATCACTGACTTCCGTGAGTGTGTCCATTTTTATGCTTGTTTGCTTCAAAGAACATTCAATGCTAACCTTGAAGCGAAACAGCCGATATCCGCATGCGTTGCGCCATCCACTCGGCCGAGAACGGTAGTTTGATGGTAATCCCGAGAGAAAACAAGCTTGTTCGTCTTTACATCCAGCTGAAGGAGGTTACACCTGATGCATCTGGAAGAGCGGATCGATCCAAGATCACTCCTGAAATCATTTTTGGCGCCGCCCAAAAGATTCTCAGCCCCTACAAGATCGACTACGAGTACTGCGACTGGTGGACCGCGTATCAGGTATTTCCATTATTACTCCCCCCCCCCCCCTTTTCAGTGAGGAAGAATGGTATTGATTGTTGCTAGATCGGTCAAAGAGTTGGCACCAACTTCGACGCCCACAGCCGTGTCTTCCTCGCTGGAGATGCCGTCCATACCCACTCCCCCAAGGCGGGCCAGGGCATGAACGTCTCAATGCAGGACACCTACAACCTTGGCTGGAAGATTGCACTGGCCGCCAAGGGCATCGCAAAGCGTGATATTCTAAGCACCTACCAGAGCGAGCGCCGTCGCGTTGCTCAGGACCTGATCGAGTTTGACCACCGCTTCAGCCGTCTCTTCTCCGGTCGTCCGGCCAAGGACGTCATGGACGCTGAGGGAGTTAGCATGGAGGTATTCAAGGACGCTTTCCTCAAGGGAAACATGTTCGCCTCGGGGCTGTCGGTTGACTACGGCCCCAGCAGCCTTGTTGTCAAGGCTGGCGATTCGTTGAAGCAGGGCGACGGCAGCAAAGTTCTCGGAACGGTGACGGCCATTTCCGAGGAGGATTTCAACAAAAAGCAGTCCCTTGCATCTGGCTTGCCCGTCGGCATGCGCTTCAACAGCTTCAAGGTCCTCAATCAGGCTTGTGCGCGCCCATGGCACTTCCAGGAGAGACTCAAGGCTGATGGCCGTTTCCGCGTTGTTCTCTTTGCGGGCGACATTCTCGACGCTTCCCAGAAGGCCCGCGTCGACAAGTTCTGCGCGGCGCTTGACGCTCCCGAGAGCTTCCTGCATAGGGCCACTCCCTCCGGAGCCCCTATCGATAGTGTCATCGAGGTTCTTACAATTCACTCCTCAAAGCGCACTGACACTGAGCTGCTGAGAGATTTCCCCGCCATTCTGCATCCCTTCGACCCTCACACTGGCTGGGACTACAACAAGGTCTTCGTGGACGATGAGAGTTACCACGAGGGTCACGGTGAAGCTTACAAGAACTACGGAGTCGATAGGCAAAGGGGCTGTGTCGTTGTCGCCCGACCTGATCAGTATGTTGCTTGGGTCGGCGAACTGGAGGATTTTGATGATTTGCAGAAGTATTTTGAAGGCTGCCTCGTCTTGGGAAACCATGGCAGCAATGCTAATGGCACGAGCGGAGTCAACGGGCAAGCAAATGGCACAACGTTGCCTATTCGTCAGTAAATGTCAACTCGTGCCCCTCCTCAGTCCTCACGGGGGAAGATTCTTTTTAAGTTGAAGAACGTATTTTCATCAAGAATTGTTAAATCGCAGCCCCTAAAATATGAATAACCATGATAAACACATGCTCTGGGTCACCATTAGCTCGTACGAGGTGGAACACACAGTGTCCACAACTATGAGTGGGAGCTTTTAATGTGTCCTGCAATAACTAGCTTTGGCAGGCGATCATTCTGATATAATTGATTGCTCATGACTGGAAGATTGCACTATATATTTGGTGTACTACGTACAGATGGGGAATCCGACACCAGTCACCAACAAAAGAAGCTACGAATGCAGATGGGGTACCAAACTAGCACTCATTCCTTGTTGATGTTTGAATTTGCCAAAGATTTCATTCTGATACAGTATGGATAGCGGTTTATCTCATAGCCGTTGTTGTCTTTCTTTTTAGTTATTCCTTTCTTTGACCTAAACCGTATTTGGACTTTCGCATAAACGCAATACGTTTACTACGTTTACCCTAGCATCACCAAACCCAAGCATCAACCAAACCCAAATCCTTGCAAGGCATCTCTTGGTACATCTACCAAATGCCTCATCTTTCAATCTTTCTCCTCAGCTGACGAACCACAAATAAAAAATCTCTGCTTTTGTCTAAGATCATTCTTTTTCAGAGTCGGAGAGCATTCCTGTTTGACTTTCGGTGGGCAAATCACCCAATACCATATTACATAGATGAGATCGCCGAAGATGTCTCTTTATGAATGAAGCTTTCGACATCTTTTTGCGGCATACCATGCATCGCCGACGTGGATCTGGAAATTTCTTCTCCTTAGCCCATTGTTTATGATGTCGCCAGTAGTGCTCGTTACGTTCCTTTGGGGACGGTAGTCTCATTCCGCATCGCTTACACTGATCAAGACGGGCATGTCGCCTTTTGTGCCGACTGCTGCATTTCAGTAACATGTTCCCAATGTCAAGCCTGTGAGTCTCAGAAAACCTACTTGAACTTTTGGCCAAGCTTGTACCATTCCTCGTGTACTTTACACCAAACGTAGCCGGGACAAGATTCTAATGCCACAATTAGAGAAACTTTGACCTCGAGAGAGGGAAAAAGACAAAGCTACCAAAATCGAATAACATTTCTAGGGGTTCCTTGACTGAAGATGTTGCCTCAAGATGTTTGTTCGGACCAGCACAGAATCCAGCCAACCCATGGGCATGGGGATAGATGTCAGAAACGCGTGGCAAATTTGACAACTAAGTCGTCGCATTTGGCCCGGACACAATACTCGAGGATCCGCCAGCAGTAATTATTTCGGGGTTTAAGGCAGTTTCATTCTGCATTTGGTTCTCTTTGCCTTTTTCCAGAAGCAATGCATCTATAGCATTTTCGTGCGGCCAGTCATCCGCAACAGACATGTCTGAGAGCATGGTCGGCATTTCAATAGGTATAGAATTTAGTTCATGATGTTCCGCATCGGTTGAGTATGGCAAAGGTGAATTCTGAGAGTCATCGATCGGAACATGAACAGCATCGATGAAAACCTCTGTAGATTTATTAATTCTCTACCGTATGCACTAAATTTATGCGAATACTCAGGAATACTTACCTGAACTTGAGGGGTTGTGCGGTCTCAAATGGAAGTACGGATCCGGCAATGAATCATCCTGCTCCGAGGGAAAATTCATTGTGAAGGGAAATATAGGGTCATGTAATAGTATACGGGATACTCGTAATTTGAGGAGTGAGCACAGCAGACTGCTATCAACAGGTGTCGATAAAGTAAGGCTTCGCTACGATCAAGACTGCGCCAGATCTTTGTGAGGTCTCCACGGCCCCTTTGTTACTCATGCGGTGAAATCGTCAGGGGCGTTCAAGTGCATTTAAGTAGTCAAAACCACGCTCAAGCAAAAATGCTGGTACGGCGAAAAACAAAAAGTCTGGAAACCCCGCACTTAAGATGCGCTACATTACTAGCCTCTAGGTTTCCAACATTTTTGGTGGTGACTGTATGGACGGTTCAAATTTGTGTTGACATCACCATAACCTAATTATCATATTATTATGTGGTAACATTGGTGTATCAAGCTTCCTCCCCGCCCGTAAGCTCATCCGTCCCTCGTACCAGCTACCTATAGGAACGAACGACACGAGAGACTGAACTTGGTCGGTATTGATAAATCAATAATTTAACTTAAAATCTGTTGGGAAACACAATTCCTAAGATGGTGGGCTGGCCACATGCTTTAGATATTGTCGTTAAGATCGAACATTTTCGCGAACTCAGTCCTTCGAGGGGCAGGAAAAGGGCTTAGAACGCCCCGGTTTATCTGCATCATAAGTCTCACGTGTAATAACCCTCAAACAGGGAGATCATTGAAAGTTATTCTCGAAATACAAGTTCTCAGGCCTATAACCAAGTATCACGAAAGCGAACATGAATTCACTCGCGCAGAACTGTTTGTTATCTACTTCCTTATGTCTGTCAATTTCGGTCTGTTGAATAACATGAAGGACTTTTAGCCGAGACGGTTCCGATAAGCTCCAAATCACTACACAGATTCTATGAGCCGATTGTCCTTCTGAAAGCTTTGAATGTTGAGATGAAGGACGCTGCCGAATTTGTTGATTCTGACGAAGCGGGATATCGAAGAGACCCGGAAGAAAAATTCCAAGCCTTCGTCTATAAACTGGCCCACGTATGCGACAGTGTCAAGGGAAACCAAGGCGGTACGATCACCTCGGTCATGGTGCTGGAGCCAAATTTCGCCGAAGGTGACATTGCCGAGTACCGGTTCGCCTCTAATAGCCGGACTGAAGATGAAGTAGAGGTCACCTCGGAGTTTGTAAGGTCGCTTCTTGGTCACCTTCGCTCTGCGACATTCCCAAATGACGAGGCCGCTGTGCGGGGACGCTTGCTTAGACATGTCCTTCTATTCAATCGAAGTCGGATCGCATCATACCTGACGGCAATCCATACGGAAGTTCAACACTCTCTTGCCAAGTGCTTGATCGCTCATGACGACGAAGGTAAGTTGTGAGCCTAACTTGGTACTTATATGGTGCAAAAACTACTCACTATCTGCATGATAGAGACGAAGGTAAGTTGTGAGCCTAACTTGGTACTTATATGGTGCAAAAACTACTCACTATCTGCATGATAGAATGCAGCACGATTGCGACGACTTTGATGAGTATTCTGGCCTTTCTTGAATTCAATTGGGGCAAATATGCTTCTGAAACCGAATGTGAGTTTTCTACAAGAGTGTCCCATACACGAATGGCCAGCTAAGCCCTCCATCCGCCCTCACAAGATTTCAGCGGCTGTGTTGCGCTCTTACGAGTATTGATACCACTACAAAAGTCCACTTCCTCTATAGGCAAGTGGATAAGTCGCTATGCACGAGAAATCCGTGAAAGCGGGTTGCAGAGTTCCTTGTCTTGCTGGCCCGAAATGTGGCACATGATAAACCGCCTTGCATCCTACGTGCATGATGTTGAGTCCTTCATCTTGGCGAAAAAGGAATGGCCAGAGTTATTTGAAAACTTCAGGATCCACTTCTTGCCCTCCAGCATACCGATCCCGAGACCCATTCGGTCGAAGAGCATGAAGGCGGAAGGAATTGTCGGGCGTATGACGTCCAAAGCAGAAGATATCGAAGTACTTCGGGGTTTCGTCAGGGATCTCCAGCTTCAAAGCCTCGACGCGAGGATCGAAACTGAGTATACGAAGAACACTTTCCGGCCAATTGTTCATTCAGAAATTCTACTACTTGACAACCTCGAGAAAAGCGGCCCCATCACTCAGGAGAGGTTCTTCCACGGGTGGATGTATATCGGCAGCAGCAAGCCTCTTTGTCGCTTGTGCCAATACTACTTCGAGAAGCACCGCTCCCGAGTGGAACACCGCAAAAGCCATCTGAACTTGTACATCAGTTGGAGGGTGCCTGATGTCCTAGTGTCTCAGGGCGCCGAGGGCGTAGAAAGAAGACAGAAGATGATGAACAGAATGACCGAAAGAGTTCGCCGTGACGTATTCGACTTGATACGGAAGAGAGTCAAGCCAACGCACAGAAATCACGATAGCTTCACTTCTTCAGTGAGATTCACTCTGGATGAGAGGTGGACCATGGCCTCTAGTGTCTCGGATGTTGCGTCGCGCATTGAAGGCTTGGCTTTGGAGGATTCTGAGGATGATGAACAAGGTGGGGTTGCCTTGGAGAAGACAGATATTTAGTCAGCGGCCTGATCCGGCCCCTTTGCAAATGGTGGGAAAAAAATAAAACAAAGAAAGAAAAGAACTGTCGGGATATTCGTCACCGGCGGAGGGTGGAGCCGATCCGAGGTCACGTGACTAACCTCGGAGGCTCACTCACTTACACCTCCACGAATATCCACGGCAGTTGCCAACTGCGAACTTCTTCATCATCATACCTCTTTTGCATCAATAGTTAATTCACACTATTTGCTGCCTCTGGTTGACCACCAACCCTGTGATACCAACAAGAACTCTTCCTTTCCATCTTACAACATTCGTCAACCCCCGCAAACCTCAAACCCCTCACGCCCCCCATATTCCACGACATATTAATACTGTATGTAGTCACTAGATTATAACAGTTGACATGAATGCCACAAGCTCCGCGTCGCTGCAGTTCGTAGCTGACCATCCTTTCGTCACGTGCATCGTGGTTTTGGCCGCAACCTTTTTTCTTCTCGCACGGCGAAGTCAAGATGAACCGCCCTCTCTTCCCGAGATCTTGCCATTCGTAGGCAATACGTATCAGTACATGACAAGCCTGCCAACTTTGATGGATCGCGCCAGGTACTTGCCCTGGCAATGTTATACTGACATGTTATGGAGCTGACTCTGATTCCCTATAAGCCATGCCATGATCCAGAGCGGCATTGTCAAACTCTGGCTTGGGCCTATGCGTCTGTACCTGATAAAGGGAGAAGAGAATGTGCAGGCCATATTCCGATCGTCGTCAACTTTCACCTATGAAAAGTTCATCCTGCTAGTCATCAAAAACCTGCAAGGTTCGTCGAAGGAAGACGTCGAAAAGCTGTCTGAGGACAAGTCTGGCCGCAACAAAGCGCCGGTTCCGGGTTGTGAGAATGTACCCCAGGACGAGAGGTACTGGTACCAGCTCCACCACCTTGCCACGGAAAACATATCCAGGACCGAATTAACGAACCATTTGGCTATCATGTACACGAAGTTCTTTGGCCAGGCCATAGAGAAACAGCCGTCAGGAGAATGGACAACGGTGCGGTTGTTCAACTTCCTGAGGAAGGACATGGGAGAGAGTGCGCTCAAGTCCCTGTGTGGCACACGAATCCTGGAACTGGTGCCCGACTACATTGATCAGTTTTGGCGCTTCGACAGCATCGGCGTTCAAGCGGTGTACGGCCTTCCGAAGTGGATAAATCCCAAGCCGACCGAAGAACGCGACAAGCTGAGCCACATGACACAGGAGTTTTTGAAGGATGCTTTCTCCACGTTCGACTGGGATGGGCCCGATGTTGACTCAAAATGGGACCCGATCTTTGGGTCCCGCTACATACGCCTACTTATGAAGTGGCTGACCGACAGAGATATGTCTATGCGGACTAGAGCGGGCTTTCACATGATTTCAGTGCTTGGGTGAGTTCGCCTCTTGTTTAATGATCTATCTTGCTATGGCGTTCTTCTGCTAACAGTTCAGTATCAATGCAAACACCATACCGGTGACGACTTGGGCTCTGATTGAAGCTTTGAAAGATCCTACGCTGCTTGGGGCGCTCCGCGATGAGGCCCTTGAGACGATCACAAAAGATCCTACCACTGGAGAACGTTCCTTCGACATGGCAAAGCTTGTCTCTATGCCCCTGATGCAGTCCGTATATATCGAGTGTATGCGTCTTCATGTTTCGATCGCCATCACTAGAGAGGTCTCTGAACCGACAACCCTCCAAGGCTATCGCTTAGGAAAGGGGTCCATTGTCCAAGCTCTGACGAACCTCATGCATTTCGATGAGCAGACATGGGGCCAAGAAGGCCATCCTGCGTCGGAGTTCTGGGCAGAGAGACACATCAAACATGTCAAAAAGGTGGACGAACGTACGGGTGCCGTGGCGACGGAAAGGCAGTTCGTCATGAGCGCCAAGCCCAGTGAATTCTTCCCATACGGTTAGTCGTCCTTCCTAGGATTTCCAACCTTGGATCAATACATATTGAACTATTCCGGATAACTGACAACACCTACGCATTAGGTGGAGGTATTTCCATCTGCCCTGGACGCTTCTTTGCAAAACAGGAGATCATACTGTCTATTGCCATGATTCTAACGAGATTCGATCTCGAGTTTGTGGAGTGGACTTGTAAGGACGGATCCAAGTCCGAACGGCCGCCTGTTGATGACCCGCATTATTTCGGGTCAGCTGCCGTCCCGCCGGATAGGGATGCCAAAATTCGCTGGAAGCGATTGTGGTAGAGCATAAGTGCCATGATACTGACATCTTGTGAGTAGAGCAGAGGGTCCCTTGGGTTCGAGATTTGGCTTAGGGTAAAAGTGTTCGATTGATGAATATGGTCGCTCTAGATCTCCACAAATGGTCTAGTTGTGCATACCCCTTCGATAATCTCCATCATGGTTTTATATGTACATCTCTGAGAATATAGACAGAAGAAAGGTCCAATCCTTGGCAGTAACGTGAGCCGGCTCACGGTCGGTTCGCATCATCGGGGACCCAGCGTCTAGGCCCTACTCGGAGCAATAGTAGAATCGGCGTTCTTCACAAGCATTTGGACGTACTCGTCAAACCAAGCCCCCGCCACAGGAGCGCCCGCAAGCCCGCACTGTCCGTCGCTCTCGCCGGCAGGCTTCACCCAAACAACCGAGTCTATGTGGGGGTTGTTCACCGGGGTGCCGGGGCGCATGCCGAAGCCGGCAGGGCTGACATTGCACCACTCACCCCAATCCTTTCTGCTTTCAGAAACACGGCCTTGGTCGACGATGAACCGGGAAGGCAAGCCCTTGGCCTCGAGGTGAGGAGCGAGAGAGAGGATATAGTGGTTCTCGTCATAGGAGTTGCTCCCCTTCGCGTAGCTCGGGCGATGGTTGGCATTCAATGGGTTCTGCTGATATGTTACGCTCATTGTCAAATCTGAGGACCAGGAATTGTACGCACGTAGTTGGAGACGTTGATCGAGAACCCACGAATCTTCGCGTTGTTGCCAGCCTTCTTCACAACCTTGGAAAATATCTCGGCCGCTTACAAGTTGTTAGCTTTATTGACATACCGCAGGTCATCTGAAGTGCTTACCAGGGCCTAGATTATTATCCCAACCTAACCAACCTCCGTTGGCAGCATCGACATATAAGCTGACATGGTTGTACTGCAGGCTTGCGATGGCATGAGCAATACCATCCTCATACGCCGTCTGAGCCTTGGCACAAAGCGGGACGTGCTATAATGATGACAGTCAGCGAGAGGCTTTCTCGAAAACAGTACGTTTCGAATTACCGAGTTGACGACAAGGTTGGCCAGTGCATCAGGCTCGAGGATCACGGCAAAGTTCAGATCGGTCGCGGCAGCCAGCTTCTGCGCGTAGGGCTTGATAAAGGTATCCTTGTACAGCTGCAGTCCGCTCTTGTCGGTCCTGAACTCGCCGGCACTCTCTCCCGCGCTGCAGTCTCTGTCGGGCAGGTTGTACAGCACCAAACCGACGGTCTGCTTCTGGCCGGTCTTCGCCTGGGCCGCGCGGGCGCCCTCGATGGCGGTGTCGATGTCGGACAGCATGGCGGTGCTGGATATCCATACAAAGGTTCCAATGTTCTGAATCGTGCGAACCTTTCCGGCGTTGTTGGTGTCGCCCTTGCTCAAGAAAGCGTTGTGGGTTTTCTCAAGCTTCGCTGCCCACACTGGGTTGGCGTATAGTTTCCTGCCTTCAAACGGGTTGAAGGATGATGCCGCGCGGCGGAGGTGGTGGTCTTGGATGCCATAGCGTGGCGATGCCGATACGGTGCCAAAGGCAGAAAGAAGGACGATGACCGAAGCGAAATGCATTTTCAAAGTTTGGATAAATGAGTGTAAGAAAGATGGACTGTAAGTACTCGACCAGCGGGCTTGATGGGATATCGAAAGAGGAGAAACGGCATTGATATTTGCGTGGCGACCCGTCCTTATAGCTGCGCGGAATGCCATAATCATCGCCAACAATGGCAGAGTCTTCAACTACGGAGATTACATCGCCATCTGAAGACCAGAAGGATAGGGCCCTCATCGTTTTGTGACGCATCTGTATGACCAAGGGATAGCGAACATCCAGAGTTCTCCGTCCGTAACGACTCTGTGGAGTGAGATCAGACCATCGTGCCGTGCAAAGGGCCAGTTGGGATGAAGTGGGATGGCAAGTTGTATGTGATAGATTGCCCCGTCAAGAGCAAACTCTGATTCCGGCCGTTGTCCTCGGACAGTGCCCGGCATTTGGTTCGCAGATGGGGAAAAGCTCCGAAAACCCCAAAGGCGATGCGAGTGCCGCTCCGTTAACTATTGGCAATGTGGGCTTTCGGGTAATCTCAAATAGATTGCCGGGCAGCGATCACAAACCAAAAATTATAGAATCTCGTAACTGAACCTCCCTATCAGCCAGGGCTGTTGGAGATGACTCCCTTCCAGCTGCTATAACCGGCGCATCTAGCTAGGACTGTCTCGGCAGGGGAGAATGAAGTCTCAACAAGTAGACCATAGATCATCACAGTGTTCATAAAACCATGTTCTTTTGAGAAGGGAGTTGTAGTGAGCGCGAACCTGCGCTTGTGGGCGACCACGGAGTGGAAACCCGGGGTAGGAGATCATGATCGGCACACTCGCAACGTGGAATCCTCTGGCAGCTCAGTTGGTTAACATATGCCGGATTTCGAATACAAACTAGCCCCATCTTTTTTATACTACTGTAGCAATTATCTCATCCTATGTTATATGAATCTCGATGTTGGTGACGATGCTTGACGTTGATAAACTGTTATCCTTGCGCGAACTGGCGGGAGTGTTCCCAACAATTAGAGCCCACAGCGTCGGTCACAGAAGTGAAGATGCCGCGGTGATCCCGGTGTATTGCCAATAACCCACAAAAACAATGGTTAAAGTGGGCAATGAAACAGGGAGAAGATAGTGAGAGTGACTGACCAATGTTTAATCCACTCATGATGCCCGATTTTGCTGCTGATTGAAGCAAGCCTTTTTTCCCTTGAAAGTCACAGAGTTGGCGAGATTATCCTTACGGCTTTTCTCTCCTGCGACTTCCACTACATCATGTAACTCATGGTTTATCATTGGACCAGTGCAGTGGTTACATGAATCCTCCTATTGCAGTTTGATGTCTCTTTGTTAATTTGCTTCTTTTCGGCCTGCTCCTTGTCACTGGACTTTCCGCTCAAGTATCCATCAAGCATATCGATATCTCACACCGTTGATCGGTCGTATCGTTGTACTGCCTGACCATTGCAACAATATGAATGCTGAAACCTGGTTCTTTCATGATTCGACACACCAGTGAGACGGCCTCTACTGATTTGGGATACTCATGGCGGGCAGGCTATGCACATGACGGGCCGAGAGCTGCAAAAGGATGTGCAGTCATCCGAACCAGTTAGAGGGCATCGTAACCTGATACCAGCATGGCTTAATGGGCATATGGTGATACATGTAGAGGCTAGGAAACAAGCAAAGAGTCAAGCTTCTCGTTTGAGACGCTTCCTTGTTTCCTATTACCACGTTTCTCTCCGTCAGTTTCAGAGAGTGATACCTGCTACTTTGGGTTGGTGAAGCCATCACGGAAAAGGTTGCTTCCGGCCCATCTATAAGAAAGAAGTGAGGTCGACAGGAGGGTTGGCTAAAAAAGCAAGATCTCCTACTGACTATTGTAGGTTCTATTCAGGCTAGGTAGTTGACAAGCAACTAGGGTATTCATATACAGCTTATCTCTTAAACATCAGAAGGCATTAGACTCTACTCAACTAGGACCTTTGTCCTCACTTCCGGTTCAGACAAGTGCAGAAACCTCTTCGCTAGGTGTTTCATACATAGCTCTTCACAAGATACATATGCAGACCATATATCTTTAAGATACAGGGCAAGCCTTATCGTTGTATCTGAAGGGGCATTTTCCCTCTGCGTCTGGCGGTGCCTGGCTGACAATTTGTGTTGCCAATTGATCAAAGAGAAGACACACAGGAATATTGTATGTGCCCCGGTCCTCATTGCCAAAAGCCCAAGCTGTCATATTCTGTCGGCACGGTATGTCCGAAGTAACATCGTGAAAGCGGCCAGGTCGAAACTTACATTTACAGCCATCGTTGGCTGCGCACGCGCTCCCGGCTACCTCAGCATCTGCGCAGCCAACCTGCCCCCCCAGGTTGCCAGCCTTGTCACTGGAAAATTCGGCACCACACAAATTACACGTCGGCGTTTCGGGGGTTGCTGCAGGCGCGACAAGCCGTGATGTCGGAGCGCTGCCGGCTGGAATTGGGACTGTGGGGGCCGCCGAAGGGACTGATGTAGGCGCATATGAGCACGCCTGGCTGAGGTCGCGCCTCGTATTCCGTCTGGCTCTCCTCCCAGTCCCGGAGTTCGGGACTGGACACTATTCGGCCAGGTCGTACCCATTCCAAGCGATGAAAGGGTATCCCGCCTCAGCGACGCGTGGATATGAAAGCGCACCTATCATGTTGCGGAGCGTCTTAGCCACCGAGCCTGGTGGTAAGCCGGCAGCAAACTCTGGATGTGACATCCAGTAGGCCACCATACCTGCAACTTGAGGTGCGGCGAAAGAAGTGCCCGAGTCTGTCGCGAGACCCGTCTGGTCGAGAGGGTCCGCGCACTTGATGTTGGCGCCGATGGCATACGTCGTGACAAGATTACCGCGCTTGCTTGTCGGAGCAATTTTGAAATCCGTCCCGGCCGAGCCTACCACGATGACGGGGAACTCCTTGGCCATGACTGCTGGCAACTTGTCTGGCTCTGCGAGGCCGTCCCGGAACTTGTTTCCAGCAGCCGCGACAACGGGGACATCCAAGCTGATCAAGCCCCTAATGACGCTGCGCATCGAGGTGGTGTAGATGGTGTTAGGCGCCCTCATGAGGATGGATGTGGTGACAACTGCCTTGCCTTTGAGCCCCTTTTGCTTGATTTCGTTGGCGGCGGCCTGGAGACCGCGGAGCAGACCGAACTCGGTAAAATCGATGCGCACGCCGACGAGGTTTGCGCGCTTTGCTACTCCCGTTGTTACACCGACAGCTTTGGAAGCCACGCACGTCCCGTGTTGGGTATCCTTCAGACTGAACCTCTTGTTTCTGGCGACGTTCAACTCCCGGCGGGTGATGTCGGTGCTGGGCGCGGTGAACTCCTCGTGCTGCAGGTCGAATGGGCCGGTGTCGACGACGTACACGGTGATGCCGTGGCCGGCAAAGTCGTCGTATCGATAATCGGGGAGTACGTCTTTTTGTTTCGGCGGCGTCGAAAGTGTACGCAGGTCAAAGATGCCGTTGTTGCGGATCGGGCTCTGCGCGATCTCTGCACGCTTCCGCCGAGTAGCCGACGACTGGGTCTTATCCGGCTCTGGATCGTCGCGTGTAAGAGGGCGGTTGATGTCGGCTCTGGCGATGACGCGGTCGGCCTTGACCTTTTCAAGTTGGTCGGCAGTGAGGTCTGCGCGCCAGATGAAGGGGATGTCGGCATCATTTACAATGGTGACCATGTTGTCTGCGCCGACCAGCCCTGCCAGGGTGTTACTGAAGCCATCGCCGTCAGCCTTGTCAGTGTTTTCCTTGGCGAAGATGATGTAGTCTGCGCTTGTAGCGCTTGGAACTGCGGACGACGATGTACTGGAAGTCGGTAGCTCCGAACTGGTGGTGCTGGCTGGTGGTTCCGATTCGGGATCGTTAGACTTTGGTGGATCATTCGGGTTCGAAGGTGCTGAGCCGGCGACAACAGATGCGCCTGCTGCAATAGGCGCTGTAACACCGTTGACAGTGTAAAAGCCGCCTATGCCAGCACCTACAACTACAACGCCAGGTAACACAGGAACGGTCTCCCCATGGTCTACAGTCACGGTTGAGGCCGGGGCTGAAGATCTGGTTGAGGGAACTGATGAGGGTACTGGGGTTGGGGTAATGGGGATAAAAGCCGATGAGGTTGCGTTACGAAAACCAGATATTGAAGGGAAAGAAGAGGTCACTGGTCCAGACCGTTGGGAATAACACACCGAAAAGAGAGCGAAGAAGAGAATGATGGACTGAATTGAATGCATAATGAGAGAAATGACCAGGACATCTCGCCAGTAAATGAACGAATGTTGAAGCTCAGTGTATAGAGAGACTCGCCTCTAGGCCATTCGTGTTCCTTGGATGGTCCAGACCAAATGACTTATGTACTAGTTTGTTGCCTGCATTTCTCCAACGTGTAAGCATGAATTCCAGGCATAGATTGTCATATGTTGCACCTAAATCTGCACGTGTAAGAGGCCATGTGGGATCCAAATCTTATTTTGAATGTAACTTGATTACAAAACCACGAATATGCTTGCCCTCGCGAAGTGCATCGATTTGAAGTGCAGATCATGATCTATTTTCCTCGCGCACATGACAGTCGAATTATGTCAGTAATAGAGGGGCCGCATGGCCTGCCGAAATTTAGGTTAATTGCGCTAAATATTCATGCTGAAGGACATATTGAGTACATTAATTGGTAGGGTATCTCTGTTGTGTGTGGTTACTGGGATACTTCCCTGACTTGGCCACGTGTCTTTTTGCAAAAGTAGGCAATGGTAGCCTTTAGATAGTAGCAGGGCAATCTATCGGCTACACATGGCTGGGAAGGATTTTGTCACAATATTTAAGCTACTATTACTGCCCACGTAACTAACAGTATCGTTTTGTTACATGACAGTTATGAGCCCAGCTCCTACCTGCTATATGCCACAATAGTATATATATATTAATTTAGTAAGTGCAGTAACTAGCTATATAGATCTTAAGCACTATAGGTTTAATTCCTATCAGGGTCCCCTAGTTTAAAATCCTACTAAAGTCTATGTAGATCTTTACTACCTATGATTAGCGAGATGTACCTAACTAGGTTTTTATCAAAAGTGTGTTCAGATCTGACTTTCTAAGTTGAATCTGGGGTGTGTGTCACAGTATATAAGCTACTATTATTGCCTACGTAACTAACGGCATTGTTTTGTTATGTGGCAGATTTTGCCAGCCAAGTACGCAAGTTTCAATAAGATGTGGACTTACAAAAGGAACAATAGGTTATAGAAAGTAAACAGATGTATTTTAGTAACGTAAATAAGACGTAAACTACACGAATTTTAATATAACATATAGGTAAGCTATAACTGCTGAAGTAATTACAGATCCATCTTTGCCATCAACTTATCGCGAACTTATTAGACTATTATAATAAGTTCGAGTTTAAGTTATCAGCAACACAACCTCAGACACATATGATTAGACCTACAAAGGCATAGTATCAGCGCTATCAAAGCAAGTAGACATCAGCTTCAACAATGTTTCGAAAGTAAATAAAGTAGCGTGTAGAGGTACTAAGCAGGCGCAATGTTGTGCGACGGAAATATCACTCCTGACAATGTACTACAACACAGAAACAGCTAAATATATAAGTTGAAGGTCAGTGAGGCGATTTAATTAAATTCAACTCCCAGATCAATAAGTCCCAGGATTACACGCAACCTTGTGTCGATCCACAAGATTGCCGGGAACGCGTTGTCTGCGTCATGAGGAGCGGCAACATATAAGCGTGTAACTTCTTTTCCAGTGAAACTGTCGGAATGATCAATCTTGAGAAGCCCAAGCAACAAGACTGCAACACCCCTTTGGCCTCGTGATGCTTATGTAGAGAAGTGTGGCCGTGCAACATCATCAGCTTCTTCGAGACCAAACTTTACAGTGCCCGGCCAGCCGGAACCATTCCCAATAACGATCCTACCAATCTTACTGTGCTCACGGCCATCGCCCCGGACGCCGCGACCGAGGTCTCGTTCCTGGCGGCGAGCGGCACACGAACTGAGATTCCAGGAGCCATGACGATGTAGTTAGGCTCACAAAGCTATACGTAGCTCGTCGTTGGTTCGGCGGTGGCCTTCCATTGCTTGAGCACGGTCCTTGTGTCTCAACAAGATTTCTTCTCCCTTGTACGGAGTATATTACATAGATGCCCATATCGATAAGCGACTAGAAGAATGCAACGTCACGACCCACCGCTACTGGTTTTATGTTTCTAGTTTCTCCAGACCCCAGAGATGTGTAATCATATGATCAGCCGTGATCACCATGAGAGTCGTATACATAGATTAGTCGTCTGGGTATGCTTGTATGCCATGTGCTCATGGCGGCGCAACCGGAAATTAGCTGGTACCCTTTTAGTGTGCATAATCAGGGCGCATCCCGCTCTTTTGTAGTTTACGAACCTGTATTTGTTATCCATCGGCTTATTACATAGGAACCATTGCGCTTCCTCTTGCCATGGTGTCGATATGTGACAACTCTTATGTTTTACCACTTTGGTAAGGGGGTCATCAGTACCATAAGTATGAAAAAAAGGGAACCTTTACGCAAGATTCGTTGTAAACCAATCAGGGTTTTCAGAAGCGCATAAAGCACTGACTGCTACCGGGCATGTGCTTAATATAATTGGATGCGGAACCCGATGCCGTCTCGCCCCCAACCCCCCCCTCCCCTTCAGCTCGCGTACGACGGCAAAAGAAAGGCCAGCATGATAAGAGGCCAAGCGTTTATCCGATCTGCCACAGATGGAAAACACTTCGTATGTGGAGAAAGTGTCAGTGGCACGTCTCAGTAAGCTCTCCTCCGCCTGCAGCTACTAGCCAGGAATTGTAGCCCTGGCGGTCCGCTGCTCACAATTACGAAAGCGAGGGGCCAAGGGTTGCGTCGCAGATCCATGGTGTAACTTTTGGGTAACCTTGCCTCGGCAAGACGGTGGAGGTCTAGACGGAATTGCTCCGGCTCCCAACCCTGCCGTGTTACTACGTGGCAGAGGGGTATCGGAGAGGTGATATTCTGTGCTCGTGTCCTCCTCCGAATTTGCTCTCCATCTCAACGGTATCAGCAACAACCTCCGGTCGGGAAGCCATCGACGACATGCTGTGGCAGATTTGGCTCCCGGTCGCTGTTGCGACGGCGGTACTCGCTGTGCAGCGATTGCGCAAGAAATACCAGCCGAGCTATGATCTGCCGGTGGTCGGCTCACCTACCGACCAGAGCCTGGCAGAGGCACTCGTCGAAGGACATCAGAAGGTAACGCAAGACTCTGACCGTTGGCGGAGAGTCCATCGCTGACCAGGAGCTGCACCCAAGTACCCAGAGTCTGCATTCGTCGTGCCCAGCGACCCCCCGCGCGTGATTCTCCCAATGAACCTCTACCCGGAGGTAATCCACGCCCCGGAATCGGAGCTCTCCTTCGGCGCCGAGATCTACGACATCTTTCTCGGCAAATACACCCACCTCGGCGAGCCCCGTCCGGAAATCGCCGAGGCGATCCGGGTAGACATGACAAGGAATCTATCGGGCATCCTGCTGCCCATTCAGGAGGAGGTCAAATTCGCCATGAAACAGTTGTTCGGGGACCTGGAAGATTTGAAATCCTTCAACGCCTACCACCTGATTCTGCGCTTGGTAGCATTGATGAGCGGGCGCGTCTTCGTCGGACTCCCCCTCAGCCGCGACGAGGAATGGATAAAGGCTTCCGTCACATTCGCGACGGATTGCGGGAAATGCAGGATGGCGGCCCTGGAATGGAACCCGTGGGTCCGAACCTGGGTGCTGCCCTTTCTCCCGGAGGTGCGCCACATGCGCCGAACGCTCCAGAAGGCCAACGAGTGGATGAGGCCCCTCGTGAATGAGGTGCTCCGGAACGAGAGCGCCCTTGAGGAGAAGCCGGTGAAGCCCGGGGCCCCTGGGGCTTTTGTGTCCTGGATGATGAAGCACGCGGCTCCCCAGAAAAAGTCTTCGGAGCATATGGGGACAAACCAGATGCTGTTGTCCTTTGCTGCCATCCACACCACGTCCTCTACTGCCACGTTTGTAGGTACCCTGCTTCGAGGGGTCGGACATTGCGGTCTTGCTGATTCGCACAGGTTCTTTACGATCTCCTGAGTCGCCCCGAGTATATCGGCCCTCTCCGGGAGGAAATCGAGCAGGTCATCGCCCAAGACGGCGCAGAGCAAGACGAGAACGGGCAGACCTTCCTCTCCAAGGTCTCCCTGAGCAAACTGAAGAAGTTGGATAGCTTCATCAAGGAAAGCCAGCGCATGAACCCGCTGAACTTTGGTACGCGAGACTCCCGAGCGGCCCCGGGCCGACTCGCAGCGCTGACGACCACGCAGGCGGCACATCGCGAAGACTCCAAAAGGACCAGACCTTTTCCAACGGCTTGAAGCTGCCCGCCGGAACTCCCATCTCATTCCCCTTGTGGGCCGTCTAGTAAGTCCTGCGAATCCCAAACTCCGGCAACTTGGGGGGAGGGGGGGGGGGCTTGCTGTTCCCCAAAAGCCACCAGCTTGTGCTCACACGGGTCCAGCAACTCCTCGTCGACGAACACTTTCAGCGCAGATTACAACGAGGGCACCGGCAACGCGCCGCCGACCGAGTTCGACGGATTCCGCTTCGCCCGCCTCCGCGAGCAGCCCGGGCGCGAGACGAAGCACCAGGCCGCGACGACCGGGCCCGACGCGTTCAACTTCGGACACGGACCGCACGCGTGCCCCGGCCGCTTCTTCGCTGTCTATGTCATCAAGTGCATCTTCATCGAGTTCCTCCTCAACTACGACATCCGGCTCAAGGGCAGCGGTGGCGAGGACGCGGGCTCCAGGCCACCGAATACGATCAAGAAGATGATCGTCATGCCGGACTTCAGCCGCGAGGTGGAAGTCGGAAAGCGGACGGGGGCTTGAAAACAACAGACCTGATGGCTTGGTTCCGTTGGACGAGGTCCGTCCCTAAAGCACTTGCTCATAGAGATTTCAAGCGAAGCGATGCGATACATCGACGGCAGTTGATGGTGTCGAAGCCAGGGATGAGGACATATGCTTGATGGAGCAAATGCTTGCTTTGCATGAGAGCTCGCGTGCGGGGAAGCATGGTGAGGATATGGGGAGATCTCCGAGGTAAATCGCCAGAAATGGCTAGTAGATATTCATTTCTAATGTAATTCTGATATGCATATATAGAACGGGACTTGAGCCACGGGTGAGCCCGCAGCCTTGGCCAGACTGGGCTTACCAACTAAGCCAGCCGAGTGGATGTTAACGTCCACATCTCGTGAGGGTGCGACTGAGTGGGTAGGTAGTACAGAAGGCCAAGCCACGATGTGCCTGGGAGTCTGACTCGTAAAGGGAGCTTCTCCCCTCTTTCCCCCCTTTCTTCTTCCTCTTTTTGGACCATGAAACAAGGCCTGACCAAGTGCTATACCGAACTATTGACGGCGATCGCCGATATCATTCTGGGATTACCACGTACGGAATGATGGAGGGGCATCCCATGATGAAAACGGATCTGGGAAGTTCGGACGAGCCACCCATGATATGGTGAAGAGTGAAAACTCGGATCACAACAGGTCGAGATTTCCAGGAGAAACGGAGTGTGCCTGAGTAGATGGTGCCCAGCCCCAGGACTTGGGATTTGTCCGCGAATCACAAAGGTGGCTGCACCCTGCCCCTCACATGGCTGAGATGATATCAGGCTGAGCGAGGTACCGAGACGCAGCCTCCCGTGGTCCCCCCCCCCCCTTGGAGCCGGCGCGTTGCCCTTTTGCCGCGTGCGGAGTGGGACGTTCCGTTCTCGCATCCATGAAAGCCAAGCCCCGTCCGTCATCCCCGTACAAAATCATCGCGCATAGCGCCGGGCAGATACGCTCAAATGGGGCAAGTGAGCAATGTGTGGAGGCGTGTAATTAAGCTCCATCGTCTCTGGATCCCTCCAAGATCGTAGTCCCCTTGCGATCCCCTTGCGCCATATGGCGGGGAATGATACGCATTGGGGAGGTAGCAATTGGAAGCCAAGTTCGACCAGAAGACCATGTGATATCCAGCTTGGCCATTCATATGTATACCAATCTGTCCTCTCTTGTTCCCGGAGGACGATATGTGGTCCCAGCCGATCTTCTCAGCTCTGTTTTGCGCCTTGACACGGCCCTCCGTCAGTCTCCTGTGAACCATGGCAAGGTTCACGGCGCTATCGCTCTGTGCAGCCTTTGCGTTTGCCGTCGGCGCGCATTCCCAGTCTTGCATTGGCAGCTCCGGACCCAAAACCTACGAGGCGGAGAGCGGAGTGCTTTCCGGAACTACGGTCGACACGGCTCAGTCTGGCTTCACGGGTAACACGCAGAACTCTTACCGGCTGTGGCATATTTTGTGTTAATCCGTGTTGCGGGACAGGCACCGGCTACGTGACCGGCTTCGAGGATGCCACCGACAAGGTCACCATCAACGTCGACTGCCAGGGAGATGGCCAGAAGCTTTTCGACCTGAGCATCAGATATGCCGCCATCTACGGCGAGAAGCGCACGAACGTCGTCTTGAACGGCGGCGCCGCCAGCGAGGTGTTGTTGACCGCCGGCCAGACCTGGGCCAACGTCAACGCCGGCCAGGTGTTGCTCAACGAGGGCAACAACACGATTGACATCGTGAGCAACTGGGGATGGTACGGCCCATGATGTCCCCGTCCTACATACCGTAACACTTGACTTACGTCGTGCAGGTACCTCATCGACTCCATCATCCTCACGCCTACCGAGCCACGCGGGCCCCACGACATCAACACCGCTCTCGTCAACGCGAACGCCAACGCCGACGCGAACGCCCTCTACAAATACCTCCGCTCCATCTACGGCAACCACATCCTCTCCGGCCAGCAGGAGCTCTCGTACTCCGACTGGGTCAACGAGACGGTCGGCAAGCTTCCCGCGCTCGTCAGCGTCGACCTGATGGACTACTCCCCCAGCCGCGTCGAGCACGGCACCGTCGGCGCCGCCGTCGAGGATGCCATCGCGCACCACGCGCGGGGCGGCATCGTCGCCGCCCTCTGGCACTGGAACGCGCCGGCCGGCCTCTACGACACCGAGGCGAACCCGTGGTGGAGCGGCTTCTACACGCGCGCCACCGACTTCGACGTCGCGACGGCCCTCGCGGACCCCGCCGGCGCCAACTACACCCTCATCATCCGCGACATCGACGCCATCGCCGCCCAGCTCGCGAGGCTCCGGGACGCCGGCGTGCCCGTCATCTGGCGCCCGCTGCACGAGGCCGAGGGCGCGTGGTTCTGGTGGGGGGCCCAGGGGCCCGAGGCGTGCAAGAAGCTCTATGCTCTGCTGTACGACCGGCTCACCAACCACCACGGGCTGGACAACCTCGTCTGGAACTGGAACTCGGTCTCGGCGGACTGGTACCCCGGCGACGACACCGTTGACATTCTCAGCACAGACGTGTACGCCCAGGGCCATGGAGTACGCCTTCCCCCCCTCTCCCTTATGTTCCAGCTGTTGATATTGCGACTGACATCTGTCTAGCCCATGACCTCGCAGTACAATGACCTCCTCGCCCTCGGCAAGGATAAGAAGCTCATTGCGGCGGCCGAGGTTGGGAGCGCCCCCTTTCCTGATCTTCTTCAGGCGTACGGAGCAGACTGGCTGTACTTCTGCGTCTGGAGTGACACCTATATCAACAACCCAGAGTGGAACAGCGTCGAGGACCTGAAGAAGGTATGTGGTCCTGCGAAACTTGGTCTTGGCTCTTTTGCAGAAGTCGCTGACGAACGAAATGGCAGATATACGACAGCGAATATGTCCTTACTCTTGACGAAATCCAAGGATGGAGAGGTTGAGAGGTGCGAGACGGGTTGGGCTGATTATATGTATCCTCTAGATATCTGCATAGTAATTGGTAATGTATGACAATTTTCATGACGAAAATCCGTGGTTACATCGTCTCAAGGCCCCAAAAAGGCGTGTGTGAGATTCTGAAGACGATTTTTACTGTATATGTGAACAACTTGTTTTGAAAGCGCGAGCAGATTCCAAACTTTCGTCCCGTGCAATATGGATGCATATGAGAACTTCTGCTTGGATACTTCTTCCCCAAAAATTGCTACAGGGCCTCTATATAAACCAAAGCTTTAACAACATTCGCGACTGACCCCATCCGGGCTTGATCGGGCTCACGTAGTCAGGGGATTACTGGGGTAGCCGGATTCTGTAACCCCAGGATCTGAAGAATGCAAGGAGCTTGCTTGGAACATACGACCCCAACCTCGCATTCACCATGTGCTATGCTATTCCCGTTCGTATTCATCTTGGCCTCTAACTGGAAAAAAAGAGACCTCGTTCGTCATCGGCTGGTTGCTGAGGTGATGCAGCCGTTCGCCGCTTCGGCGATTCCGCGTTCCTCGCATACATGGCGGGGGGTGAACTGCCCCGCAACATTGCCGATTGAGCCAAAACATTGCATAACGAGAGAAAAATCCTCCATTCGACTACACTATGAGAAGACAGCAGTTGAGTCAATGGCGGCGCACTTCCACCTTGCAGAGCGGCCGATAGTACCGAAGATGTGGCCGGAGATGAACGGAGCCAGCTGCAAAGATCGTGGACCGACCATCTCGTGAACGGATCGAGAGAGCTGCACAAATATATAATTACATTGGGTGTTACTAGCAATTTCCCTAATCTTTCCCAGCGGCCCCCGTTTTAGGGTGCATATGTGCTCTCCCGGTGACATGTACATGGGTTTTGTACACATGAATCTGCGACAGCATAGATGCCAATACAGAACCATTGCATTCGAGTCTGTCTCGCGGTCTTATGTACATGACGACGGTCTTTGATGTCAACATGGCCTCTCGTATACGGACCCCTCACACCAAGAGCGTACGACGGGAGAATGAGAAAGAGAAAGAGAAAAACAGATAAATTGAAGAGAAAAACAGGCCTGTCCCGCCCAGCCAAGCAACCGGATGATCGACAGGGAGGTCGACAGCCGCAGATACTCACAAGGATGCGAGCTCCGCGTTGGATGGTTCCAACTCGCGTGGGCACATATTCCCCCTCCATCACCACCCCAAGAAACTGGCCCTAACCGAGATCAAAAGAGATAGATACATACTACCTCGACGATGGAAGCCGACTGCTGATGGACGTGAACAGGTTCCTGTAAGCGGACCGTGAAATCCAATCTCTTGTCTTCCGCGGCGGCCACCCTTGCACAAACACAGGCGTCTGCATCCTCCTTTGCGATGGATGGGGGGGGGGGGCGTTGGCGTTGCCGATTCGTCGCGCCCCCCCTCGTTTTACCCCTGGACGCCATCTAGCGCCACCAAGACGCAAACGACAAAGTCAACAACAAAAACAACATCTACAACCTCCTCCATCCCCCCCCCCCCCGCTCTCACACATCTCACAATCTCAGAACCCCACCCTCCATGATGGCAGACGACGAACGCAAAGACCCGAGACCGCTGAGGCTGGACGACCTCCCGCTGGAGATCCTGGCCAGCGTCGTCGCGTACTGCGAGGGCGGCGTCCCGACACGCGACGAGGACCCGGACCCCGCGGCGACATCGACGACGATATCAGCAGTGGCAACGGCGGCGGCGGCGGCGGCGGTGGCGCCCGAATCCCATCCATCACCGCCGCCGCCGCCGCCGCGGGACCTCGCCACGATCCGCAGCCTACGCCTCACCAACCGCCTGCTCGCCTCCGTCGCGGCGCCGCACCTCGTCCGCGTCCTCGACGTCGCCATGACCCCCGCCTCCCTCGCCCGGCTCGACGCCGTCTCGCGCCACCCGGCCATCGCCGCCGGCGTGCGCCGCCTCCGCGTCAGCCTCGCCACGTACCCGGCGCCCCTCGCCGCCGACCCCGCCGAGTTCGCCCGCTTCGCCGTCCGCAGCCTCCTCGCCGAGGCCGCCCGCGCCGACCGCGCCGCCGCCCTCGCCGCCGACGACCTCGCCAAGCACAGGGCCCGCGTGCAGGAGTGGATGCGCCCCGGCGCCGCCCAGTCGTCGCCCTTCCTGCGGGACGCCTTCGCCGAGTACCGCCGCCGCCACGAGGCCTGCGCCGCCGCCCGCGCCGGGTTCGGCGCCGCCGTCGCGCGCGCGACCGCCCGCAGCATGCGCCACGCCACCGTCCTCGAGGTCAACGACGAGGTCGCCCAGGGCCCGCGCGGCCGCTGGCACGCGAGGCACTCGCCCCGCCGCCAGGACGACGGCCTCGTCGACGAGCCGGCGCTGGCGGAGCTCCTCGCGCTGCCGATGCCGTGGGAAGACGCCGCCGGGTACACGTGGGGGACCTCGGCCGCCGGCGACCACCACCCCGTCGAAGCCCTCCGCGAGCTCCTGGCTGACCTCGGCCGCCTCGGCGTCCGGCTCGCCCGCCTCGTCGTGGACCTCACGCCGCCCGCGCGGTACCACGGGTTGGCGTGCACCGACGACGCCGAGCGCGCGCACATCGCGCACGCGGTCCGCGACGTGCGCGGCGCCGTCTTCGCTCTGAGGCCGGGAAACGAGGTGCGCCGGGAGGCCGGACCGCCGGCGTGGCCTCCGCGCGGGCCGGCGGAGCTCGAGGCCCTCGGCAGCTTCGCGAGCGCGGCGCTGGCGTCGGAGGCGCTCGAGGACGCCGTCCTCGACTTCGCGGCGCTCCGGCGCGAGAACCAGGACCTCTGGGCCCTCGACACGGTCCTGGGCGCCGCGCCGCGCGGCTGGCGGCTCCTGCACCGGCTGGACCTGCGCGGCGCGTGCCTCAGCGCCGACGACCTCGGGGTCCTCGTCGGCGAGCGGCTGGCGTCGCTCAGCCTGTCCGTGCCGCACCTGACGGCGGGGTCCTGGGCCGAGGTGTTGGAGATGCTGCGCGCCCGGGCGGACCCGGGGAGGAGGGACGTGGGCGAGACGCCGCTGGAGCTGGACGCGCTGACGAGCCCGACGGGCGGGGAGGCCGAGACGATGACGGGCGCGCAGTACGATGGCGTCTTCTCGCAGCCCAGGGGCTGGGCATTGTATGAGGCGCAGCTCAGCGGCGAGCCCATACTGAGCGCCGCCGTGCGGTTCGTATCTCACCTGCAAGATGAGAATCCGGTACGCGCGGTGCTTTGAGGGACGCCGGGCGAGGCTGTTCTACTCTCACATGCAGCGGTTTCTTGATAGATATGCGTGTAGCATGAGGCGTTACGCCGTCTCGGCTCTGGTGATGACCGCCGGTGGTTTAAAAGATCCATTCCATAATGTGACATATGGTTGATCCAAGCCGCATCCTTCCTTTCTACACTTCTAACCCCAATCCCCGGTCTCCAAAGCCCATCGACAAAGGCGTCGACCCAAACTGTAATCGTCACGCCACGACATCCCACCAGATCGAGACCGCAACGTCTTTTCCTCGCTCTCCTGTCCCTGCACATCACCTTTGCTTCCCCCCCTCCAAGACCTTGCCGTAGTCTCCATAGATACCCCGCCGCCCGTCCTCGCGGCAGAGCACTCAAGAAAGCCCGGCTACGAACTCCCAATCCGGGGATGGGGGAAGAAGCGGAAATACACAAACGAGCGGCCAGCAGCAACCGTTTCGGGGTTGAGCTCCACCCTAGGCCCGGACTTTTGATATGGGCGGAGATTGGGACACTGGAGCGAACCATGGGGGGGAGAGACGGGGAGATTGCAACGTTGCTATCAGACCTCTCTCTCTCTAACCTAAACCCCCAACCCCGAACTCTGCAAGCCTGGTTGAATGGTAGCCACGGTACCGAAATATTCGTATGCTTCTCAAATTTCCTCGTAGCTTCGATTGCCGGCTCGACGTTTGGGGTTAGCACAGTTGCGTCCAACGTTGCCAGAAAACAAACCAACCTCCGGCCTGATGCACTTGCATGTCCTCCCTTGTGTCCCGCAGGATGCGGTGCCTTGCTTCGAGCGACTGTATCTCCGTATCGGCCTTTTCCCGCATGTGTATGTATGCATTATGATGCCATACAGCTCCCGTCCATATGGCGGGGTTAATGTAGTGTTCAACCCGGATGCTACCTTCTACAAACGCGTAGCTCTTCGTCCCCTTTCCTACCGCGCCGACGGCTTGGCTGCCATCGTCGTTCCACGCTCGACGCCTCCAACGTAATTGCCCCGCGTCTGCAAAAGGCCATGCTCCTAGTGTGATTGGCACCGTGCAGACTGGATGGTTACCTTGATAAGGAGTGCGTGTATGCGGCTATATAGTGCCCATCCTCCAGTCAAACAAGACGCCTCGAACCGGCCCGACATCGTGTCGGCGAATCGACGCAGTTCACCCCCCACGATGCGCTTCACACTTCTCCCAACCTGCCTTGCGCTCACGGCGGTGGCAGACTCGCTCCCCGGCCTCCCAACGGTTCCCTTCACCTCCACGGGCGGCACCCTCCCCCCCGCTTTCCTTACCAAGATCATCGTCTCCTCCGACTTTGCAGAGTCCGTCGACGAAGCCGGACAGACCCTGATCCCGCCAACGCTGCACTCCTTCGCTGCAACCTTTGCCTCTGATCTCGCCTCCACTCTTCACCTCGACATCCCCGTCAAGCTTGGTGACGCTGCGGAGCAGGGGTCGATTTTCCTCACGCTGGGCGATGCGGGGCTCTACAGGGACGCCGCAGGTCGCGAGAGCTCCGAGGGGTATTCGCTGAACGTGACCATCGACGGAGTTCTGATCACCGGCGCGAGTCCGTTGGGGGTGTGGTGGGGGACCCGATCTCTTCTACAGCAGCTGGTCCTCGGCAACGGCGAAGTGAAGTTGGGATACGGGACCGATACGCCCGGCTGGGGCACCCGGGGAATGATGGTGAGATCTTTCCTCCCCTCGCCGCTACCCCGGTGCCGACGCGGGGCGCTCCCCGCTCCCCGCGTCCCGAGCCCGGCCCCAGAACCCGGACGCTAACCCGCCGACCGCTGATACCGTAGCTCGACATCGCCCGCCACTACTACCCCCCGAGTTCCTCGTCGAGATGTGCGCTTACATGTCCTTCTTCAAACAAAATACGTTCCAGCTGCACCTCAGCGACAACCTCTACAACAATGTCGCCATCTATTCCCGCGAGCGGAGCCTCTCGCTGTACGCCGCGTTCCGCCTGCTGTCCGACGACCCGTCGCTCGAGGGGCTCAACAAGCGCGCCAACGAGTCCTATACACGCGACGTCTTTGACGACATCCAGACGAAATGCGCCGCGCGAGGCGTCACGGTGCTGCCGGAGATCGAGGCGCCAGGGCACGCGCTGGTGATTTCGCAATGGAGGCCGGAGCTCGGGCTGAACAGCGACTTGAGCCTGTTGAACATATCGAACCCTGAAACGATTCCGGCGGTCAAGAAGATCTGGGATACCTTTCTGCCGTGGTTTCACACCAAGACGGTGTCGATCGGCGCGGATGAGTACGTTGACCCGACGTTGAGCGAAGAGTAAGTCACAACATATTCCGGGCTAAGGGTATGTGCTCACCATCTATTAAGGGCACTCGTCGGAGAGTACACACGCTTTGTGGACGAAATGAACGAGCACATCACGAGTACATCCGGGAAGCATGTCCGCATCTGGGGTACGTTTGCCCCTTCGGTCGGCGGGACCGTCAACAAGTCAGTCTCGATCCAGCACTGGGCCAACTTCGAGGCGAACCCACTCTACGACTTTCTCAACAACGGCTACGACGTGCTGAACTCGGGCGACTACGTGTATACCGTTGGGAAATGGTCGCAATGGTATGGTCCAACATTGAGCCTCGAGTTCATCTTCCACGGCTCGCCGGACGGGTCGGCCTTTGCGCCCAACGTCTTTGATCGCGAAAATGCCACCAATAATGTTGCGAGAGACAGCCCGTCGCTACTGGGGCACATTGCGCCGCAATGGAACGACTACGGTCCGAACGCAACGACAGTGACGGAGGGCTACTTCCAGTGGCGGGACGGATTGCCTGCGCTCGCGGACAAGCAGTGGGGAGGCGAGGTGGCCGAGGCCGACTATGAATTTCTGTTCTCTGCGCTGCAGCCTTTCGCGCCGGGGCAGAATCTGGACCGCAGGATCGCGTCCAAGGGACCGACGATTGTGGAATACGACTTCAGACAGGGGCAAGGTCACAACGGCACGACTGTGGAGGATAGGTCGGGGAACGAATACCATGCGACGTCAACGTGCGCGACGGGCAACGAGGGCGCTATCCTTGCGGCGTCGTGTCGCATCGCGACTCCTTTGGTGCAAAAGGGGCGGAACTACACGCTCTCCTTCACCGTCAAGCCCACATCGGAAGCCAGGGGAGCCATCTTCAGCGGCGGAGACAGTGGGCTGTGGTTCGGCAACGGGAGCGTGGACGCCGTCATGCTCTTCTCGGGGAGAGCACGTACGCGCTCAACTACACGTTTCCCGTGGGGCAATGGACGAACGCGAGCCTCATTGGCAGGGGCACGCAGACGTTTCTGGACGTCGGGGAGGGCGAGCCCATGGAGTTTCTGACTGTGCTGGGATGGAACGGGGACCGGTTTGTTTGGGCACCGATTGCGGTAGAGGCGCCTTTGGCCACAATCGGCGGCAGCGGGTTTGAAGGCGTCATAGGCCAGATGAAGCTGGTTGACGACGCTTAGAATAGTGCCGTTTTTATTGTCTGGGGGGCCAGGCTTACAATGGCTTACCCCAGCTACGGGATAATGTTCTGCTGGGGGCGGGGGCGGCGCTGCGGTGTTTGTTGCAATCATTGGAGGTTTGAATTCGATTTCATGCGGCAGAGGACCGGGTCGACTGAATCGTATAGGTATTTCAGAGCATGGCGTTCTTAAAACAGCCTGCTAGCGTACCTACTCTACGACAGGATAGGGGTGCGAAACCAACTGGTGTCCGTTGTCCTGCGAGATGAGCCACCAATACCTAGTCAACAAGTATCATCCTTCGCGTCAAGGGGGTCATTAGGAGAGGTGGAATGTGGCAGAAAGTTCTCTCGCAAAACGGCAAAACGGCTTTCCAATGCGAAGTTGCTTCGGGAGCGGATCATGGCTGATGTTGTTGTTGTTGTTATTGGAACCCTCGGCCGCAGCAATAGGTACCGTACCTGTAGGTAAGGACGATGTCGCATTTAGGACTCGATGCGGTAGCGTGGCCGACCCGGGTGACCGATCGGGGGTGATTCGGGGATCTTTGACAGTGAACCAGTGGGCGTGTGGGATACCGGGGGGGCCAGAGGGCCTGAGGGTATCATTGCGTGTACCCCTTTTGAGGGCGTCGGCGAGTAAAAGGGAAAAGCCGCCCCCTGGCGACGGCAGCGGATGTTCGGTGCAGGGGGTAGACGACGGGCCAGGGGCTGAATCAGGGTCCAAAAAAGGGTCCTTGTGTGCCAGAGATGGGCCAACCGTGGGCGACGGGCAGCTGCTATGCAAGGCTTTTGGACTTGATTCTTGGCTGTCAACTGTCAGCAATAAGCCGTGGGCCCAAACATCCAAGAACCGTTAGATGCCCACTACCCCTCAGTCAAACGGCTTTCTGGGCTGCTGGTGACGGACGGGTGACGGGTGCCGGTGGGTGCTGGCGATGGGTTCCATGATGTTCTCCAAGGAACAGTCGGCGTTAATGATGGATAGGCAGGCAGGCAGGTAGGTAGGTGGGTAGTCGGTCTGTTGGCGGCGAGACAGGATGAGGAAGATGAGCTGGGTTGACGGATGGATGGATGGATGGGATGGGATGCCTTCGTCTAATCGTGGTGGCCTGGACGACTGCTGCGGGAACGAGAATAGACGGAGCGGCAACCGAAGCTTCGGGGATGCCGCGCCCGAGTATTGTAAGTTGTGCTGAGCGAAGGTCCAGATGACTGAGAGGCCGTCGGACGTCTATTACGTGTTGGCGACGAGAGATTGCGGCATATTGTAGGGAGCACAATATACGGTGTAGATGTAAAGAGTTGTCACGGCCGGCCGCGATTGAAACTTGGAAGGCGCACGAGAGACGAGGATCGCGTAGGTACGTACCGAATAGATGGAAATGGCGAGGATGGAAGTGTGGGTAGGCTGGTAGCACATATCAACAGGTACCCAAGGTGGTGTGCAGTACGTACCGAGCCTTACCTACCTGCTCTGCTTTGCTCTGTCAAAGTGCCAAAAGTGGGCAGCCACGACCTCTGCCTGGGAATCTGAGCACGATACAACCATGTGCTTGCACTGTCTAGGCACAGTACGGAATTACAGCTTACCTGCGGGGCCAAGCTTAGAGTTTACATGGTGGCCGAAGCCAAACAAGGGCAAGAGCGGGGCAGAACGAGTCAATTGCCCTGTTCTTGCCCATATTCTCTGCTTCCTGCCGGAACGACTCTCATCGATTCCAAGTTTCTAACCGGCAACTGCCACCACCCCCTTCCTTACCTTCCCTCGTTGTGACCTAGTCACCTGGGGGGGGGGGGGGGGGGGGGCAATGAATGGAGACGTACGTACATCGTACGTAGGTACGTCCGTAGATGGAGGGAAGGAGGGTAGGAAGGAAGGAAGGAAGGAAGGAAGGAAGGATCGATGGCAATGAGATGGATGAGGCATATACTCAAAACAAGCACCTGCCGTGCAAAACAACTCTTTTTTGGCCGTCACAATCGCTATTATTTCCGTTTCCATCGATCTTGATCATTACCTCTGAGAATGAATGGCTTGCATTACGTATTTCTTTCTTCCTTATCCTTTCTCTCTCTTGTTCCCTCTCTGTGCTCGCCCTACCCGAATGAAAAGAAAGCAAGCAAGCACTAGGATAACCTAAACCTTTGCCCGCTTCATTTCCCTTTGTCATCTTTCCGCAGCCATCGTCATCATCGTTGACAATGGAGCACCGGCAAACCCCTCCCCCCGTCCCATTGTCACTTCACCGCTTCCCGCCCTGCCCCATCCGATGCTTCTCGATTCTCAAACTGATCATCGTCTCCCCCATCGGCCGCGGCTAGGGGAGGGGTGGTGAGTGACAAGAGCTGGAACTGGATCTGGAACTGGATCTGGAACTCTGGGGCTCTGAAAAATCCAATACACCTAGTTTACCTATTTCACAGATACTTATCGCTGTACCTCTGGCAGTTGTACGGGTATGCGGTACCTACTGTAAAGGTATCTTCCTAGGTAATGTGCGTGTATACGTCCAGCACGCCTAAGGCACATAGATACCTACCAACTGCTAGGTATACCTAGCCAAGTACCTACCTGCTATTCGTACTCTGTACACACATACTTGTTCTCGAGTGGGGGCCAGTCAGCCCCAAAAGATCCAAGAAAAGAGCAACCGGAGCCAGCCCCGTCCCTTGATCCTGCCCTGACGTTCGTTTCTATGGTTGGTTCGTTCCCCTAACGCCCACCCCCCCCCTAAGCCACTGACTGGTTCGCTCTCTCGGCAAACTCGTGATGCGTCCGGCGCACTCAGACGATATACGACGACGACAACGAAAGGTAGTTTTACCTACCTACATCGAGATGGCAATATTGCGGAATCGCTCCGTGCCGTGCCCTAGCGATTACCACGCGAAGCCTCGACAGAACAAAGCCTCAACAACCTTTTTCTCCGTCAGTTGACGCCCGTCGACTATCCACACGTTGATCTATTTTCAACGATCCCATGTCATGCGTGCACATACATTACATTACATCCACGACATACACACACACACTCTCTCTCTCCGTCTTCGACGCAACCTTGGGGCCGGAAGATGCGCGACGTCCAGTAACTCTGTCCGACTGCAATCACGATGGTCAATACACTTTGCCCATCATTGTCGCAGAAGGCCCTCGGATCTCGCTGTGTGCGTGTGTGTGTCTTGCTGTTGTCCCTCCAGCCATCGTCGCTCTGTCCATTCCGATAGGGCTTGGCCAACGCCCTCAATCTCCGTCTGGAAGTGTTGCGTTTATGCACCAAAGACACCAGCACATTGACAGGTTCGCTCCATCTCCCGCCATCTGGTCAACGTTCATTCACACATGCCCATGGAAACATACATGCCTTGGTAATTGATTACTATTGGCTTCTCATCCACGTGCTGCTGCGCTAAAGTCTTCTACAGGTAATGGGTAATGTGGACCCCTGGTTCTTCGCCGGAATGAACGAGATAGATAACCAGGTCGGACCGGACGAGGGTGGCACATGTCGCATCTCGGGTTGGGTACTCCGTATACATCTGAACTAGAGGGCTATCCAAGTCAACCGGCCTCCTGACAATGTGTGTACACGACTACTATTATACAGCAGTCCGCTCGACATACCGTCGCTAAGTACGCATCATTACACCCCCCCCTACCTCCTAATACTGCAAAGGGGCAAGCTGCACACTTCCTAGGCCGGCCGCTAACGATCTAGCGCATCTCAGAACCTTCGAGGGTCACCCATCGACGCAAAACGGAGGCAAACGGGCCCGCGCACATTTCCACCAACATCAACCCACACTCGAGTACCTCCAGGTATTCCACCGAGTGATTGGGTACGCCTGGAAACCCTGCCTCCCACGGGTTGCAATGGCAAATCTCCAAACCGCCCAAATAACCGGTTTAACATTCCAGGCAAGGATGTGCGTAGCCTTGGTCTGGGCCCTGCAAGCCCACGAACACACTCCCCCCCCCCCCCCTCGACCCCTTCGACCCCTTCGACCGACAGCCCTTGCGCTAATGTGCGCCTTCGCTTGATGTCTGTCTACACAGCCTACACTCGACTGCTGATACCTGCTGCCGCTGCCGCTACCGCTAGTATACTGCTGCCGCTGTTGCTGCTGGGAGACCACCCGTCGAGAAATGGCCATGTTCTCTCCCCCTACCCCAATCCTCTCGGACAGCGCCCACCCCGGCTGCCGAGATCCCTGCTTTCCCCCAGTAGGGAGGGAGGGGCGCCGCGGCATTTCAGTCATGCTCGCCGCCTCACCTTCGATGCACACTCCTCCTCCCTGATCTTAACCCGGACCCAAACCTGGGTCAACCCGATTCTCGTCCCGATTTCCATCCTGATCTTGGGCATAATCTTGACCCAACCCGACCTGACCTCACCTCAACTCACCTGACCGGACCCGGCCTTGACTCTACGACGGTGTTGATTACAGGAGACCGCAACAAGAACAACAACAAAAACAACTTGACGCTCCTTCCCCTCCCCTTTCCATCCGTGTTCGCCGTCGTCCTGGATCAACCCGTCCGGCAGATCATGGGCACGACGACTTGCATCAACCCACTTCACGACGACCTGCATGAAGTATGAACAAGATATCAGAGGGTGCCCGTGAATGGGAGACGTTCAAGTGCGTTACCCCTTCCTCAAAAGCCTGCTCTGTTCGTCGGTCCCGATACCTCGTGGACTCGTGGGCTCGTCGACTGGGCTCTCTTATGACTGACTGGACTGACTGACAAACCTCGGTAACAAAAGATATGACTCTTTCCACATCCCCAACGCCGTCTTCAACAGTCCCGACCGACCGATTCCCCCCTCCTCGCTCGCGTCATCGCCCGATACGGGCCTCACTGCCTTTGCGCAGCTGGGCGCTCTGCGGCTCAATGCTTCTCGAGCATTGATTTCCCTGTTCGATCGCCGCAACCAGTACATCGTCGCCGAGGCCACTCGTTACATGCCGCTGGCGCCCGATGCCAAGTATCCCACGCAAAATCATCTCTGGCTCTGCGGAACAGCCATCCCTCGCGCATTCGGGATCTGCGAACATGTCTTGATTGGAGCAACCCAAGAAGCGTCGAATCCTCGACACCCGTCGGCAGCCGCCAATGAGAGCGAGCTCCCCGTGGCCGTGGTTCCGGATCTCGCAGCTGACCGGCGGTTCTGTGACCGTCCGTATATCGAGGCCGCCCCGTACAACCGCTTTTATGCGGGTGTTCCTATCCGATCTCCCAAGGGTATCAACATTGGTGTTTACTGCATCTTCGATGACCGCCCACGCGCCGGGCTCGATGCCGATTCGGTTCAATTCCTGCGCGACACCGCCCAAACCATTATGAAATATCTCGAGGCCAGGAGGGTCAATGAAAGCTACCGCCGCAGCGAGCGTATGGTGCAGGGATTGGGCAATTTCATCGAAGGCAGAGATGACCCCGTCCCACCGCCAAAGTTCGACCCGCGATCGGCCACGAATGGCTTCGAGCCGCCTCAGCTGGCGGTGTCACTTTCGGGGACGGACTCGCCGTCGCCCGAATCCCCCGAAACCGCCGACCCCCCCGTTCGACCGGGCATCAACCCAACCAGCCCGGAAGCGACAAGTTCCCCCACCAAGGTCGACTCAAGCGATTCCGTCGAGACCACAGCAACAACAGCTACGGTGGCGACGACCACATCGAGCACTGCTCCGCCGGACCCGCACTTGTCGGAAACGATCAAGATCTTTTCGCGGGCGGCCAATGTGATTAGAAAGTACCTTGAAGTAGACGGTGCCCTTTTCCTAGACGCCAGCATTGGATCATTTGGCGGCCTCGTGACAGGTCCTCGCCGGGCAAGCGATGTGGCAGACCGCGACTTCTCGAGCAGCGAAGACAGCCTCTCCGAAAGGCCCGAAGATGACGACGATGGATGGTGCAAGACTTTTGGCAGATCATCCACCGTGGAGGGCGGCAGCAGCGGGCCAGACATGCCACAGCTGGGTCGCAAAACTTTGCGCGAGAGATTTCTTAGGAAACTACTTCGTAAGTATCCCAACGGAAAGGTGTTCAGCTTCGATGAGACGGGGAACTGGCTAGCTGCCGACTACGAAAACGATGATGCCGATATCACGCCCACGGAAGAGACCGAACGGCTACCCACGCGGCCCGACAGCAAGGCAGCTCATTCGTATTTCACCAAGAGGAACGAGGCAAAGACCATCATCGACATCTTTCCAGGCGCAAGGAGCATCGCGATTGTTCCGTTGTGGGATCCTTCGAAAGAGCGATGCTTTGCTGGGGGGTTTGTTTGGAGCAAGAGCGCCACTCGTATCCTAACGCCATCTGCGGACTTGCCCTTCCTACGGGCATTCGGAATGGTCACCATGTCCGAGGTTATCCGGCTCGACGCCATTTTGGCAGACAGGGCGAAGACGGACATTCTGGGTTCCCTGAGCCACGAGCTTCGGTCACCACTCCACGGGGTCGTCGCCGCGGCCGAGCTTCTTCACGATACCCAGCTGGACGCTTTCCAGGTCGATGTCATCCACACCATCGAGATATCAGGCAAGACGCTACTCGACACCATTGATCACGTAGGCACAGACCCCCCCCCCCCCCCCGTCCACGCGTCACGACGCCCTTTTGCGCATACTGACACCCCCCCCACAGCTGCTGGATTATAGCAAGGTCAACACATTCCTACGGGCGTCCAAGTCTCGGCGCAAGAACAGCGGGATGGGACGAGGTTTGCGACCGGAAACGTCGGCATCCATCGAATCGGGCATGATGAGTCTGGTGTCGGACGTGCACCTCGACTTGCTCGTCGAGGAAGTCATCGAAAGCGTCTTCATTGGCCACAGTTTCCACCACATGGTTGCCTCTTCACTGGCTCGACACGGCACATCGTCGGGGCCCCCTACCCCGGCTCAGGAGAAGCTGGACGCCATCGCGACATCCGACGGCCTGGGCCATAGGCGAGGACCCTCCGAAAGCCAGCCTGCCAGCCTCAAGGACGTCAAAATCCTCGTTGACATTGATCCGCAGTCGTCGTGGGTGTTCCACACCAACCCTGGCGCTATCCGCCGCGTTGTCATGAACCTGTTTGGAAATGCGCTCAAGTACACGTCAAAAGGATTCGTAAAGATCCACCTGCGGCAGAAGGAGGTTGTGCACAAGTCGTCGAGGTCTGCGTCGATGGTGGTACTCACTGTGACCGACTCGGGCAAAGGCATCAGCGAGGAATTCCTCCACAACAAGCTCTTTACCCCCTTTTCCCAAGAAGATTCCCTGGCACCGGGCACTGGCCTGGGCCTGAGCCTTGTTCGGCAAATCGTCACCGGCCTCGGCGGGACGATCAGCGTGAGAAGCCAAGTCGGCCACGGGACGAGCATGACGGTATCGATGCCACTCGTACTCTCGCGAAAGGCAGATGGTCGTGGCAGGAAGTTCTCTTCTGATCTCAAGACCTTGGCTGGCACTCGACTGTCGGTTCGTGGATTTAGTCGCGGCTTGGAGGACTCGGAGGAGCTGCGCGCCGGCGGACTCGACCTCCCCGTAGAAAGCTTGCCTTTCAAGTGGATGGATGTCAAGATCAACGAGGACAGCCGGTGCCCGGACGGTTCTGATCTGACGGTGTGCAGTGAGGAGGCGTTTAAGAGGCACGGCATGTCAGAGACTGGAGGTGTCGAGACACCGCTTGTAGTGGTGTGCGGGAACGCCGAGGCTGCGCAGAAGCTCGCCACGTCGTACAGACGTTCCCTTCGTCACGAGGCCGTCATGGAGTTTATCGCTCAGCCGTAAGTTGCTTGTCGCCTTGAGAGTTGAGTTGCAAGGCTAACCCGATATCCAGCACCGGGCCCAGGAAGGTCGCAAAGGCTCTGGCCTGCGCCCTCGACCGCTGGAAGCAGCGTCAACCAGCCGCCAAACCGATAGCAGTCAGCCCACAGTCCGAAGCTTTCCCTCCGCTAGCCCCGGGCTCACGCGTGTTGAGGCCAGACACCCTGACGACGAGGCCGAGAGCGCAGTCGGAGACGGTGAGGATGGTGAGGGTAACATCGCCTCCCCCCGATAATGCGTCTCAGTCGCCCGGGGACAGTTGGATCGCCAATACAAACGATTCCAACAACTTTACGTTGACGCTTCCGTTCCGGCCGGCGCCATCAGCGGCGACGCCGGCTATGCCGACAGCTCCGGCCAAGAGCAGCACGAGAACCAGCGTGCCCCCTTCGCCTGGTATCGCCAAGTCACCATCGGAGTTTCTCTTGGTGGACGACAACGCAATCAATCTCAAGGTTGGCTAGCGTCCTTTGCCCACCGGGCACTCAGTCCGTGCAGGATGCTGACGAGAAGCAGATTTTGTCGGCCTACATGAAGAGGCTTCAGAAACGGCACACCACCGCCTCAAACGGTCTCGAGGCTCTACAAGCGTACACAACACAACCGCAGCGGTTCTGCTGCATTCTCATAGGTATGCTCTCTTCATTTGGGATGGGCAGATATGCTATTTGAAAAGCCAGACAGTCTAACAGCGTGCAGACATAACGATGCCTGTCATGGACGGGCTTGAAGCTACAAGGCGGATCAGGAAGTTTGAGCGAGCGCAGAACCTGGCGCCGGTGACTGTGATCGCTATCACCAGTTTGGGATCGCAGAGCGCCCGGCAAGAGGGCTTCGCCAGCGGAATGGACCTCTTCTTGACGCGACCGGTGACCATGACGGAGCTGGTCAAGATTTTGAAGCTACGGAAACTAGTGGACGAGACAACGGAGAAGGAAGTCTTGTCGCAATGACCAGAGTGGTTTTTTGTTGTTTTTTTTCCACTTCTCTTTATGATGGGCGTATCTATGGGAAGGGCCCATTTCGTCTGTCTTGCTCTGTTTCTTCGTCCTCTTGCTGTACGGCGTGGACCACGAGTTGTTTTTGTTTTTGTTCATTTGGTCGCAATTTCCGCAAGGCGTTACGGTGGGGATACGACTGAATTGGTCCCGGCAAGGGACCTAGAATTGGCTCCAAAGAAAAGGCAGCATTTTGTTTTGTCAAGTCATGTCTTGAGGTTCGGCATTGGCTGAGTGCGAAAAGGGGGGGGAGATATTGGACGGAAAGACACGGGCGTAGGGAAGAGAGGATTTGCAGACAGACGCAACGGCCGGCGCTACGGTGGGGAAAAGGTTGTATCCATCCAGTTACGTAGTCGCAGGTGGAAAGAGAGGGAGAAAGGAAAAAGAAAAGCATGACACAATATCGTCTAAGTAGATGGCGGCTCTGTGACCCGGTTGTTGTTGTGCCCTCGCGCTGTTTTTCGGGTACTGGTTTGGGTATGAGATGAGGCGAGAGAGAGAGACAGACAGAGACAGAGAGAGAGAGAGAGAGAGAAAGAGAGGGAGGGAGAGAGTGGGTGAGTGAGAGAGAGAGAGACAGGAGAGAGTGAGTGAGTGGGTGAGTGCATGAGCAACAACAGACAGCTACGTATCCGTAGAGTTGGGTAAGTCATTAGAACGGTTGGAGGCTGAGGAATTGACCGAGAACAGAGACAAGCTGGTATTGATCGGGCCGAAGGATTTATCTTCTGGTGGGATTGAAATGGTCTTCATCTCATTCATTCGTAAGGGACCGACTGATAAGGGGGCAAATGAAGATAAGAGGACCCGCCATTTCACTCATTCACTCCATTTCACTCCTCTCTCTGGGTCCCGTCGTTATCTTTGGGTGGTCAGGGGTGCATGAGAGAGAGAGAGAGAGAGAGAGAGAGAGAGGGAGATATGACAAGTACCCGCGAAGGTTTATTGGTTCATGTATGCACACACACACAGGCGTACATACACACACCTTCAGCTCAGGCGATGATGGCCTCTTTTTTTTTTCCTTTTTTTTTTTTTTCCCCTTCCCTTCCTCTTCCGCTCTTTCTCTTTTCTTTTTCTTAAGATGACCAAGTAGATGGAACGGCCGGAAGAATTTCGTGTCCCGAAGATGGCGCCTGTCCCTCCCCCCCTTGTTCTGAACTCAGCTTCCCCCGGTTTCGTTATCACCCGAAGCCCACACTGATTCGGTGGGCCGTGGAACCGTTCATGGACATTTGGGCCTTTCCCCGCTGGATGATATGGGGAGTGGGAGGGGGTTCAGCGCTTTTGCGGCTTTTGCGGGGTTTCGTTGGACGCCATCCACGTTAGCCGGCTTTCAAGACAGGTTGGAGGGCGTTTGAGAGGGCATGGAGAGACAGACTGTGTATGAAGACAGGAGGATGGATGCCGTCAGTCTGCATTCGGGAAGAGCATCGGGAACGGGGCTACTGTTCGCCGGGTGTGTCTGTTCAGTCGATGTGTATGCAGCAGCAGTGCATGCAGTGCGAGACGAACGGGGGCAAAGACTAGATTGGTCGGTCGGTTGAACCGCGTCCCCGGGCTGGCCGACGCGCTTGAAGAAACCCCAGAGGGAGCGAGCGAACCGGGGGCCCGATTCGACAGCGCTGATAAGATGCTCTCGCCATAGGACCATACTCGGCATGGGGGGGGGGTAACAAGCGGAAAGGACTAGCGGGTAAGGGTCGAGATAGGGCGGGATGGTGATGGCGCGCCATTCTCACGAGTTCAGGCATGGAACAGAGGCGATGAGATGAGATGCGTATTCCCAAGACGATCCATCCAAGATCGTACAGGTACGCAGCGATGCTCTAACATGGGCTGTCTAGTATAGCAGTCGCACATATGCAAGCAACACCATGCCATCGACACCCGCGCAGGCCATACGCCATGCCAAGCTGCTGCCCAATGCGACCGCCCTCGACCTGCCGCGCCGCACGTTCCACTGCAGCAGGTTCACTTTGGGAGTTGGGGTTAGGAGGGGGGGGAGGAGGCCTACTGGGAGAGATTGGACGGTGGGGGGGTTGACATCACGGGCTGGGAAACAAGCCTTTTTCTGACGGGGGCAAAGGAGGGGAAACGAGGAGGAATACCGGCAGGGAGGGCAAAGAGACACGATTAACCGCGCTCTAGGCTGCGTTTTCCCTGTATTGCATCCCCGGAGAGCGTCGGAGGGCAGACACTAGAAGGTTTCAAGAACAACGGCGGACCGCGTTTATCGGTCCACACCACCTCACGCTGACTGTAACTGACTGACTGCCGGCGTGCGGGATGCCGGCTTTCCCTGGCCCGCTCGACCGAAGTGGCTTTACATTGCATGTGTGTATGTATGTACGTATGCATGTATGCCAGTCTGTGGCGGTGATGGATTATATTGACTTGTCGCTACCGGAAAGGATCGCGCACCAGCTTCCCTCGCGGTAAACACGATTCAAGATCCCCGCTGGGTTGGCTGGCTTGGGCGTTCGCGAGCTGTCCGAGACGCATGAACCAACCCACGGAGAGTAATCTTCCTTTTGGGCGTGCGTCGGGTTGCTGTGTTGGTGCGCCGGATCGCATACTGGACGAACGGGCCTGTCTCCGCATTCACTCACGAATCCAGACCGAAGGGCCCGGTCTGCCTAGAGATAATCGCGGTCCCGTAAGGGGAGGGGGGGAGGTTGGGGGGGGGGGGGGGTTGCGATGTGTAAGTGGCTGACGGTTGGTCTTGTCTCCCACGCTGGCCGGGCTCTCCAATCTGCCTTATCCAAGACAACTCTTCCTATCCTGGAATCCCCCTCCCCTCCCCTGTCCTCCACAAGTCCACAACGTTCCCACTTGTTTTCCGTACCTGAGAGTGGCTCCGTAGATAAAGGGCGATCATCGTCAGACGCGCTGACAATGGCCAACGGCCCCCTTGCCCCGTTTGGGTTGAAGGGGACGGACATTTGGTGAACGGATAGGCGGAATTGGAACGAGTTTAGACACGGGCCAAACGAGACCCTGGTTGCATTCTGTATACATACGTAGTAGATCACCAGGCGGGTGCAGTGGACGTGAACCCAAGCGCGGCCGCCCCCTCCCCCCCCCCCAGAGTGATGGAATCTGTGTCTGCGATGACGGACAACTGACCTGGATCCGTGACCGCTTTCTCCACCGGTTATGGAGGTCCCTGGCGCATCATCATCAACAAACCTCGGCCAGTTTCCACTTTCCCTCATCGTCTCCGTTGAGGGCCCTTCCGAAGCGTGGGGGAGGGACGAAGGGATGGACATGGACACCCGGCGCCCATCCGCCTCTCTGTGTCCCCGTGTCTCTCCCTCTGTTGGTCTTGGGTGTTTTTTTGGTTGGTTCTGGTCTTCGGACTGTGTCGTGTGTCTCTTGGTCCTTGTCCCATAATTACGGGAGAAAATTGAACCAAAAAAAAAAAAAAGCCCCACGTTTTTCCCTTGGTTCTTTGGTGTTCCGTGGTGTCCTCGCCATGCATCCCCCCGCCCCCCTGGTCGTCGACCCCCGGCAACCAAACCCCCGATCTCGTCCGCGTGTGCATTGGCGTAGCCGCGCTTTCTGTGTCATTTGAATGTGTGTGCGAGTGTGACTCGATACCGCTGCGGGATAGACTAGCTTGAACCCTGGCCATGTCCACCCACCCCCGGGGGACGCTATCACTTGAGTCTGACAGGTCCTCTTCGCACCCATCTAGGTAAAGCATCTACATGTAATCCTAGTTGACGTGTGCTTCGCTCGATCGACGAGACTTGAGAGCTGAGCTACTAAAGAATGGCCTTGTCCCCCGACCCGCCTCGCTACCGTACGCGTTTCCTAACTCGCGGTTCCCTTTCCTTCCCCCAAAAGGCCTGATCATCTTGTTCTTTTTATTTTATCTTTATTCGTTTATTCAAGTGCGTCGTGCAGAGTTGCTTCCCAGCTTCAATACTCCGTGTCTTCTGTCGCACACGAAGGAAGCCGACGCCCCCCCCGCCCCCCGGCCGAGAATCGGACGGCATAGCGACGTCACCGAACGGGAAGCCCGGGCTCTTGGCAGTTTTCCCGCCAGCGCCACGATCCAAGGCTTATTGTTCCTTAATTGCGCCGCAAGACCCCAAATCAGTGGTGGATCTCGAGTTCTGATCCAAGTCGCCACACCTCGGCCGTACACGTGCAACTCTCGACGAACAACACACGATATCCCCCGCCGTCCGAGCTCAACCTCCGTCCGTAACCATGGAAGCCGCTCCCCGGGTCTCCGCCGACCAGGCCCTCGCCCGGCTCGGCTACAAGGCCGAGCTCCCGCGCAACCTGTCCATGATGTCCATCCTCGGCCTCTCCTTCGCCATCATGGCCGTCCCCTTCGGCCTCAGCACCACCATGTACATCACCCTGACCAACGGCCAGGCCGTCACCGTCCTCTGGGGCTGGGTCCTCGTCTCCCTGATCTCGCTCTGCATCGCCGCCTCCCTCGCCGAGATCTGCGCCGTCTACCCCACCGCCGGCGGCGTCTACTACTGGTCCGCCATGCTCGCGCCCGCCGGCTGGGCGCCCCTCGTCAGCTTCGTCGACGGCTGGCTCACCCTCGTCGGCAACTGGACCGTCACCCTGAGCATCAACTTCAGCGGCGCCCAGCTCATCCTGAGCGCCATCTCCGTCTTCGACGAGGACTTCGTCGCCAACGCCTGGCAGACCGTGCTGTGCTTCTGGGCCGTCATGCTGGTCTGCGCCGGCGTCAACGCCTTTGGCTCGCGGTACCTGGATCTGATCAACAAGGTGGGCGACTCGTGTGCGTGTGTTCGTGTTTGCGTTTCGCCTGCTGACAATGCACTCTCAGATCTGCATCTACTGGACCGCCGCCTCCGTCCTGATCATCATGGTCACCATCCTCGTCATGGCGCCGACTAAGCGATCCGCCGAGTTCGTCTTCACCCACTACGACCCCTCGTCGAGCGGCTGGCCCTCTGGCTGGTCCTTTTTCATCGGTCTCCTTCAGGGTACGTACGGCATTCATCCCCTCCCAAAAGCCCATCGCACGAGCAAACCCCCCCCCCCCCCCTCCTTGACTACATAACTAACACTCTCTCCCCCCCTCCAGCCGCCTACACCCTCACCGGTTACGGCATGGTCGCCTCCATGTGCGAGGAGGTCCAGAACCCCGAGCGCGAGGTGCCCCGCGCCATCGTCCTCTCCGTCGCCGCCGCCGGCGTCACCGGCATCATCTACCTCATCCCCATCCTCTTCGTCCTGCCGGACGTCCAGACGCTCCTCGGCGTCGCCAACTCGCAGCCCATCGGCCTGCTCTTCAAGACCGTCACCGGCTCCGCCGGCGGCGGCTTCGGCCTGCTCTTCCTCATCCTCGGCATCCTCATGTTCGCCGGCATCGGCGCCCTCACCGCCGCCTCGCGCTGCACCTACGCCTTCGCCCGCGACGGCGCCATCCCCGGCCACAAGCTCTGGGCCCGCGTCAACGAGAAGCTCGACATGCCCCTCTGGGCCCTCGGCCTGTCCACCGCCGTCGACTGCGTCCTCGGCTGCATCTACTTCGGCTCCAGCGCCGCCTTCAACTCCTTCACCGGCGTCGCCACCATCTGCCTCTCCACGAGCTACGGCGTCCCCGTCCTCGTGAACCTGCTGCAGCGCCGCCGCGCCGTCGCCGCCTCCCCCTTCCCGCTCGGCCGCTTCGGCACCGCCATCAACGCCGTCTGCATCGTCTGGATCTGCTTCTCCGTCGTCATCTTCTGCATGCCCGTCAGCCTGCCCGTCAGCCCCTCCAGCATGAACTACGCCTCCGTCGTCTTCGCCGGCTTCGCCGCCATCGCCGTCACCTGGTACCTCGCCTACGCCCGCAAGAACTTCCACGGCCCCCCCGTCGCCAAGGAGGAGTTCCAGCCCGGCCCGGACGGCGTCATGGAGGGCGAGGTCCCCGTGGCCGCGGATTCCGAGACGACGGCCAGTACGGAGAAGAAGTGAAGGGTCGGCTTGATCGTCCTGGAAGGGGTGGAGCCCCCCCGGGTTTGGATATCTGCTTATGTATGGATACGAGAATTGTGATACCAACGAGAAACATAATTAATTTGTGCTCAAACAAACCTTCTAGATGTGCATGTGTGTATATGTCCCTCTGTAGCCTAGTTTCGTTTCATTACTGGCCAATTCGGTTTCTATGAAGGTTCTGGGGACCGTAGCGATGGTGTTCTGTCACGTAACAGAACGACGCCGTTGGTTACGGGGCAACAACTAATGGTTATATCTCATGGCATATTTCTACTTGTGATATTTGCTGCACATACTCCCACGATACCCCCCCAACCCCCCTCCTTACCATCAATGCTTTTGACGTTTACCCCCGAGCCCGTTTTCCGGGATAGTCAATGTTTCCCCATCAATACCACGCTTTGCCCAAGCCTTCTTCTTCCATGCTTCGCTGATTGGGGTTGGAGGAGCGCTAAACAATCTGCCGGCTCTGTCTTCTTTGACTCGGTCCAGCGAGCCGTTCTCGCATGCCATTTTGCACTCGATTTGAAGATTCGGCTGCGAATACATGACGGCATCCTTCTTCGGCCAGAGCACGGTTGGAAGGGTTAATTTGGCCATGATGCTCTCGATCCCGAAGATGACGGCGCCTCCGGCCGCCACCGTACGGGGGCGGTCAACGGCGCCGATGCTCACGGGTTTCGGGACGATCTGCTGCAGACGACTGCATCCGCACTCGCTCGAGGCGGGCTCTGGAAATTTCTCGAACAGCTTCACGCTTTGGTGCTTGTGCCAGCAGAGACCGCTCGACGTAAGGTACTCTTGGCTTGTTTCATTGCCTTTGAAATAAAGACGGAGCAGCGTGTCGGTCGTAGCCGCTAGGTAGTCCTTCCCCCAGGGACTGTCTTCCAGCGACTGCACAGCCTTTCAGTGTCGGCAGTGGGACATATGAGGTCGTCGAACCCGTTGGCAAAGAGGACCAACGAAGCGCTGTCTTCGACGAGCCGCGCCCAGCCTCCACTAGTGGTCCGGATTTCGTTCTATTTCATCCCTCGCCCCACGGTTCTGTTCACGATCGACATGAACTCGTGGCCGATGAGCACATCCGGGACGTTGAGCGCCTTCTCGGGTGCCTGCCTCCTGTCGTCGTCCATGGCCGCCAACGTTTCGAGCTGATTGAAAATCCTGATGGCCGTCAAGCGCAAGGTTTCGGGTTCGTCCTCGTCGTCTACGAGGACCAGCTTTCGGTTCACGAGGAGGCTCTGCATGGCCGAGCCCATGGTTGGGATCTTGACGGGCGCGCCGTTGCAGACAAAAGGCCGGTCCGAGTTCCTCTTCCGAATGATATGCAGGATCACTTCATCCCAAGTGACGAGCCAGGCCCGCTGTTGGACGGTATCGTAAAGGAACGCTTTCTCTCCCCTCGCTGTCGAGAGCATCTCCCCGTACGGTCCCTCGAACTTGACGAGGTACCCAGAGTCTTTGCGGCCTGGTGCGCACTCGATGTTGAGCACACCAATCTGCTGCAGGCCCGCCGCGATGTTTTGGACCCTCAAGGGCTCGTAGGGCTTCGCGGTCGACCACCTCAGATTGTCGAAGTTGACGTCCTCGTCTCCCAGCCTCGATTTCGCATGATCCCACCACCCGACAATGGCGCGGCATCGCAAGAACGATTGCAAGTCGACCTCGTCAACCAGCGCCCGTTGCTTGCATTTTTCGACGCCTTCAAGGTACGTCAACCTTTTCCTCTTCTTCGAGGCAGACACGACGTGCCACTGGATGATGGACAAATCGGCGTTGCGCTTGATCGGAACAAGCATCAAGGTTGGCCCTTTCATAACGATGCCGCCCTTGTACTCGATCGCGTCATGAATGACAGCAATTCTGACTAGGATGCCCATTGGTATTTCGAGACCCTTTTCGTCGTGCCGTGCTGGGACGGGGAAGTTCGCGGCAATAACAGCGCCGCCGCTGACAAGATCGAACCAGCAGCTGCGTTCCGCGTCAGGTATCTCTTGGAACCGGCACGTAACAGCGAAGTTTCGGTCGCCACCTGAAGAACTATCGGCGTTGGCACCGGACGTGGGCGATAGCGTAGCAAAACAATACTCGAGGCGGCTCGCATTCTGCTCGTCGGGTACATCGTCTTCGTGAATGGATGAGTATCCGATGTGCATTTTGGTCGTAGACGACCTTAACGCAGAAGTGATCCATGTGATTTGCTGCGCAATTTGTACCAGGAACTCTGCCGTCCCGTGAGCCTCGATCGAGACTTCTCCGCTGTCAGACAACCTTGCGTTCAACGCATACTTTTGGGACGTGGCTATGATAATCTTTTAGCGTCGAACGACATTTATACAATACTCATCGCATGACATTTAATGCCATAAACAGTCTAGGTAAAGAGAATTGGTCCACGAAACCTGACTCTTCATGATTACGAGAAACAGAACCCACCTGGAAACGCAGTATTCTCATCCGATTGCTCATTCTTGGATGTCTGACGGCCGACAAGAAGCGAGTCCAATGCATCGAGGAGAGCTGTGCTATTAGACGGCCAAAATTCGCTCAAGTACTGCGAGCATGTCGTGGCAAAGGCTTCGGATGCCAGGCCCGTGTATGTGATCACCGCACCCAAGCTGGGTACCTCCTTTTCAAATTCCGCGTGCAGGAAATACAGCGCCTTCCAGTCAGTCTCCAGTGTAACAGAGTAGGGATAAGAGTGATCAACGCAAAGCTTGGCCTCCGAGTCCCGAGCTGGAGACAATCCTGCAGACTGACAATTCTCGCAAACTTTCAGCGGCAAGTGTCTCAACGAATCCTGGATCAAGTGCTCGATGTGACGCATGTGGGGCGGATCGGAACTGTACAATGCCTCTTTGATGGCAGAGCAAAGCTTCGCAAACGCTGGACCACCAAAAATCAGACTCTGGAAAAGGTGGAGATCGATAGTGCTGTCGTGCTCATCAAGTTGGCTATCGTCATCATCCATGTCTCCCTGGTCGTCGTTGATCGGACCATGCTCGGCCGAATCCTTGTCAAAGAGACCCATGAGCGCTTGGATGGATGGTTGGTCTTCTGTCATTGGCGGTAAACGTTCAAAGTCGACATGGTCCAAAGAGTCGATATGCTCGAGCCATCTTTCTGCCCTGTTGCAAATATGGCTGCTGATCCCCTGTCTTCAGCGCCGGATGATGCGAGTGGCCGCTCGTGGTAGTCTATCATCTTTAGAGCGGATTTCCTCCTCCAAAGATGCTGAAAAGCCCCTCAACAGTACACGCAGACATTGTTGAATCTTGCCGGCGGGATGGTACTTGAACGCTGTGTGGAACCACGTGGTATCCCTGATCGCGTCAAGAATGTTGTCTCCAATGTATGAAATGCAGCTTTGTAGAGTGATATGGGGTATACCGATCGCACTGCCTGCTGAAGACACCGAGCACACGGATGCAGCATCAGAAATGTTCGCTCAACAACCGTGATCCGGCTGTACATGTCCGACTCTGACATCATGTCATCTGACATGATAATCGATCCCGGTGACACATCCGTTCCAGGCGTACAGGGATTGGGGAGGAGATTTTAGAGTTCCATATAAGCAGGTAAAGTCCTTACCATCGGGCATCTACTACCGTAGACCTGGGGCCGTACGTATCACCTGGAGGAGCAGCAATAACGACATTATGTGCCCCTATTCGACCACAGGTATGAATAGAGCTATCTCGTGGTAAGATGTTGAAGAGCGCCTGATGTACCTCGTCAAGAAAGTACTGGGCCGCGAGGAATTCTGTGCTACTGGTACATATCCAGCCGATGGCGTATGCTAAAGAATCGGACATGTTTGCCGGTACTCGTCCGAAGGGAAACCCAGAATGATCTAAGCTTCAAGTGGGCTGCTTAGGATGGGCGTTGAGACTAAGCGAGACACGGCTTCCATGCTATACCTGGAAAAGAGAGAAACTCAGGAAGTAGTAAAAGAATTGAGGGGCAAGGGAGGGCTTCATATAGCAGCTGGCGCAGCTCAGCCTGCAGCTTGGTGCGTGATTGGCACGCAGCACAGCCTCAGCCAGATTTTCGTTATCGTATGTCTGCTGCGCCTTTGATTGGCCTAGTAGGAGCATGTCTTCCCTCGCTGACCGATATCTCAAGCACTGAATCAGGCTGCATGATTTTGGCAAACAGGCTTGATGATTATGCTAAACTACTTCTAGTAGGTCAGTGAATCCACCCCAGAAGTATACCCAGAGACAAGCTGTCAAAGACCGCCATAGGAGAAGACGTCATAGAGAACTCTTTTCCCATGGGGAGGCCTTATTTTCTCTCGCCCAGGTCTTCTCCTCTTCGCTCCCGAATGCCGGTGCGTGAAAGCCATCTATCTTCCATAGACGTCTCTCCGTCTCGTTGATGTGGAATTCCGAGCGATATCCTTTGTCTGTAACATGCGGCTTGAGAACCGCATCTATCCCATCCGCCGCTTTTCTGTAAAGTTTGTCGTCGTTGGGGAGATTGACGGCGATGTGGTCGATTGAGATGCGTATAAACGGCTCTTTCGGTTTCTCTCCGCCGACCCACACGGTGCTCTCCGGCATTTTGATGAAGTCGGCGACGACATAGAAGGCAGGAAGGCCGATCCGTGTGTAGTATTTGGTAATGTCAGCGGCAAAGGCTTCTTTGCTGGCGTCGTCCTCGAACGTGCCGTCAGGGTGGTATATCAGCCAAAGGGGCATTTTCTCTTGTTCTTTCTTGGAAATTTGAAACTAGGGGATTGTGTGATCTGATGGTGAGTATCTGCTAGCTGGGTAGGAGATTGAACCAAGATGGTGGCATTTTATATTAGATGACCACGCACTAGCAGAGCAATGACCGTGACATAGCAAGCAATCGAGACATTACGGGTTAGACCTGACAAATGCTATTGACGGTAGAAGAGGTGACTCTAAGCTCCGAGATCACTAATCATATCAGCAGCTATGTTGACTTTGTCAGAGCGACAACGAGCCTTTGCCGAGTGATTACTATTCAACCGCGCTTCACCACACGCCGAGCTCGGCCATATAAGTTTTGAATTTAAGCCCTTGTGCATTTGGAAACGGCAATGGCGTCTGATTGAAGTAGTTACCGTCTTACAAAGAAACGGAAAAGCGCGTCCAGGTTTACTAATAGCCCCGAGATTTCCAAGACAGTTGATATATCGCTCATGAATACTCGACCCAGCATCGCATAGTACTGAGCATAAAAGGCGCACATGTCCAATACGCTACAAATCATCCTGAGCTCACTCCATCTTCTCTATTTAACCTGACATACAACGCAACAACCAAGTATTTCATCATGTCTCAACCCCTCATCTTTATCACTGGCGCAACCGGCTTCATTGGTTCCCATGTCGTATCCCAAGCACTGGAAGCAGACTACCGTGTCCGCTTGAGTGTGCGGAAGGAGTCGCAGGCCAGCAAGCTGAAGGAGCTCTTCGCAAAGCATACGGCGAAGCTAGACTTCGTTATCATCCCAGACTTGGCCAAGCCAGGGGCTTTCAATCAGGCACTCCTGGGCACCGACTTCGTCTTCCATATTGCTTCACCAATGCCTGGCACAGGCAACGACTTCAAGTCAGATTACCTTGCTCCAGCAGAGCAGGGCACGATTACCCTTCTGGATGCTGCAAAGTCCATATCTACAATCAAGCGCATCGTCATAGTGTCCTCAATACTTGCCCTTGTTCCTCTAGACGTATGGGTCACAGGAAACTTTAATGTCAAAGGTAAGAAACTCGTTTATCGCCCCTATCCTTCATGTGTATTTTCCGAGACCTCCCGGCTGAAGGCTTGTTACAGAAGGATCAAATCCATCCATCCCCATCGACCGCGACATGGAGTTTCCCCAAGACCCCAAGGCGAGCGCGGGATTGAAATACCAAGCCTCCAAAATACTCGCCCACCGCTCCGTTCTTGAGTGGGCGCCGAAAAACAAACCAGGCTTCACCATTGTAACCCTTAACCCGTCGTTCGTCTTCGGTCGCAACCTCAACCAGACCTCTGAAGATGGGATTGACGGCACGAACGCTATGCTCTGGGAGTCATTGTTCTCGGAGAAGCCTACCTTCCCTATGGTAGCTGTGGATGTTCGGGACGTCGCTCTGGCCCATTTGAGAGCTCTCGATGTGGATTTCAAGGGGCAAACAGCCGTGCAAGAGTTTGTGCTCAGCGCTCCCGATCCTGTAAGGTCGGATTGGGAACGTGTGGTCGAGTTTGTGAGGGAGAAATACCCGCAGCTCAACATACAGTTGAAGGGTCCATTCGAGAACCCATCAAAGGCAGAGGCCAATCGTGCTACCGAGTTGCTAGGTATCCAGTGGAGGAGAATGGAAGACACTATTGCAAGCTTTTTGGATCATCAATTGGAGTTGAAGGCGCAGTTATAGGGTTAATATTGGATAGAGACAACCAAGTGAGATACTCACCATTGAGCACTGTTCGGTGGGCGTCGACATTGATGGGGCGCAAGTTAGCGTCGATGGAATAAGCGTTTTTTTGTTTATACATTCTCGTCACTCGAGACAAGGTGGCTATTAACAAATGCATGTGAACGGTATCACGATGTAAGATGTTTATCATCGCAGTAACATGATGGTTTGAATAGCTTTCGGAATGTTCAGTCAGGTAGCATGTAAACTAACCAATGGAACCACCTTACTGCTGTCTTACTTCTTTACTTTCATTCACAATCAGTATGTCTCGATCTCGAGTAATATATCGAATCGTTGTCCCTTATTTTTCAAAACTCGGTCCATTCCCTTCTCCTTGTATTTGACTCTTGATCCGATCATATATTATTTCCGACTTTATTCGGGTGCAAACTTGTGATTTTCCCCGAGATTTGAGAAGTTACGCGGTATAATCATGGGAAAGTCTTGGTAACATAATCCGGTATACCTCGGACCACTGCTATTCGTCTTCACCACATGCACAAACTAGCCAAGAAGACGACAACTGCGCATAGGGGTTGACACCGGGCTGGTCGCCCCACCTCCAGGGAATGTGCCGCCTACCTTATCGAGACATGTCGTGCTTCACAGGATTGACCATCCGTAATGGTCCGTATGAGTCAGAGTCACCTCTTGGTCAACAACAGCTCTGAGCGACTGAATGTTTGTTATAAAGAACTCCCACCCACCGACCTAGAAACGCCAGGAAGAGGACTTACAGAGTTGCGGCATCGAAATCATCATCAATCATGGATCCTCCGGTCGGCCCCGTGGTACCGGCCGGACCGGCAACGGCCCCGGCTCATACCCCGCTCCACGGGCGGTACACATCGCTCGTTCCGCTCGAAGTATCGCATTCGCAAGCCATCTTCAAGCATCTCGGGCGCGAAGAGAACGCCCATCGCTGGGCGTACATGTTTGATGGGCCCTTCCTCGAGTACGAGCAATGCGAGGCTGCCATCACCCAATGGAGCGCCTCAAAGGACCCTCTATACTTTGCCGTCTTGTCCGGCCCTGCGTCCGAACCGTCGTCCGAACCGGCGGGCATCATGTCGTACCTGTCCATCGTACCTGTACACAGGCGCATTGAGATTGGCTGCATCATCTTCTCTGAGCAGCTCAAGCAGACTCGGGCCGCAACCGAAGCCCAGTACCTCTTGATGAGGCATGCCTTTGATGAGTTGGGCAACTTCAGGCTCGAGTGGAAGGCCAACCACCTCAACAAGCCAAGCTTGGCGGCTGCAGAGCGCCTCGGCTACGTATACGAGGGTATCTTTAGGTGAATATTGCTGCATCGAACGGGCAGAGGGCAATCGACTGACGCTTAGCAGGAAACACATGGTCATCAAGGGCAGGCGTAGGGACACGGCCTGGCTCAGTATCACCGACGAGGAGTGGCCAATCGTCAAGGGTGGACTGGAAGCCTGGTTGAGCGAGAGCAATTTTGACGAGAACGGCAAGCAGCGACAAACCTTGAAGCAGTGCAGAGAGTCATACAGGGGGAGAGACAGGCCTTAAAAGAGCGCCGTCTTGGCCAGATCGAATCGGGTTTCCTGAATTAAGATGATGAGACAACTGACAGAATCTCTAGCCAGTCTAGGCGAAACCGTACGTTGTGAGAAGGCAGTGCTGAATGAACCCAAGCGTTCAACATCCAACCAAGACTGGCTACACGAGTGAAGATCAAACGGACTGTATTGCAGAAAGGGCAACCGAGAAAAGCAATCCAACGACAACCGACCAATACAAAAGTCCAACCCACAAGCCGCATAACAATCCCGTCGCGACGACCTATTCCTCTTGCGCAACTCACAGAGTCGAAAGGAACAAGTTCCGAGCCGGGAGGGGAGTACCGGCCTCGGGCTCAACCCCCAACCAACTTGGCACCCGTAAGAACACCTGCCTCTCTCTCTCTCTCTCTTTCTTTCTCAGCACGCGGCGCCCGAGTTGTCCGGGATGTTCTTGCACTTCTTGGACGTCTTTCCGCCGGAGACGTCGACGCCGGACCACGCCCAGTCGGCGCAGGCGCCCTCGGCGCAGAGGATGAGGACGTTCGTGCCCTTCTCGGCGACGGTGCCGGTGACGTTCGTGATGGTGACGCCGGTGATGGGGATGCCGTCCGTGGGCTTCCCCGTGGGCTTCTTGCCCTCCTTGTAGTCCTGCTGGACGACGATGCCCTGCTTCTTGACGTTCTTGAAGACGATGTTCTGGAATGTGACGCCGGCGATGGACCCTTGCTTCTTGTGCTCGGCCTTGATGCGGATGCCGTTGACGCCCTTTTCGAGGACCGAGTCGCGGATCATGACGTCGGTCACGTTGTTGACGTCGCGGCCGCCGACCGAGCCGACGGCGAGGCCGTGCGAGCCGCGGCAGTAGCCGTCGCGGAAGAGGATGCGGGCGCCCGAGGTGATGGTCAGGCAGTCGTCCTGGTTGTAGACGCGGGCGCGGGCGATGGTCACGTCGGTGGACTCGCCGATGTGGAAAGCGTCCGTGTTCTTGCCGCCGCCGCACTCGCCGTCGCGGTTGTCGAAGAGGATATCCCGGCTGCGAAGGGGGGTCAGATGAGATGCTTCAGGGGGCAGATGTACGGTGATGGATGGGGGCCAGATATACGGGGACGGTATAAATACAGCAAAAAAGGGGGCAAGACTCACACCTCGAGGTTGCTGGCGCCGTTAATGTTGAAGCCGCGGGCGGGGGTATTGAGGACGTTGAGACGGGAGACGGAGCCATTGCTGATGGCGACGGTGAAGAAGCGCGGCTTGACGCTGCCCTTGCGCTTCTTGTCCTTCTTGGCCATCTTGACGCCCTTGCCGTCCCACCAGCGGTCGCCATCGCAGTCGATGACGTGGCCGGGGGCGCCGACGACGGAGACGCCGTCGCCGCTGACGGAGACGAGCGGGCCGTCCCACTCCTTGTAGCCGAAGGTGGTGGTGTCGGCGAAAGTGACGCGCGTGCCGGCCTGCAGGCCGGTGAGGTCGAGCGTCCTGCCGCCGGGCACGGCGACGCCCTTGAGGACCATGTCGGTGCACGACGCCTTCTGGGCCTTGACGGACTCGAAGTCGGTGATGACGCAGGCGCCCGGGCCGGCGCCGACGCCTCCTCCGGGCAGCTGCTGCTCCCCGCCGTCGGTGTCCGGCTGCCCGACGGTGCCGTTATTCGGCGGGGCCGCGCCGGGGTCCGCGCAGGTGCAGTTCGCTTGGTTGCCCGGCAGGCTGATGGGCGGGCTCGTGGCTTCAGAGGGCGGGCTGGTGACTTCCGAGGGCGGGCTGGTGACTTCCGAGGGCGGGTTCGTGGCTTTGGACGGTGGCTTCGTCGTGTTGGACGGCACCGGGATCGTCAGGTTCAACCCCGGGGCCGTCGTGTTGGCGAGTTTCGGCATCATGTCCGGTCTCAGATGGCCCGGGAAGACGGCGGCGGCGGCGAGAGCGCCGAGGCCCGAGGTCATGAGGAGGAACTTCATCGTTGCGGATGGCTTTGTCGATGTTTCAGTCGTTTATGTGTGCAATATATATATATATATATATATATATATATATATATATATAACAAACGGAATGTGTTTAGTGTGTATAAGAAGGGAAACCAGAGGAGCAACTAGAGGTTGGTGAAGGGAAAAAGAGGCTCGACTGGGTAGTAAAAAGTACGCGAAGAAGACGGGCAGAACGTATGATGCGTATCACAGGATTCCTGCTGGTTCGAACCAGCCCCTTTTCACAAACGTGTGGTTGAGAGACCGTGATTCTTGCGTGCGTGGTGTTGTGCGGTTTCCATGCCCAACATGTCGCATCGTCGTCCTTCTCTCCCCTCCCCATCGTCTTCCTGGAGAACGCGGGAATGAGCCCCATGATATTCGAAAGAGGACACATCTCGCCCAGCACTTGACCGCCGGGCCCTTGCCCTCAATTGCCGAAAAAAGAACATCTCCATCCCCCTGGGTAGAGTCATTGAAGCTTCGCGCGCCCTGTGAGTCAGCGTGCTAACATAAGGGCTGAGCGGGAATACCAGACGAAGCGTGGCAGCCAAGGTGCGCAGGGCTGCCATTCCAAGGCTCTCTCTCTCCCCCTCCAAAGAGCCCGGCATCAGCGACCTCTGTTGAATAAAGTCGCCATGGCGCCGCTTTCTCCCCAAGCCCGTCGAGATCGGTCTTGGGAGATGGAAGAAAAAAAGAGCCGGTGACCGCGGGCCAAGACGCGTGGTTAGAGATGAAGAATGGACCCGACTTGCGGTAGTCTCTTATTCCCAAGTCTGCATCTTGGCCACGGTCTTGGCGTAGACTTGAAAGTTTGCCGTCCCATCCGATCTTGGACGGGGCTCTCTCTCTCTTTCTCTCTATCTCTCTCTCTCTCTCTCTCTCTCTCTCTCTCTCTTTCTCTCTCTCTCTCTCTCTTTCTCTCTCTCTCTCTCTCTTTCTCTCTGAGCCCTACCATTTGTTGGCGGCTACCTATCCTATTTTGGCTGAAGCGAAAAAGCTCGAGAGTTTCCCGAGGGCCTGCATGCACACCGGGCAGGGTTTGAGCGGGTATGTGCGCGGTTCTTTTTCGCCATGGAGGATGATGAGAAGACTGCGGCACGTAGCCAAGGCGGGCTAGTCCCTTCGTAAGGGTCGCATATAGGTACATACATACACACACACACACACACACACACAAACACATGCACACACACACGCGTACGGGTTGATGAGAAGACCATGCTCTTCTAACCATGGGAATATCTTTGTGGTGTGTGTGTTGCGTCGACGACGTCTCCGTGCCGCATCTGCGGTCCGCACCGCCGAAGTCGTCTAAACTCGTTTTTTTCCCCTGCAGAAAACACCCTCCGCGCCGCCCCATGGGCTTCGCTTCCTGCGACGGACCTCGCGGAAGCCCGGGACATCACCCCGGGGATGGCGATGATCAACCTTAAAAGACCCCCCCCCTCTCCCGAGATCATAACGCGCGAGACGAGAAGCATCCGAAGGTTCATGTCTGCCTCGTGGCGTAGGAGCCTCTTCCACCTTGGCGGAAACGGGCTTACGCGTAACCATGTCCTGTTGACGGGAAGCGAGGGCCCCAAGGGAGGCATAGGCTTGTTCGTTGTTCCTTGGGACTCGTTTCTCTTTGTCAGAGGCTTGCAGACCCAACCTCCCTTGGCAAGTTTACACGAAGGAGGGATGATAATGGCAGTGTATTGTGACTATTCTGACGAGTTCTGCGGTTACCGCCCAGTCTTTTACCATCAGAAGCTGCTGGTTCATCAGAGAAGCTAGCCGCGGACTTTGAACTACTAGTAGGGCCAGTCCAAGAAGCCCACGACGCACTTTTCAAAGGACACCGAGAAGTCATAACCGGCCTAGCCGTGGAAAATCAACGCTCATAGAACTATTGGTCTTGGGGGTGGAGGGGGCGCTTGGTTTCCGTCTCGGCATCACGCTGATAACTTCAAACAACGTTCGAATGACTTACTCTGTTTCGGCGTCCACTCTGGCAAATTAACCTCTCGTGTCCCCCCCACCCCCCTCTCCCTCTTCTTGCCTCCCGCGCGGTTATCACGACGTCACCAGGCTTCACAAGTGACCCCTGAGCTCGTCCTCCGTCCACTTCCACAACTGCTCCCTCTTCTCGTGATCCCGGCTCAGCGCGGTCCCCTTGCCGGCGACGCCGACGGGGAAGTAGAAGGCGCCGGTCTCGGCGTCCGGGTGGAACGACGCCCAGAGCTGGTTCAGGGCGCCCTTCTGCGCGCTCACGGCGACGACCTTGACGCCGACCCAGATGAGCGCGGCCAGCACGGCGTTGGTGTTGCTGAGGAGCGGCTCGGAGAGGTTGGTGTCGACGATGCCCGGGTGGACGCAGACGACCCTGACCTCCGGGGCGCGCTCGGCGAGCGCGGCGGCGTAGTGGACGTTGGCGACCTTGGAGATGCCGTAGCGGAACCGCGTCGCCGTCTCGGGCATCGTCGTCTTGAGCCGGGCGAACTGGTACGTGTCCCTCGGCGCCCACCCCTCGGCGGCGGACGAGAGGAAGACGACGCGCACGTCCGCCTTCTTCTCGGCCGCCGTCCTCTTGAGCGTCGGCAGGAGGAGCTGCGTGAGCAGGGCGTGGCCCATGTGGTTCGTGCCGAACTGCATCTCGTAGCCGTCCTCCGTGAGGCCCTCGGGCGTGTTCATGATGCCGGCGTTGTTGACGAGCAGGTCGAGGCGGTCCGAGGCGCCGGCGAACTGCTTCGCGGCGGCCTTGACGCTCTCGAACGAGGCGAGGTCCAGCGGGAGGTGCGAGATGGGCGCCGCGTCCGGGTTCTCCTTCCTCAGGGCCGCGATGGCCGCCTCCCCCTTTTCCTTGCTGCGCGCCGCGAGGTAGATGTGCGCCGGGTTGTGCTTGGCGATCTGACGGACCGTCTCCAGCCCGAGGCCCGAGTTCCCGCCCGTGACGAGGATGACTTTGCCGGCGAGGTCCGGGATGTCGGTGTCCGGCTGGAAGTTGCACCCGCCCATCATCAGTGCCGTCGCCATCGTGTGTGTGTGTGTCTACGTATTGCGGGATGTGCAGTTGAAGCTATCACTGTTCACGGTAATATGGTAAGCTGCTCCGGTGGATCATACATCGGGCTCGAGGAGCTTGCGCGGCTGCGAGACGCAAGCACGCGTGCGTGTGAATTTATACCCGTTTTCGCTGGCATTAGAGTTTGGCGTTTCACCTTGCTTGGTGTGCCTTCGCCCCGCAGCTCGAGCCGATGATGCCGGTTGATCTACACGTGGAGAGTTTCATGGTCCAGGGCCCCCGCTCCGACTGCCGTTCTGCAGCTCGCGGTTGTCGTTAGTTCGATCGATCGTACAGGTATACTCAGCTATGGGACAGCTTGTTTTGACTTGCCGAGGTATCACGACGCCAGGGCTCTCTTCTAAGTGTTACGTGATTACTAGAGAAGCTGGAGAAATGTATGCAGGCTTCTTTGGTGCTGTACGTTCATTATGTCCCGGCCGACGCAACGTGTAATAGTATTTCGCCTATTGCATAATGCGTCTGCAATATCTGGCGACACTGCCAGCTCGGGCCTACATGAGACGATGATGACCTGTCCATCATGTGCCGTCTCAGACCCGGCTGTCTCTTGAACGATCGTTGCAGGGGACTAACTCAGCCCCCCCCCCCCTTACAATTTCCAAAGACACCGAGATCGGCCTCTTTTATACGTCCAGCGGGGCCAGACGATGATGCAAAGTGGGCGCTAATCTTCAACACCTCGATTTGTAGAGACATTTTCTCCTCGCCCAACACTCGGGAAGCGGAGACACTTTCAATCCGGCGGGTCCTCTGACCTGCGGTACGGCGTCTCTAAGATACCACGAAATGTAGAGGTGTAGCTGGAGTTTCTCGCCTCTGTCGGGCATGAGCATGACATGAGCATGACCATACCCGGATCCAGACCAGAAGCCCCCTTTCTGTAATTCGTATACCTTCCCACCTTAGACCCGTCCTATCCACCTCTCGATCAAGACTCAGTATTGTAGTCGATCAGGCATGTCGTATGCCGCCACAAATCAGGTGAGTAGGCAGCTGTCCATGTCATCAAATCCGAAGCTCGGCCGAAAACAACGAGTCGGGAGAAGTGCTGCGTGGATAAACACATCCCTACGTCGACAGATCCAATGGGCTCACGGCATCATCACAAGGCACCACCAGGTCTTCATCCCAGCGGCGGTCTCATTTCTTCTAAAGGTCAAGGTAGTAATACAACCAACCACACACTGCCTACACATACATAGCGTCAGGGCCGTCCTCACATACGTGCAATGTCCAGCTTCCGCCCCCTTTCATCCGGGGGACGCTGCCCTAAGCCCATCGTATAACCTCCCTTTCTTAATCTTCGCACTCCCACCAAAAGAACAGCCGCACTGGTGCCTGCATGCTCTTTATAAGGCCAAGCCATCAAGGGGTTAAGCCACCTGGCTCGAGTCTCGAAGAAAAAGAACAGACATAGAGAGAAAAAAAAAATACAAATAAAATGAGGCTTTTTTGTAAAAGTCTAACAAAGTAGCCGCAGCACCATTTCACCCAAGGGTGCGGCTGTCGTCTTGATGTAAATCGCACGCGTTTCCACCCCGACGCCAGGCATATCTCGCGCGTCTAGCAGTGTTTCCTTCCATCCACCCATAATCCATATCGCTACAATCCGTGCGACCGTTTGTTTGAAACTCATGTTCAGACGAGTCGCTGCTCGTTTGTTGTAGTCCGCTCATCGTTCATCTAAAAGGGGAGGGGGCCAAGGGGGTTCTTCGTCTTCCATCGATGCTTCATACTTGACCGTCGGCAACGGCAAGTCTCTGCTTCAGGGTCTTGGCCTTCTTGCCTCCGCCGGTGCGTCGCTTCTTGGCTCCCTTTACTTCCGTCTCAGCGACAGGCGTGGCGGTGCCCGAGGTTCCGGCGGCGCCGGCGCGGTTGTCATCAAAGTTGCCCTCGCCTGTAAACCCATCAGTGTCGTCCGTCCCGTGGTTAGCTGACTGAAACTCACCCTCGTGGTACATCTCGTCGAGGCTGATGTCCTCATTCACGGCCCGCTTACGCTTAGAGGCCTTCTTCTTCTGTGGCTTGTCGAGCTCGCCGCTCTCGAGAAGTTCCCTCTCGCGTTGCTCAATCAGCTCCGCCTGCTCGTCGTCCGCAAGCCACATGGCGATATCACGGTTGCGGTTCTCCGGAGCGCGGCGGCCGGAGAAGTCGACGCTGGCACCGCCTCCCTGGATGACGACGCGCTGCACCTCTTCCTTCTGCATGGCACGCTTCCGAATGCGTTCCTCAATCGTACCCTTCGTGATGAGACGGTAAACGGTAACCTGCCTGGTCTGACCCAGTCTGTGAGCTCGGTCCATGGCCTGCGAGTCGATCGTGGGGTTCCAGTCCGAGTCGTAGAAGATGACGGTGTCGGCAGACGTGAGGTTGATACCGAGACCGCCGGCACGTGTCGAGAGAAGGAAAATGAAGATCTCGGGCCGCGTCTGGAAGTCGGCGACGGTATCTCGTCTGTCCTCCAGCTTGGTGGAACCGTCGAGACGGCAGTACTTGTAGTTGCGGTACGTCAAGTACTCCTCCATGAGGTCGATCATGCGAGTCATCTGGAAATAGAGCAGCACACGATGACCCTCCGCCTTGAGCCGGGTCAACAGCTTGTCGAGCGTGGCCAATTTGCCGCTGTCCGTGACAAAGCGGCGCATCGACGGGACAGCGATGTTGCTGAATTTCTTCTTCTCGTTGTCAGGCGCAGGAAGCAGCTTGGGCGGAGGGAACCGCTCCAAGGGGATCCTCTCCGTGACCAGCGCGCGCTCCTCGTGAATGGTCGGGCCAAACAGGCTCTTGCGCATGCCCACGTTGAAGAGAATGCTCTCTGTCTCCAGTGCCGCTCCGCGGCTGCAGCAGCTCACCTCGATAGGTGGCGCCGAGGCACGTGGCCGGCCCGCCTGCTCTAGACGTCCCAAGCCGCTGTCGGCGTACCCCTCTCGGGCTACGTTCATGAGATTCGCCAGGACGCCCTCCTGAGTGATGTCGGCCAACGGCTTCCGGTTGTTTCGGTCCTTGATATTGAAAAGAGCATGTGCTGGCGTGAAGTTGATGTCCTCGGGTTCATCGTAGGCAATGTTCATGAGGGCCAGACGATCCTTCTTTTGCGACAGCTCAACGGCACGGGAGAAGACGTCTTCGTGGCTGGCCTTGTAGACCTCAGCCGGACTGGTGTCGGCAAAGCGCAGGAACGAGAATGCGCCGGATCCCTCCATGCTGGCGCGGATGTGCTCCGGCGTAAAGATATTCATCATGTGCTGGAGGGTCTTGTTCCGCCAGCCGGCCTTGAGGTTATCCTTGCCGGTCTTGTGCAGCCTACCGTCCTCTCTCCACACAAGACGCGGCAGCTCGTATTCAATCAGGTTGCGTGTCGAGTAGCCCACGGCCACCATGTTGCCCTCTCGGACGAAGGAGGCGGTCTCTGCAAAGTAGCCGAACGAGAACGGCGACGTGGTGTCTGCTCTCTCAAACAGGTCGGGGTGGTTGCACACCTTTCGGAATTGCATGACGAGGTTCATGAGCGTTCCCGAGTCGTCGTTGTCGCCCGCAGTCGCCTTTTCGATGAGGTCCATGATGCTGATCTGGTTCCTCAGGTTGCTGTAGATGGCTCTCTGTCTGTAGGTGAGATCGCAGTAGACGTCCTCCTCGATCTTGTCGCCCAGCTCCTTCTGGACGTGCTTCTTGACGCGACGCAACATGAACGGCTTCAGAATCATGTGCAGGCGCTTGAGCTGGTCCTCGTTGAGCTTCGTGTTGCTCTGCGCGTGCGACTCGATATCCTTGGAGAACCACTCGCTGAACTCGTCGTGAGAATCGAAGAGGGACGGCATGATGAAATGGAGCAAGGCCCACAGCTCCTGCATGTTGTTCTGGATGGGCGTACCAGTGAGGAGTAGGCGGTTGCGGCAGTGGAAGTTGAGCAGACTCTTCCATCTGGAACTCTGAGAGCTCTTGATGGCCTGGGCCTCGTCGAGAATCATGTACTGCCACTTCATCTTCTGGAAGTACGCGACGTCGGAAACCACAAGCTGGTACGACGTGACACAGACGTGGAACGACGCGTCCTTCTTGTAGGTGGTGTGTTTGCGGTCCCAGAACTTTCGGAGAACCTTTCGGTCGCCGGCCGAGCCCCAGTATGGGAGGATCTTGAACTCGGGAACAAACTTTCTGATTTCCTGCTCCCAATTGTGGAGGGTGGAAGCGGGCGCGACAACGAGGAACGGGCCCCAGATGTCGTACTTCTCGGCGAGGTAGGCCATGACGGAAATGGACTGGACCGTCTTCCCGAGACCCATCTCGTCGGCGAGGATGCCGTTGATTCCCTGCTCGTACAGGTTGGCGAGCCAGTTGAGACCCTTGAGCTGGTACTCTTTGAGCTGGGCGTTGATCAGCTTGGGCTGCTCGATGGCCACGTCGCCCATGCCGGCGGGGTTCTGGAAGTTCATCTCGCCCTCCTCGTCCATGTCCGGGCCGGACGGCTCGTTGAACTGCCTGGCCTTTCTCTGGGCCTCGGCGATGGCGTTTTGGGCGTTGGCCACGGCGGCCCGGCGCAGGGTCTCCTCGTCCTCCTCCTCGAAAGTAAGGTTGTCGAAGTCGGTGACCTTGGCGCCCAAGGGCCCGGTCGGCTCCTCGATGTCCAGCTTGTGCGTGGGCTCGTTCCTGTCCTCGGCAGCAATCTCCGGGTTGTCGGTGCTGCGCTCGACCTCGTCCGTCTTGATCTTCTTGCCGATGAAATGGGAGTACAGCTCGGTCTGCGAGATGAGGAAGTTGAGCTTTCTCTTCTGGCGGGCGGCTTCGCGCTCGGCCTCCTCCTTGCGGGCGTTTTCAATCTCCTGCTTCTCGGCAGCCTTCCTGAGATCACGCTCCTCACGCTCGTTGCGCTTCCAAAAGCCCATCATGTCGCGCATGACACGCTTGGCGCGAGCCTGCTGGTCTTTGCTGCCTTTGTTCGTCCGGAGCTGCCACCTCTTGGCTTCCTTGGAGGCGAGGATAGCCGTCTTCTTAAGGTTCGACGCCTTGGTCTGATACGATTCAGTAGCCATCTTGTACGTCTTGCTGACGTCCTTGCGGGCGAGATCGCGCCAGATTTGGTCGTAGATCTGGAGGAAGCCCTTGGTCTCGAACTTGGCATCCTTGTTGGGTGGCTCCTCGGGCTTATCCTCCTTCTTCTCCTTGTCCTTCTTCTTGCCCTTCTTCTCCTTCTTCTCCTTGGTGGGCTCGATGATGGTGTCGTCGTCGACATCGACATCGACATCGCCCTCGATCTCGACGTCGGGCTCGTCAAGGTCCTTGTCCTTGTTCTTCTCCTTCTCCTTGTCCTTATCCTTGTTCTTCTTGCTGAACTTGATGCGGATCTTGGACTCTTCCTTGACCGGGAGTTCCTCGCCAGCGTCGATGGCGGCCTGGGCAGCTTCCGCGGCGTCTTTTTCGGCCTGCTTCTGCTCCTTAGACTTCTTCGGCCGGGGACCGCTACGGCCCTTGCCCTTGGGCTTGGTGCCGGGCTCCATGTCGGAGGCCTGGAAGGTGGCCATGGTGCCGCCGTCGAGGTTGAGTTCGACAAGGTTGCGTGCGGGTCCCTTGATGCCCTTTTGGAGAATCAGCTTCGTTTGCAGGGCCTTCTTGTTAGCTCGCTCTGCGTCCCGAAGGTGCTTCGCCTTCTCCGTCTCGTCCTCGGCCAGACGCGCGCGCTCGAGGGCGAGCTTCTGCTGCTCCATGGTGACGGCCATGGACTTCTCGCGGCGGCGCTTACGCTGCATGTCCTTCTTGCGCTCCTTCTCGGCGAAGAGCTCGCGCTCGCGGACCTCGTTCATCGCTTCTTCGTAGTAGATGTCATCGTAGCGGCGCTTTCCGAGCTCGGCAAGAGCGCCCAGCCTACGACCGATCTCCACCACGAAGTCTTCGCGTCGATCGACGTTGCGATTGCCATCCTTTTCTTGCATGAGACGACGACGCTTGTTGCCGCTCTCCTGGTACTGAGCGCGCTCGGCGGCGAGGTCAGAATCGGTCAGGTCGTCGGCATCTGCATCGAGCTGGGCGATCAGGTCCATGACCTTCTTCTCCTTCTCGGCGGACAAGGTCTTTTGCTTCGGCTGGCCGTTGGCCTGACGCTTGGAGGGCACGCGGGGAGTAGGGGTATCGTGCTTGGAGGAGGCTCGACGGCTCGACTTGGGAGTTGACTCGGCATCTCGGATATCGGAGGCCCGTGACTTTGACTTTCTAGGAACCCTCTCCTTTCTCTCTTTCCTGACTAGCGGCGTGCTCGCTCGCTCCTTGACAGGTTCGGGTCGGAGTTCGATCTCGGCTTCACGATGGCTGCGCTCGGTCTTGACGGGTGGCTCGACGGAGCGAGGCTTCTCGCTGCGCTCGGGCTTGGAGTCGACCTTGGCGGCCCTCTCCTCCTCGACGGGCGGGGGCGACTTTGACTTTGGCTTCGAGATGGGCTCGGCATTGGAGAGGATATTGGAGAAGGACATGGGATCGGCGGAGCGGCTGGGGGTCTGCAAAGGTGTCAGTCAGGCGGCGGGCTCTCAGGGTGGCCGATTGGGGTTGTACGCACACTGGCAGGAGCTTTCAAGGGAGAAGGGTCGGGCTTTCCCAGGGGAGGTAACGAGGTGACGGGGGCGCCATTGGACGAGGCGTGCACGCTGGGCGAAGCGGCGTGCCGCAGACTGGGAGAAGTCATGTGCGGCGTAGCCCGATTCGATGGGCTGATGGAACCAGTGGGCTGCTGATGAGAGCGGGAGTAGGAGTTGGAATGGGATCGCGGACTTCTTGGGGGGAAGTTGGCGGCTGATGGCGACGTGTAGCCTGCGTTGGCGCCTCCGTTCTTGTAGTACGCGTGGGATTCTCGAGATGCCGGCTCGGATTGTTGTGATTGCGGGTAATTACGGTAGGGGTCGCGGGTGGTCTGCTTGATGATGGAAGAAGGGGGAAAATTAGTCAAGGTGAAAAGATGGAAACGGCCAGGATGGAAGGAAAATTAAAATTTGAGTTGAGATCGGGCTGGTTGGGAATTTTGGTCTCCTCGGGTAAAGTTGGAGATGGAGATGAGCGAGGGCTGCAACCGGGGGTGGAGGAAAAGGGAAGTAGAGGGGAGAAGAGTGGAGAGAAGGGGAAGAGGATGAGAGAAGGGGAGGAAGAAAAAAAGTGAATGGGAAGGGAAAGGTTGGACGGATGGATGGATACGGGGACGGGATGTGAAGAATTGGTGTAGCGCCGCCGGATGTGACGAGACGATGGAGAAAAAGGGACAAAAACAAAAAGGTGCAAAAGTGCAGCAGAAGCAACGCAGCAGCGACAGTAGCAGCAGCAGTGGCTAGAGGGGGTAGAGGAAGAGAGAGAGAGAGAGGGAGAAAAGGAAAAAAAACGGGGGGGATGTCGCTATCATTGAAGCCGTGAACAATAGGGGATCCAAGCATTCCGCGTGTTTCTTATCCTGCTTGCTGTCCTGTTCCATCTCCTCACCAATCCAGCAGCAGTCTAAGGAAGTCTCTCCTCGCCCTCTAGTCCTGCTCTGCCGTGCCCTTCACACCGTCGTCTCCGAAAATCCGGATGGGGGAAAGCAGCAGGTAGAGAGAGAAATTACAAAGAGCTGTCAGCATGGCCACCAACACCACCACCGCACGGCACCACCAGTGGCCACTAAGCGATCTGCGACAGCACGGACAGCAATCAATCAACCAGGCTGAATAGGCCCTCTTTTTATTGCTTGCTGCTGTCGCGGTTGCTGCTCGGCTTGGTGGTGGTAATGGTGTTGCTACCGACGATACTACTGTTGTCTGCTGCTGCTGCTGCTATGCTACTTGAAAGGCCGGGAAGCAGGGGGGTACGATAGAAACGTGATACATGATGGACAACGGGGAAGGGGTTTTAAATAGGACCCAGGACATCAAAGGGGAGGTTTACGAGAAGCCGCATCACATCGCATTGTCCTACTACAGGCGATGCGATCTGACGCGACTGCGGCGGTGGGATACGCGATGACGGACATAGTAGAATATCTCTTACCTTGGGCGAGCCCTTAGCCGTGTTGCCGTTCCACGCCGCGTCAGAGACTCTCCTCTCTCTCGTGCTATCAGTCAACGGATCGTAGTAGCTGCTCGTGGCCGGCTTCTCGCGGGTCTGATGCGCCTCGGGTGGCGGGTAGTATCCGCTCGGAGGGTGCAACGGTGACAGCGGAGGAGCTTGATGGTGTCCCGTTCCCGAGCCGCTGCCGCTCGCACCCAAGGCGAGCGGGCCGGTCGCCGGCGCCGACGACGATGACGACGTGGAGTAAGGGTTCGGATGCGACAGGCCGGACTGATGGGATCGCGGGGAGTGGTGTTGGTGCGGATGGGCCGACGACTTGGGCGACGAGTAAGACGAGTGTTGAGGATGATGGTACTCGGACTGGGTGGGTGATCGCAAGCTGAAGCCAGAATGGCGCGTGCTACCGGGCGTCGGGTTCATTATGTCGCGATGGCGGCGGCGATCGCGGTCATCGTCACGGTCGTGGTCGCGGTCACCGTGGCGGGAAGGTGCCTGCAGGACCGTCGAGCGGAAGTCTTTCGGGTGGTCCATCGTGACGGGATGTGGCGACGGCTTCGTGGTCGCACGACCCTACTTGGCTTCTGTAGGGGGGATACTACGTGCACCACGAGGCAATTGGTGGGTGAGAGCAAGACAGAAAACGGAGAGCAAGGGAAGTGGAAGGAAAGAGGGGAAGGGAAGGGGAAGGGGAAGGGGGGGAATGCTGCTACAGTGAGGATCGCGGACCCATGTGCAGGATGTGAGTGGTGGTGGTAGACAACGGCGACAAGTTGATTGGGTCACGCGCCTTGGGGATGATGGCGAACTGGGTGTGAAGCAAGTGAGGCGGATCGCGGGAAAAAAAGACGTGGAGTTGGCGTTGGCCTCGGCGTCGTGGGGAGGAGAGATAGAGAGAGTGTGTGTGTGCGCGCGCGCGCGCGTGTGTATGTATGTGCAGGGGGTGTCGGGAGTTAGGGGTTCGGCGGGTTCGGCGAAATGACGATGGCGGGAACCGGTGATGCTATTCGCGACGTTGGTGGTAGCGAGTTGGGCGGCCGACGGAGTGGGGTCTCGAATTATCTATCTCTGCAAAGGGAGTGAGTGAGTGGGTGGCGATGCTGGTTTAGGCGTGTTGGGTGAGCGTGTCGAGGGAGCTAAAAGGCCGAGTCACATGGACACACGGGGGGAAGAGAAGAGGGATTCCAAAAGGAGGACGCGAGAGAGAGAGAGGCGAGGCGAGGCGAGGCTTGCAACGCGATGGGATGCGACAGAGGGGAAGGAGGAGTCTGTCTGTCTTGTCTTCTTGGCCGGGAGAGGCAGGCGTGCGTTGCGTTGGCTTGGCTTGGCTTGGCTTTGGTGGGCGGTGTTGCCGGATGTATGATGTCTTGTGGGAAGGAAGCTAAGCTAAGCTACCTACCTAGCTGGAGCGGGAGATGCGATTTCGGTACGGTGAGCCCTGCGGTGAGTTGGTGAGGGCGTTGTGATGGCGACGATGATGCATTCAGCAGGTGGGATACGCGGTGTTGATGGGAAGGGAGCGGGAAGAGGAGTGAGAACGGGTTGGAGGGGGAGGGGAGAGAGAGAGAGAAGGGAAAGAAGTCATGTGTGGATGGAGGATGGAGCGAGGATGAGATCTCCTGCGAGAGGGAGAGAGAGTGTGAGAGTGAGAGCGAGCGTGCGATGGATGGATGGGGTTTGGATTGGGGATTGGATCCGATGGGGGTGGTGTGTGTGGGCGAGGCCGATGCCGATGGTGCAGATGAGGGTGCGGTCCAGTTCCATCCATCCAACCATCCATCCAGTCCAGACTTTCTTCCATTGACCAGCCGTCTGGTGTCGTCGGGGCCACGGCACTCACGACCATGGAATTGACAGCAATGCTCTTTCTTTCTTTTCATCTATCATGTATTTATTCTACGTATCCTGCAGACCCATTGCCTCCCCCTCCCGTATGCTTCCTGCCACGCTTGTTCTTGCGGTGAGAATACAAGAGGAAAGAGAGAATGAGTGGCAGGTACGGTGCGGTGCGGTGCGGTGCGGTGCGTGTCGTGTCGTGTCGTGTCATCTCGTGTCATGTGCAGGGCATCCCGACGACGACTGTGCTCCTGCCTCTCCTACCTCCCTCCTCTTCTTGGCCTCATTCTTTCCTTCTTTCCTTTCCTCACACCGTCGTCGTCTCCTGCCCCCGCTCTCGAGACGCAGGCATCCCCAATTCATCAGCCCGGTGTCACGTCGTGAGGTGGAAGCTTCTCTTTCCTGCTCCTTCTCCCGACTCTTTCCTTGCCTCTCGATGCTTTTCCCAGCTGTCAGGCGCAGCCGCGGTTCCAGGTACCTCAGGACCGGGCTGCCAACTCGGGCTAGCGCAGACGCTCCCGCCAATCCCGGGCCACGTCTGAGCCTCTTGGGTTTGCTCCGTGCCTTCCTTGCCCCGATCCGCCCAGTCTGACCCCCCTTCCCTCCACTTCAGTCCAGACGGAGGAGTCCCCTGCAGGTACCTCGTCGCCCTGCTTCCACCCTCCCGGTACACGCGTCTACCTTGCCTTGTCAGTGAGGCATTTCAGCCGCCTTCCCCTCGTCACACGCCTTCTCCCAGCTACGTCCAACGCTCTGGAGGAAAAAGAGAAAGAAAAGAAAAAAACACGACGACCATCGCTCATCGTCCAGAGAAACGGACGTGCGTGACGGACGAGTGTGGACTTGGCAGCGGCACAAGATCACGGGCCCGCGAGAATGCAATGCACACACACTCACTCACACACACACACACAATGCATACGATACTCAATAGCTGCAACGTACGGGTGGCCCCATCGGTCCAATTAGAGACAGTCTGAGCGCCGCGAGTCCTCAATCGATCCCAAGCCCTACGCGGTCCAACGGCTCTCAAACTGTACGTAGCCAGGGCAGCTTGTCCCAGCAACCAGAGCTGGGAATGCCCTCAATCCGACCACCGATTCATTCCCCCGAGCAGCAAACCACCTCGATACAGCATCTATAAAATAAAATAAAAAAAGTACGTGTTAGGAAAAGAAGAAGAAAAAAAAAAAAAAAAAGGATCAAATCCAACAGAAAAGAAGAAGAAAATGTAACAGCCAAACAGAAAACTCCACACCATTGCCCCCAGAATGCGGCCACCCTGCCAAGGACAAAAGCAGCCTGTGACGATCAGGCGCTTTGCTGGGGACGCGGCAAGGACGGATGGCGATGGTGGAAGCAGCTCATGAACACAACCACCAACACCTGTGCGCGATGATGTGCTGGCTCAGGGTGGGTTTCCCCCCGACCCCAGCCTCCGAAACCTGCTGCAGCGTCAGCTTTTCCCTCCCATCTCTCTCCCATCTCTCTCCCTGTCTCTCTCCATCTCTCTCTCTCCCCAAAAACAAACCAAGGCCAACCGACCACCCCAACTCTCACTCTTCCGGGTTTGCACTCTCGTCCCAATCTCCCGTCCTCGCATTTCTGTCGCCTGCGATGCGTCGTCCAACTGCGACTGTTCGCTACGGAATATGGCACGGATATGTGAAAATGCACTCGAAACCATGAGCCGGATGATCGGGTCTGGCGTCCTACGCCAAAAATGGAAACGCAGGGCACAGGGGATCCGGCATATCACACCGGCCCTGACAGTAATTTTTAGTGCCGCCCCAACCAGCTCTCACTCTCTCTCCCTTACACACACACACACACACACACACAGTGTCTCTGTCTCTCGCTCGCTCTCTGAGCATCAACCATGACTCCCATCACAACCACATCGCGCCCAACTCATCGCCATCCCTAACATCATGAACCCTCGAGACGCAACGCCGAGGACCAGAGGAACACGGAGAAGAGCATCTCGTCCTTTCCCTACCTATAATACCTCCCTACGTAAGCCAAAAGACCCCTGTCCCCACTCGTCCGCCCCTTCCCCAGACACGTGATTGGCGGCCACCCACTCCGCAACGCCAAAAGCCCGCGTCTCGCTCCCCTCTCCCGCATCCCTGTTCCAGAAGCCACAGTACCTTCGTACCTGCTGCCTCTCACACAAAACCCTCTCGACATGCTGCCCCGTCCTCGACTCATCACGTGAAGTTCTCGTCCCCACCCCCCCCCCCCCCCCTACGCAGCAGGAAGATACAGATATTGCCTTACAAGCTTTTTCTTCCCTCTTCTCCTTCTTCTTCCCCTTCCCTGCCTGGATGTATGTACACAGCTTCCCAGGTAGGTACAGTTAGTTACAAGGCGTTCCCTCATCCAGCCGAGACACCTCGTAATACTGGCTTTTTCAATTGCGTCATTCATTCATTGCCCACTGCGACCATCTCGTCGGTCCATATACCCGCCGGCGTTCTCTATCATGTCATCGGATTTTACGGTTTGACGGCGGCAGGTAGCAAAGTTTGTTTTGATGAACACAACCTAGCCATGACATCGTACAGAAAGTAACCTCACGAGAGAGGGGGAAACAAGGGGACCACGTGGGGGTTGCTCGAATCAATGGCTCGTGGCCTCTATTGTCCTTCGTCATCTACATAAAAAGACGATGGGTGTGGGGGGGAGAGAGAGAGGGGGGAGGGAGGGAGAGGTGAAAGGGGGAAAAAAAGGGAAGGACAAAAAACAAAAAAAAAAGGTCGCAAGCTGCAGATATCTGTCTATCCCATGCCGTTTCAGCAGCCTCTGTCTCCCCCCCCTGATGGATGCCGGAAAACAAAAATGTCCCTCCATGATGCCGTCCCATTGCTGCTCATTCTTTCTTCCCAGTTTTGTGCTTGCTTCCTCCTTCGAGGGAGATTCTCGTTTCCCGCAGCAGCCAACCCGGCCTGGATTAATGACGGGCCATGGCGGCACTTTTTTTTGTTTCTTCATTCAAGTCATGAACAACACTTTTTGTGTCCTGGTGTTGCTTTTTTGTTTTCCCTTCCCGAGAAAAAAAAAACAAATTTGAAACAACATACGCTGAAGGAGGATGCATCCGAAACCAAGTGAGAGTGGCTGTCTTCTCCTTAGACAGCACCGGCCGTGATCATCTTCTTGCGGAGGTAGTTCTTGTACTCTCCGATCGTGCCGTCCCAGGCTCTGATCGTCTTGTTTTCGCACACCAGAATCTGCTTGGCAATCTTGTCCAAAAGTCTAGAGAGTGGGGTGTTAGTTTCGAGGTCAAACCACGGTGGTCCGAGGAGGGGGTGAGGGATTCTTACCTGAAGTCGTGGGAGACGACAATGACACCACCGCTGAAGGCGTTGATGGCGTCGGCAAGGGAGTCGATGGTGGGGATATCCAAACCGTTGGTGGGCTCGTCGAGCAAGAGCATGTTGGGGCTCTCGATGGCGAGCAGGGCGAAGACGATACGGGACTTTTGTCCGTCGGACAGGGTGCCGATAAGGGAGGTCTGGGCCTCACCGGTCAGACCGTAGCGGCCGAGCTGCTGGCGCCAGTACTGGTAGTCCTGGGACTTCTCGGCGTACTTCTCACGGACGAAGTCGAGAGCCGACTTGGTCAGGTCGAGCTGCTCAGCGCTGTGCTGGGAGTACAGGCCGAGCTTCAAGTGGGTGTGGCGGGTGACGGAACCGTCGGTGGGGGAGAGCTTGCCCGTCATCAGACGCAGCAGGGTGGACTTGCCGACACCGTTGGGGCCGACGAGGGCGGTACGGGAGTCCATGTCGAAACCAAGGTCGATGTTGCGGTACAGGTCGTCCTTGGGGTCGCCAGAGTAGGAGAAGGTGACGTTGTCGAAGGACAGGACGGGAGGGGGGAGCTTCTCGACGTCGGCGAAACGGAAGGTGAAGACCTTGTCGGGGATGACGGGCTGGATGAAGCCGTCGGCCTCCATCTTGTCGAGAATCTTCTGGCGAGACTTTGCCTGTCTGACCAAGTTGGCGTATGTACCGGCGCTGGCGATGAACTTCTTGATGTGGACAATCTCGTCCTGCTGCTTCTGGTACGCCTTCATCTGGTTGGTCTCCTGCTCGGAGCGGGTCCTGTTGTAGATGTCGTAGTTGCCTCCGTAGTAGAGGAGCTGCTTCATGCGCATGTCGATCATGTTGGTGCACACGCCGTTGAGGAAGTCCATGGAGTGGGAGACGAGGACGAGGGTACGGTCCCACTTCTTCAGGTACTCTTCCAGCCACACGCAGGCCTCGAGATCCAAATGGGCAGTGGGGTCGTCAAGCAGCAGCAGCGAGGGTCTGACGAACAGGGCCTTGGCAAGGGCGACACGCATTCTCCATCCACCGGACATGTCCTTGGTCTTCTTGTTGATGGTCACCTTGTTGAAACCCAGACCAGTCAGGATGAGGGAGGCGCGGGTAGCAAAGGTTGAGGGGTCCATCTTCTCCATGTGCTGCGAGGCCGTTAGACGCTGTGACAAGTGCCGGGTCAAAGGGGGGAGAGGGCAAACATACCTCGTAAAGGTCCATCAGGACAGGGCTCTCAGGGCCGTCCTCCTCGAGGATCTTCTCGGCCAACTTGTCGAGACGTTCCATCTCACGCTCAGCCTCGGTAACGACCCACTCAAGGGCACCGAGCTCGGTGGGAGGAGCACCCTCGTTCAGCAGGTAGATGTCGATGTGCTCGGGGATGGGGAACTCGCGGGCGTCGATGGCCTTGAGGAGGGTGGACTTTCCGCAACCGTTCTCGCCGAGGAGACCGTAGCGGCGACCGTACGAGAGCTCGAGGGTGGTGTCGGTGAAGAGGACGCGGCCGTGGAAGACCAAGCTGGCACTGGTGATCTTGACGTCCTTGCTGGCCTGAGTGGAGGCCAGGACACCGGTGGTGACACGGTCGGAGATACCGTGCTGGTCCATCTGGGCGGCGAGGCGGCTCACCTCGTCCATCTTATCGGCGCTGGTGGCGGGGCCATCGTCGCCGTTGACAGAGGAGGCGGTGGTGCTGGCGTTCTTGGAGGCCTTCTTCTTGTCGAGCTTGCCATCGGCGGCCTTCTTGGCGAGTCTCTTCTCCTTGGATGAGGAAACCATGATGACGATGCTTTGGTATTTTTTTGGTGATGGCGGGGTTACTTGTGCTTTTTTTAAGCGATGGCGGGGAACCTGTGGTCGCCCAAAAAGACCAAAGAACAAAAGGAGAGAAATAGGTTTTGGACGAAGAAACCCGTTTAATCTGTTGGATGCGTCGACGACAGATACAGTGTCACGCGAGCGTCAAGTCGTCGATGAGGTCGACTTTTAGAGAGAGAGAGAGAGAGAGGGAGAGAGAGAAGGAGGGGGAAAAGGATGAGGCGTGCAGGTGAAAAGGTGGAAAGGGAAAAAAAAATTCACTGTTCTTCTAGCAGGACAAAGAGCGGCGGTGCGAAACACAGTTCACATAAACACAGCCTGGGGAGGGGCAACTGGGCACACCCACCAAGGTAGGTACGTTGCGTTGCGTTGGGCATTGCCTGCTGCACTGCGGAACAGTTGGTAGTGGGGCAACGACTCAAATTTTCGAAAAAGCTGATAACCGATAGGGTACAGTGCGTGTACGGAGTACCTACAGTAACTACGCTAGGTACTCTGCACGCGTAGGTACTTTGCACGTGTAGGTAGCGCAGGCGATAAGGTACCGGTCGTATGGTGGGCTGGTGGCCGATACGTACCGCCGTCTCCTCCACCTCTCACCTCCGTCCCCCGCCTTCTTGCAACACGTATGGCGATGCGAGGCACGAGATTGGACGGCGAGGCCTTCTTTTTTTTATTTTTATACCTTTTTCTACTATTATCTATATTCTTTAGCTTCGAGACTACCGATCATGTGAAATTTCACTTGGAGTTGGTTGGCTCAAAGGATTCAGTGAGAGCCTCGAGTCATCATTGCCTTGACCCCCTCCCGCATGTGCTTTACACTGTACGTACACTTATCGTTATCTAATTAGACCCTGCCAACTGTGTAATGGCCCGCTCTGAGTGGCTTCTCTTACGCCACCGTGCAGCGCAGCAAAACGGGGACGCGGGGCTTGACGTCACGTATCACGTGTCAATCCACCTGACACGGTTGGTGTCTGCAAGCAGTCGGGGTTGGAAGTTGGGATGCGACGCCAGTGTAATGAGGATATCGTCATAATTCAACACAAGGAAAGAAACAGCGCTCGGTCACTTGGGCGATGAACCGACAACCACGCCATACTATCAAAAAGCAACACAAACTCAACCGGCAATTCAAGCCTGGGTGGCTGACCATCGTTGCCGATAGTTCGGATCCGTTGACGACGGCGTTTCTGCATCTCGGCCGTGTTGATGTTCTTTATAATTGTGCCGGCTAGAATGGCCTCGGGTTGGCGGTCCATGCTGTCCAGTTCTTCCCATGCTCTCCCTCCATCGTCTATCCTAATGGTGCCGCCTAGTCTGCGATGTGTCGCACTGCGGTATGCTCTTTAGTGCCTGACCTCTATCGAGCCAATGCTGCTGGATATGCTGTGAGAGCCTCATGTACTTCCTGTATCCCGTCCCATGAGATATCGGGCTTGGTGAGTCGGCATGGTGTATAATGCACACGACACGGCCCCTCTGGTCACCATCGTTCATAGTATATTTGCCTCGTTGCGCATTAAGACGTCCTATAAAAATAAAAATAAAATCAAAACACTCAGAACCTCGCCTGGCGACTGCTGTAGTCCCGGGCCACTGTGACGGTCCCGTCGGCCCCGGTCACGAAGCGGACGTAGTGGTTCGCAAAGTACGAGAGCACCAGCTGCCTCGGCGAGAAGAGCTCCCACGGGGTCGTCGGCGGCACCGGCACGGTCTCGCGCAGGTCCCCGCGCGGGAGGTACACGACGTCCGAGTACTGCCGCCTGTTCTTGTCGACCTCGACGCAGGCGAGGACGAAGAGCGAGAAGTGGACCGTCCTGTTCCGAGAGCGTCATGTTAGCCAGGGGGTTGTACGTTTTTTTTTTCTTTTTCTTTTTCTTCTCTTCTCTTCCGTGGCGGATAGTCGATGGGCGAAAGAGGGGGGGGGGGGACTCACACGAGGACAAACATAAAGAAGATCAAGGCAGCGGTCAGGTTCATGCGATACAGGGCCCGGACGGGGAACCGCGCGTAGGTCCGCCAGGCGCTGAGGAGCACGCCGATGAAGGCCAACGTGGGCGCCCAGATGAGCAGGTGGGCGGCGACGTGGGAGTTGGGGCGGCCCCAGCTGAAGCGCGTGCTGCGTCGCGGCGATCCGTGGCCGCCGGCGGTCTAGCGGAAGCCGCGGTCGCGCCCGAGCAGCGCGGCGACGTCGACGACGCTCCAGACCCATGCGAAGACGGCGGTCGGGGTGCCGAAGGACAGGATGCTGGCGGCGAGGAAGTCGTCGGTGGCGCCGTCGGGCGGCTGGGCGAAGGCGACCAGGCCGAGGATGATGGAGGCGACGAGGAGGGAGGTGGCGCGGAGGAGGAGGGTGTAGCGGTACATGGACCGGTTGGAGGGGACGGCGGTGAGGAAGTCGCCGCGGTGGTGGCCGATGCTGGACGGCACGGCCGCTACGTCGTGGTAGATGGGTATGGCGTCCATTGTCGTCGGAGGAGGCGGCGAAGGCCTACATCGTCGGGAGTATCTTATCGTCGTGCAGATTGGGGGTGTTCGGAGCCCACGAGAGGTGAGTGAGGGGATCGCGCAGTCAGGATCAAATCGCCATTGACGAATTGAAGTCTCTCGAGGAGCTGACGGGGCTTTATCGGCATTTGTGTTTATTCTGAGTGAGGCCGTCTTACACACCCAGGTTCGATGCTCGATGAGCTGCTTATGGTTTATCTTAACTACCACCTACGGCGAGCGCAAGGTTGCAGTGGGGGTGGGGCGGTGCTCTTACAGGGCCTCTAGTGGCTTGCCACGCCATAACCCCGTGAGGTGTTCACTATGTATAAGTAGAGATTTATTATCCATCTGTATATATAGGTGCAGATATTCATGGGATCTTGCCAGGACGTTAGCAGCAACTTAGTCAATGGCATTCTGTTTACAGGATAGATAAGGTGGATGTAGAAGTAGAATAGGAGATTGTAGAACGTGATTATGCTAGTAGGCTCATATGTCCCGAGTCCTTTGATAGCTTGAGCAACGTAGACAAGCAAGTAAACAATACGTCCAGGCTCTCCGGTGTCTCCCGAATATCTTCGCAGAATGTCCCTAGTTTATGTGTGTATGTGTGGTGGGCCTGTGAAATAAAACTTATGCCACTAGTTATTAGAGCACACAACAGGGCATATGAGGATTTAGGTCTAAAAGGCTTATTTCTATGTAAGATTAAGTAACGAAAGTGAGGTCCTATATATAGGGAAGTACCACGTGCCACAGCACCTGACAGGGCTGTTACAGAAGGTGGAAATGCATGAGGCTATCGTGACAACTTATAATGCTGACTAGTATGCAGATAGGGGAACCAAGCGATCACAACGACCGGGTCCTCCCCCCGCCGCTGCCGGATGGCTCCCCCGCCGACGTCGCCGACATGTGCGCGGGGACGTCCATGCGATACTTGCCCTCGCGCACCCCCGCGTCCGCCGGCGTCATGCCCGACACGCTCGTCGCGAACTTGATGTCCACGTCCCCCGGCATCACCAGCTGCGGCTGCGCGTCGCCTCTCTTCCGCCTCTCGAGCTCCTCCCCCGACGGCACGTAGTCCTCCGGCGGCGGCCGCAAGCTCGGCCGGAGTAACCGGTCGCGGTCGGCTGCTGGCGCATTGCGCGGCACCCAAGAGACCGGGTTTCTCTTGATCATCGGCGACGACGGCGGTGGCGGCGGTGGCAGCGGCGGAATCTCGAGCTGCAGCAGCTCCTGCGGTTGCTGAAAAGCGTTGCGCAGCGGGCTGCCGCCGACGAGGCCGTCGAGCGACTGAGGCAACGACGGGGCGCGGGCTGGTTGCTGCTGCTGCTGCGGCGGCGACGGCGGCGGCGGCTGTTCGGGGAACGGCTTGGCGACGACGTACACCGTCTGCCCCGTCTCGGGGATGTACATGACGCGCGGCCTGCGCTGGCGGATCTCGCGGCCGCGCTCGATGCAGGCACGGATGAACAGGGCCAGGTGGATAGTCCTAGTGACAGGGCATCAGCGGCGCAGGTGTAGAGGTGGTATAGGGAGGCGACGACACTCACGCGGTGAAGAGCATCAAGACGGATTGGGCGATGGCGTATGAGAGGGGCGTGCCGCGCATTTCGCCGACCGGGCCGGTTTCCTGCAACCTCAGCTGGACGGCCAGCCACACGCCGGCCATGTAAGTCAAGAGGAACAGGACCAGCTCGACGCCGATGTGGGCTTTGGGCGTGATGCCGCGGCCGCGGCGGGCGCACAAGGAGAGGAACTCGCCCAGGTCCCACATGAACGGGGGCAAGGCCTGCGGCGAGCGATGATGTGTAAGTAAGCGTGAAGGATCCCACTCGAGTTCGACGTAGGTAGTAGACATCTAGATAGCCACACGGAGGACCCGGAACAAAGAGCAGGAAGAGGACCGACTCACCCCCGGAAGACCCAGCCACATCCAGACACCGTACTGGTCCAGTTCCGGGCGGGCCCACCAGGCCATGGAGATGATGAGAACGACGGCGCACAGCAGCATCGAAACGAGGCGCGCGACGATCTTGCACGCCTCGCAGCGCCGGCCACCGCTATTCAACCACCGCACGTCGGCCGGGTCGATCGGGACGACCGGCGAGGTGGGCTTGGCGCCGTCCGGGTCCGATGCGAGGGACTCGAGCTGGTATGACTTGGGCGCGCTCATTGTCATCGCCGTGAGCTTGAGGCGGGCGGCATGGGTGATGATGATGGTGGTAGTGTTCCGCCCTCTTGTCCTGTCGGCGTCGCTCTCTGGACAGGACACGCGAGACCGACAGCAAGTCGTTGCAGAACAACACAAGACAGTGATTGTAGTCGAATTAAAGACTCGGCCCGGCCCTTGTTAATCCAGCCCCTTCTTGTTTGATGGGAGAAACAGCCCTTCTCCAGAACAAAGCCATCTCACCGGGGCCATCGTGCGATGACTTGGCAGAGAGAGAGAGAGAGGGTGTGTGTGAGAAATTAGGCAACCGTATTTCTCAAAAGGGGGCTCGCTCCACCCAGCGACGGCATCCGATCGAATCCGTATTCGACGCTGTCAGCGTAACTAGTGTTGTTGACATGCATCTTGGAGGTGGCTGTTTGTCTATCCGTATTGCTGCAGTGCATTGAATGGTTGGTGGTTGTTAACTGAGGGGTTTCTTCTAGTTGCTCTTTCCAAAAGTGGATATCGATATCTTCTGTCTTACTTTCCGTTTACCGCACTTCCTCAGTCACCACCACCTCACATCCTCTCACTCATTCACTCACTCAACCACCACCATCCTTAATATCTCACGACAAGTTCAAGCATACGATGCATAAAAAAGGATGGTTCAAGCAGCAAAAGATGGACACTGTGGGAATTGAACCCACGACCTTTCACAATTGGCTTCCGGATTGACCCGGTATGCGAAGCGAAAATCATACCCCTAGACCAAGCGCCCGTTCTTGTTGTAGACATTTCACATGGATTAGTCTATCAAGCGTACATTCTATCTGTTTCACTAATTGAAAGGATTTCCTCTTGCATAAGGCTGCGACGGTGATTATTCAAGAGCATCATCATCTTGCTCTGTGAGATGCACATCCACATCCCGACATTCTGCTACACCGCATGAGAAAGGTGCTATGGAGAGCCGACAGCGCAGCATATCCCAGATGAGAATCGCTCACGGTTCGATACACATCATTCACATTGGTAGTCCCAATGGCACTCTCAAAGTCAGGAACCAAGCTTTTTTTTCTCATTCCATATCACCCCTGTCGGGTATTCTGATGCTATTCATACAAGGTCGTCACACATTTCCCCCTTCTCGCCCACGACACCTCTTTACGCCTGAACATCGCTGTCCAGCCTCTCGTACACCACCGGGCCGCTGATCTCCGTCTCCCTGGGCCCGGCGTAGCGCCCGGTCCTGGCCTTGCTCTTCAGCAGCTCCCGCTCCGCCACGCGCGCCGGGTCGTTTTCGCTGCCGGGCTCGGCGCGGAACGCCTCCTGCACGCCGTCCCTGACGCCCTCGTCGTCGATGCCCTCGTGGATGTTCTTGCCGTGCGGCCCCTTGGGGTCGCGGATGTACTGGTTGAGCACGTACGTCGGCGCCGGCTCGGCCTTCGATGGGGCGCCGGACCCGGGAGCGGCACCGGTGCCGGTTCTGGAAGAAGAGTTGTCGTTGCCGCTGCCGCTGGAAGACAACGTGTTGGGGTCGACGCCCCTGTTCTTGGCGAACTCGCCGCCGTGGCTGGCAGACTCGGCTGCGAGGGAGTCGGGGGGCACGGGGCCCGGGGCTTCGGGGCGGGTGGGAGCAGCGGCGCCGAGGTCAACCTGGCCCTTGTTAGTAACCCATTGTTGGCAACATTTTTTCTAGGCCTGCATGCAGAGGCCTGCAGTTCTTTCAAAAAGCGTACCTTGGTGCCAGCGCTGGGGGGCTTCTTGTCCTGGGCACTAATAGTAGACATGTTGATTGTGTTGATGAAATTGGTTGCTGATGTTCGGTAGGGGTATCAAAGAGACCGGGTAGGTGATGGCAAGTCGTTTAGTATCCAATTGTTGTGATTGAATTAATTGTATTGTCCTGTTCTATTCCCCCTCACATCGAGGTTCGAAGCCGTCTCTTTAAACACCAGCTCGTCGCATGACATCATGTCGCCCTCGTCTTACATCAACCTCTGCCGGAGACAATACTCCCCCAGCACAGACTGCGGCATGACTTCAGCTCTCCACATTATCGCCCTCACGGTTATCGCCCGCCACGGGATGAGATGCGAATTACATCACCCACCCCGCTGCACGCCTCCCACCTCGACAGCATCGAGATGCCCATCGCCCCAAGGGCCACAAACCACCAGCCTTTTGTTCTTTCGCCAGGCTCGGGCATCTAGAACATTCAGCTGTAGTGTAGGGCCATCTCTGTGGCATGCAACCCGATCGGGCCTTACCAGGGGCTCGCCAAGCGTGTGGGAACAGGGAGCGGGCCGGTTCATGGTGGCAGATGGAAACCAGTATGACGAGATTTCTCCCAGATCAAATCCAGATCTCTTGATGTTGGGCTATCGTCGAGCTGTCCTTATCACCGTAGGAGACGTCACTCTGCTCCATTGCAACGGAGTTCGAACGTACAAGCACTCTTGTGGTGCTTGCCATCTCCCATACCAATTTCGGATCCGATCCATTCTGAGGAGTATGAGCATAGTCTGGTCACTGACATGATTTAAGCTTGCCCCTGTGGGGGGTCCTCAGGATGAACACTGTGAAAGGCCCTGTCGTCGCCTCCAGGAAGCGGGAAGACGACGAACTTGTCCAAGGTAGAGAAATCTCTGGACCGTTGGCAAACAACAGTTGTGTAATCAACAGACTTATATGTTCCAATATCTAAGCTATGCGAGAATGAACGTGAGGCAAGATGCGCTATGCAAAATATCAAGACTGAGGGTCCGCCGTGTACAAGCTTCGCCATACTATAATATATATCAACATCCCACTCGAAGAACACTATGAGAAATATGATGGCCCCTGTTTATCTCTCTCGGAAATATCGAGAATTCCACTGCTATCGTAAGAGGTCATCCATTATATCAACAAAATTCTTTCGGATCTCGAATTAATACCAACGTCACTCATCGCTTCACCATGCATGATGCGCCTGACATAGGCGCCACCAATGGATTTGTAACACGGCCCGTCTCTTCGCAGGATCGCGGGCAGGTCGGAGCCGTGGAGCACCGCAACCATGTCGCCCGGTCGTATAGCGTAGTTGCTCCGGTCAAAAATGTTGTCCCATGTCGCAAAGACGCTCGAGATCTTCCCCGCGCTGGCGTTGTATTCTCTGGCGAACGCGGTTCGGTACTTGTCTAGTGCCTAGGGAACGGAGTCTCTGAGCTGCTCGTAGCACCTCGCGCTGGACTCGAGATCTCCTATTCCGGGAGAGCCTAGAATCGTGTCCTAGCTGAAGGGGATCCCCGCTCCGCTGGCGGGGCAGTGGCCGTGTTGTATGGCTAGGTCGTGCACGAAACCGAGTAAATGCTTGCGTTGCACGATTTTTCTTGTGGCACCGCGGAGTCGATCGTCAGGTAGGATACCATGTCGCAGGTCCCCGTGAGGGCAAAGAGCTTGTCCCTCTGATCCGACGCCTGGAGCACCCTGGTGGCCGGGAGGACGTGCTCCAAGCTCCCTAGGTTGGCCGGCTGTATCCTTTCACTTCATGATGACTCGTCGTACTCTTCAAGGTCACTGCCCCGATGGAAGAGACTGAATTGGATGTCGCTCGGTTCCCGGTGTTTCTCACAGTTTCCTCCTAGCAGTACCGTTTGTTCCTCAATAGTATGGCTCTCTGTATCGGGGAGAGAACATAGTTGAAACTGGTTCTTACAGACGCAGCCACAGTCGACGTAAACATCTGTTAATTGGAGACACATCTTTTCAGCCAGACAATGAGGATATCGCAAGGTTTATGAGGGCGTTGAAGGGCCAAAGAATACGACATCTGTAGGCGGATATGAATTTTGTGCCCCTCCTCGCGTGCGGGGCTTTGAACTTGGCTTCTTTCCATGAGCTGCTCCTATGTCCAAGGTGTTCCTGATTGGCGCTTGAAATTTTACGCCGTTTCCTTGCCGCAGCTCCCAACTCCACCAACGCGCTTATCCATCCAGTGCTGGCAATTCGGTGGGGAGTAATGCTGCCGGAGCAGGCCGCAAGCCGTACATCATACCTGTAATGGCCCATCCTGTCTGTCTCATTGCTGAATCGTCCAGACCGTCGGGTCTGGGGCGCGTGCCGAGCGCATGCAGACCGCGAACCTGGCAGAGGATGAAAGCCACTACCAACGGTCATGAGAAACTCTGCGGGAAGAATGAAACAACTCTCATCAGAAGTGCTGCGAGGTCTATATTGCATGTGCGATGGGAAGCGCCCTCTGTAGTCTGTGTTGTTAAGAGATGAGAAACCTATCCAAACACCCAAGACACCGACCGCCCACACCACCGCCGAAAAGCAGACCCAAGATTACATGTAACAAGATCGCTCGCTAACCAACCGAGCCAGATTTCCGCCAGGAAAACCAATGTACCGAGATATGTACCCGCACCCAACCGTCGACGGCCACCCCCGGGCGCCAAATCATGTACCGCTCCCCTCTTACGAGTCTTCATGAGCCGTCTGCCTTTCTTCACAAAACCGAGGCGAAGCTCGCAATGGCGTTGAGCACCATGCGCCAGATGATGCCGGCGGTACCGACGACGACAAAGATCTGCGTCAGCTCGAACCAGCTCCTGAGGCGGACCTCGGTCTCGATGTGTCCGCCCTCGATGTCGGCGCTCGCGGGGAAGCGGCCGGTGGACACGTACGTCTCCATGATGGCGTCCTTCTCGTACCACCGCTCACGCAGCCAGGCGTCAAAGGCCTTTGCGTCGTCGAGGGGCATGTCGGCGAGGCGGAAACGGCGCCAGTGGAAGTTGACGGACCGCGGGGGGCGGCCCTGGAAGTAGGTGCTGGTGAGGGTGAAGTACTCGTCGCCGAACTTGCCACGGCTGGATGGAGGGGTTAGCTGTGTGTCGTGGGCGGCCCATGGGAGGCGCGAAAGAGGGCCTGGGGTAAGCTTACGGGATGCCTTCGTAGGCGACTGTGCAGTCGTAAATGTACTCGAGCGAGTCCTTGAGCTCGTTTAGGCAGAAGAAGGTGCCGGTGCTGCGCGGGAGGAGGACGTGTTCCGGGTCGCGGAGGCCCATCTTGTCGGCCCAGGCGGCCGACTTGCGGCGGCCGTTGGTGGAGAGGTTGGTACCCTCGGGGAAAAGCAGGAGCCACATGGGGTCGAGGTACTCGCGGCCGCCGGGGCCGGCGTGGCGCGTCTTGAGCTTGTTGATGCGATGCGCCAGTCGGGGCTGGTCGGTGGCCATCTTGCGCGACATGAAGATGAAGCCGTAGAACATCATGCCGATGCCGACGCCGGGGATGTACTTGAGCGACTCCTTGAGGATGATGTAGATGTGGCCGTGCATGCTCGGGGCGTTTGCGTAGGCCACCCACCAGAGGTACAGCCAGTCGGTGTATATCTGCGGCGGGAGAAGGTCAGTACTTTTCGTCTCATTCCGAGGTTCTCTTGTAGGAACGAAAAAAAAAAAAAAGATGATCGTTACCTGGTGGTTGGCGATCAGGACGAGGCGCTCGGGAAAGTTGAACTGGACGCGGCCGTCGGGGGTCTTCTTGATCTGGCCGTCCATGGACTTGTCGCCGCTTATCCGTATCGTGGTGTTGCTCCACATGTGCGTCATGGCCGTGATGGTCAGGCCGAAGGACTGCTTCGTCAGGGCCATGTAGGCATAGAAGATTTCGCGGCTGAAGAAGTACAGCGGGCTGCCGAGTATCTGTGTCGTGATGATGCTGTGTGTGTGCGCGCGCGCGTGCGACAAGGGTTAGCGGGGAGGTGTCGCATAGCGTCGGGCAGGGCCACTGAGGGACGAGAGAGAGAGGACAGGAGAACGTACGCAAGGCAGCAGGCAGCGAAGTAAAGACCAAAGGTCAGGCCGCGGAACAGCTGCATGGCGACGCTGTGCTTGGGCCGGCCGGCTGGGTGAGGGTTGGTCGGTTTCCTGACCAGACCGACCTTGGCAACGGGGGCTGGGACCGAGTCCGGGTCGGTCTTCCCGTGGACGTCTGTCGCCATGATGGCGGTATGTGCCCGTCGGTTCAGTGTGCCGTTCGGGAACGGGGTTCGAGGAAGAGGATCGTTCATCGGATGCGGAGGAGAGAGCGGGGCGATAGAGACGAGAGGGTGAGGTTCGAAGGAGCTTCGTCGAGGCGCAGTCGAGGTGTTTGATGGAGAGGAGGGCCGTTGCGGGTTAAGAGGTCTGGTCGTGGTGTCGCGTGCGAATGCGGCATGTGAGACGAGCAGCTGGGCGGTGGGAAGCCGGGGTGATGCCTGGTCCGGCGGGGTCGGAACGAGGGGGGAAGACGGCCGATAAGAGCTACTGTAGATAATTAGAGCGGGGTGTGTATTTGTAGGCACCTAGGAGAGAATCTTCGTGTTCGTGCTCGGGCGGGTATGGGTAGTAGTAGGTACTTTCTTCCGTCGGGTCAGCGCCTGGTTGGGAGCGGGAGCTGTGGATGCCATGTCATGGCGGGCTAGAGGCGTTATTGGGGAGAAAACAAGGTAAAAAGGATACTGCCGCAACAGTTAGCAGGCATGGTTTGTCGTGTAACAGGCGGAGCCAAAGAAACGGATGGCGGGATGGATGCATGGATGGATGAATGGATGGGTAACTAAGGAGGTACTTTACCTAGCAAGGCCAGCAAACCACCAGGTAGGAGGTATGTATGTGGCAGATTACAGTCAAAGGTATTGATCCACGCGGAGAAGGTGTCGTCATGGGCTCAGTCCGATTTGCCGGGCTGGTGTGGTCTGGTGTGTGTGTGGTCTCGTTTGGTTTGGCTCGAGTCTGAGTCTGAATGCGCACCGGCCGAGCGCGGCTTTGGAACCAGAAGTTGGGAGCTGAACATTATCCCGTCTCACTCATATACAGGCACGTCGAGGAGTCATTCTGTGGAATGTTTGTATGGATGCTTACAGACACCAGGTGAGCTGACCATCGTCAGGTACCTAGGTAGGTACGTACATGCCACTTGCATATACCGGCATCTTCGGGAAAGAGGGTCAGTCTACAGGCAGTTAGTGCGTAGTAGCGTACATTGTACATGTACTTCGTACAGTACGTAAGTAGTGTAGATCTAAATGGAATCTGCGGTGTACCGGTACGTACTCACTCACTGCACAGCGTGCACTCGCCCAATCCAGCTGTGCCTGCCTCCGTCTTCGGTGCAGCCTGGCCGATGTGGGGCCCTGTCAGACCATGGCAGGAAGGGTTCCATATGGTGGGGAAAAGAAGCACAGACCATGATGCATGCGATTGCGGCGTGACCTGACGCCATTGAGCGGAACATTGAGCAGCCGAAGTCCGTCCTTTCTGCGTTCCGTCTCCACTTATGCGCCGTTCCTGCCTCTCCTGTCGGTGGATGTGGTTGGTGGGTGTGGCTGGTGGCCGTGGCCAAGGTGGACAGAGACTCAATCAAGGAGACTCAGTGATACAAACTCCCACCCATTAAGCATTGCTTGCAACAATCTTCACATGTGAATTGGTTGACATAACCACAGAAAACTCCAGTTGATCTTATTCAGCGACCAATTTGCTCTTCTTCTGTCCATGCACGCTCATGCCTTTACATTGGTCCGATCTCCCGACTTAAAGCAAAGCATACATGAGATCAACTCAATTCAACAACTACCCGCACCAAACCTATCAAACCGGCTTTCTCATGCACACATGCAGGCACCGCACGTATCAATTTGCGCTCAGTCAGTACCGAATCGTGAGCTATCCTTCGCAGACACGCCCTTCTTCAACATCTCCGGGGACTGTGGGGTTACTTCTGCACAATAATGCTGATATCATTGACACAAGCCAGCCAGCAGCCCACTCCGTCAATGGCGAATGTCTGGGGCTATGGGTGTACTCAATCCTCCGCTCGGCCAAACTTTTCCCTCGCGGATAGCCAAAAATAGCCAAAGCGTGAGGGTTGGCTGTGGGGCCGGCGGCCGGGTAGTAGCCGGCGGCCCGGAACTCTATATACTGCCCGTCAACGTCTACTTCCATGGCCGCGAACATAGACTTGAAATTGACTAGGCGGTCTTGTAAATAATACATGAATCATCTGCTTACCTCGGTCCTAAAGCCTTCCCGTGCGAACACCTTTCGTCGCACCAACAGACATGTCATTCCCACCCTTTACTCATCTAACAATTGAATGCCCTCAGGTACCTTGAGTCGAAGGGACCAGGAAAGTTCCTTCCACTTCAACGATGTCGTCGTCATTCAACCTCTGCACTTCAATGATTGACCGGGGAGGGTGTCTATTGGGATCTTCACCCCAAAACTCCGTCTGTGCCTGGTTGCACAGCGGCCTGTACCGATACATGTCCGTGGTGTAGACAACTAGACGGACCGCCGAGAAACGATCAGTGCCGGCCAGCTCGGCGAGTTGGATCATGTTGGCATAGGCCTGGCGAATTCGCTCAATCCCGACCGGAGCAAGCGTATCGTTGGAAGAGTAGATCCCTCGCATACCTATCACGCCTCATTTGTCAGTGGTTCTTGCGAGGGTGTGGGATACACAACTGAACCGTACCGGCAACATAGAGGGTATTGCCAGCCTTCGACATCAGGCTCCATGGCCCAGTTGGCGTGAAAAGTGTGGAAGGGTTATAGATCTCGACGCCCGCGGGGGAAGTATAATTGGGTTCCAGAAAACCGAGCGAACTTGCTGCCGAGGTCATTGACAGAATAAAAAAGAGCCTCATGATAGCACAGACAGATTCAATGACAAACGGACAGGAGATTGAGACGTATACATTATGGAATTCGAGCACTCATTGAGAAGTTATATCATGATATGTTTGAATGTTCAAATCAACCAGATGACATCATACCAAGCCGAGCAAGCTTGGCAAAGATGTCATCCTAATATCTCAATCTGTTTTTTTCCCTATGACCTATAACTATCTCTCAGCGCACCAGTTGTATGGAAATAATTTAAACCAATAGATATGTAATCTTTCGTTAACGTAAGATTGAACCGCTTTCTGTAACATTACTACTTGACATTGAGTTGGCGCCTGTCGACCTGACACTAAGGGGCATTCCTAATCCACGTCCTGTAGAGACCAGTCATGAGAACCATCCAGACACTTGAGACCAGCAGCATAACACTCCAGACAGATGTCAAAACCGTTCCTTTCAGAACACACTTCGCATCGATACGCTTTGCCAACCGGGATGTAAACCGTACAAACGTCGCACCAACGCCTGTCTTCATGAAATGAAACCGCCTCTTTTCTCGTTACTTCGTCCTCACTATTAATTTGACCCTCTTCCCAGTCAGAGCTCTCGAGCAGAAGCTGGAGTGTGCGCGTATTTCCGCTCTTCCTAGCCCAAGACAATGCAGTCAAACCAAAATCATCCTTGTGTCCAAGGTCGACATTTTCAGCCTGGAGAAGCAGCTCCACTACATTTTCGTGGCCGTGTCTTGACGCAGCAATGAGCGGGGTTGCGTTGTAGAAGTCCTGGGCGTTTGCCAGTGCCTTTCGAGAGAGTAACAGTCGCACAGTTTCGGTGCGTCCTCGCATGGCCGCAAGGAAAAGAGGCGTGCGGCCAAGTTGATCTTTGATTTCGATGTGGCCTGGACATCTTCCGAGGAAGAGATCAGCCAGCTCGAAGTGACCGTTCATCGAAGAAACGTGTAACGGTGTCCAAGCCTGTTGATTTGTAGCTTCCAAGTCTGCTCCGTGAGCCAAAAGTAGCTTAGCAACTTCAAGGTGTCCCTCATCGGATGCTAAGTGCAGTGGCGTCCAGGCATTACTTCTTGCAACTGTAACGTCTGCTCCGTGACCCAGAAGCAGTTTAATGACTGGAACATGACCATGATAAACTGCTGGGTAGAGTGGCGTCCATCCATCAATGCCTGCGGTTGAAACGCTTGCACCCTTTTTGAGAAGTAGCTCAACAACTTCGAAATGATTGTTAGCTGATGCTGCACCCAGTGATGTGTATCCTCTGTCATCAATATCCGATATATCTGCTCCATTGTTGAGAAGGAGCTTAACGACCTCGAGATGACCGCTGGCTGATGCTAATATGAGTGGCGTTTGTCCCCATTTATCTGCAATTGTGATGTCTGCTTTTTTATCGAGGACGAGCATTACTACGTCGAGATGGCCCTGGCTGGATGCCGCCATGAGCGCCGTTCGTCCTCCGAAGCCTGTGGCATTAACGTCTGCTCCCGCATCAAGCAGCATTTGCGCTACCTCTATATTTCCCATCCTGCATTCGTATGCGAGGACAGATCTTCCCGAGTTCGGCTTTTCATTTGGGTCGTGGTTGCAGTGTTGTACAAGGTGCTTTAGTACCCCTGTTAGCCCAAGTCGGGAAGCGTAGTATAACGGGCTTGCCGGCATTATGGTTTCTGTCTCTTCTGGCCTCAAGTAATCGAGATTGGTATCAAACCACCGTGTCCACAAATCCCAAGTCTGATCTTTTCCGTCGAAAAAGGCGTACATAGCATTGATTAACGCGCTGTCCTTGGTCTCATTTAGGTTGGTATGCCAAAACCAACACTTTGCAGCATAATATCGGAACGACACCCTGATCTGATCTTTCTCCTCGGCAAGAGAACTATCCCAGACACGCGGGAACCTGATGTATTGGAGACAAAGCTTGGCGAGGGCAGTACTCTCGATGGATTCGTTGACCGCGCGCAATTTCTCGTTGGCAATCAAGACCGTCCCGCGAGACGGAATCTTGAAAAGCAGGTATTCCTTGACCGAAAAATGGGTCAAGTGTACTTTTCTCCATCCAGCGGGAGATTGACTGCCCTGTACTTCGATCAAAGATCCGCACAAACCCAAGATCTCACTGTCAACGTAATCGTCGTCAACAGAGTCCGGAAACTCGTCAAGTGGCAGATCGTCGCAGTCTTCGTTAACGAGAACAGCTCCGGTGATCTCGAACACAGTCAGAGGCCGTACGGAGAATGCGGCCCACCGAAGCAAAGAGAATGCCCTCGTTCTGTCCTCGTGTCGCAAGCTCTGAATTCTGTCCCAGTTCCGGTCGTAGAGGCGGTCAAGACCGGCGGGCGCTGCGTCAATGTCTCTTTCGAGCTGTTTCCTGCTCCTGCCCCTCCTCAAGAATTCTTCTTGCATCTTCAGCCACTGGAACTGGCCGTTACATCGAAGGGCCATTCTCTGGGAGATGCTGAGCCTCGTCGACTCGTCCTGCTTGGAGAGCTTATTGTCGACGATACTCCTCGAATAGGCTATGTTGTCGGCATGGACGTCTTCAGGTGATATGATATACTCGTTGAAGCCTGGGAACTGCGAAAGCCCATGCCAAATCTCTGGTTCGTTACGGCTAGTTACCATGATCCGAGCTGTGGTATCAGCAATCGCCTGCCGGAGCTCACTGAGAAAGTGGGCAACGGAATTTGCACCGTCCCGGCTCTCCCCTAGCCAGGTGCATTCGTCCAGACCGTCCAAGACAAAAGTGCAACAAGGAACAGTTTGTACAACCTCGCGGAAGAGTTGTACCAGGGTCGCTCGCGTGGCGACCTGTTCGTGCTGAGCTAAACGCCTTTTATAGACAACGTCCAAGGCAGCCTGATCGCCAAAGGCCACATCAGCAACCCACGACCTGAGAGCCATAAATGGATCGTCGCGGCCTTCATACTTGGACGACAGGAAGAAGTGTGCGACGGGGGTTTGGAGATTTGTTGAAAGAATCTCAACCATTCTGGCACACAAAACGGTTTTACCGAACCCTGCCGGGCCGTTGATCCACAGAACGTTGCTGGCGATGGCTGAGGCACTGGACGAAAGCCAATCACGAATCTCGTCTCGTTCTAGTATCCATTCGCACGTTCCATCTAGTCGTTTGTGGATAGAGTCGTCGTACAAATCATTCGTGGATGGGCACCCAAGCCATACGCGTAGGTCCCGTTTTATTTCAGCTGCAGTCGTTAACTTGCTGACGGGCAATCAGAACCAGATCATCATTACCTCGCATCTCCTCTTCTAATTTGTCCATGAAGGCTCGAATATCGTCGAGAAAGGCAGTCAGGCTGTCTTGGAATTGTTAGCTTGGAACGCCAAGCCTTGATCGGAAGAGGACTTCGCTCGAACCTTGTGATTGCGTGGATCGCTTTGATAGCGCATCCGATCTGTCGTCGGGAGGTACCACATCATAAAGATACTGCACCAAGGTTGCAAATGTCTGGACATGACCCGTCTGTTTGGTTTTCCCGGTGAGTGCCCAAGCCGCCTTCCGCCATCTGGAAGCCATCGGCGCGCCATAGCGAGGCTGGATCTGCCGTGGAGAGATCGAACCGCTTTTCGCGAGCCCGTCGTCTGGTTGCGTGTACTGTTGGTACAAGGCATCTGCTGCGTCGCTGCAGAAATCTTGGATACTGTCCAACAGCTTGCGGACCACCGTCAGTTTCTGAGCATCGTCGAGGGCGGGGTGGTGGGAGTCTGACAACCTCCCGTTCTCGAAGCCGACGGCCCGACCCCACTGTTCGAAGCGGTGCTTGTCGGCGTCGAACTGAGTCGCCAAGGAGCGCGAATCACGGCCGAAGTTCTTATACGAGTCGAACCTTTGGACGGCTTCCAAGCAGGAGCTGAATAGACCAGCCAGGCCCGCGACCCCGAAGGTCAGCCCTGCTATTTCCATAATTGCAGGCGTGTATTGATGTCAACAACTGAGTGGAAAGGCGACTGAAAATGTGGTTGCTGACGCAGCCTGTCACCCGCAGGCACAGCTTCAGACCCTGCCATTTATCTGACTGGTGACTAAGATGTGTTCTGTGGCCAATCCTGCATCTCTGTGTGGCCTTCGCCAGCGCATGCATTTCGCTGTGCCACATAACTGCTCGAGCACACCAACGATAAGGGTGTTGGTCCAATCAGGGGCATGGGCGCCTTTGTGGTTATCTCGAACTTGTGGCATCGCTTCGGTCGACTTCTCCACGCCGATTCTTCAGAAGACGAAGAGGCATTTGGTAACTTAATGCTGCAGCAGAGGGTTCATGAATTATAGCAGCCATGCTGGCTTGAGAAGCAATCAAGCCATCGGGGGTACGCACGGTCGTGAAGTTAATTGACGGGGATGTATTTGATTGAACCATATAAGCAACCGTGTATCTCATCAAGGCCAATCTATCTTACAATGGGGGCTAACAACACAGATACAAACATATTGCTTGAAATACAACTTTACCTAACCACCTCGGTCTTATTTGGAGCAAGGTCTTGACACGATTGCGACATATTGAATCTCCCATGATACATTTGCTTCTGCAACCCAGCTTATCACCCAGGAAGAGCTTAAACGCTGCTGGAATTTTGCAGTAGGCATCAACTCTAGACAATCGGTGAAACTCGCTGACTGAAGTCAAAATCCAACCCTATGATCCCCGTTGAACAACCCAAGCCTCCTGCAAACTGTTTCTGGTATAGAACACGATCTTGTTACACATTTATTGCAAGAATTTGACTAATCATGATTCTCTGCGTTATATGGTCCGTTGCAGTTGTAAATGGCGTCCTGGGACGCCCCGTGGCTTTGTTGTTAGTAGATTTATACTAGCCGGCGATCTGGCCAGTGGTCACGTTCGCTTTTGTATCTTTGTATCACACAAAGCCAGAGGCGCGCTCCGCAAGCGTCTTCGCTTGCAGGTGCCATAAACACAGACAGTAGGCAGGACGCCCTCAATAAGGCTCTGCCTAAAATGAACATCTCATGATGCATAGAGGCAGGTCGGGTAGCGCTGCACGCATATGGAGGGGACGTTCATCTGAGAGTGAAAGTGTTGCCACATGCAAGCTATACCGGAAAACCCGCAACTATTTGGACCAATAAAAGAAAAAGCAAGCGGGCAATTATATAAAAAAACGAAAGATAAAGAAACGAGGGGAGTCTTTGGTTAAGCGTAGCTCAAATTTCAGATATATTGAATGTGCAACTAATACAAGCATTGATGACCCTCTGACACACAACTCCAGACCTTGATTTTCGAATTAGAAATTCCTGTGTATATGAGCCGTAGATTCGTGAAAGACCGCTATTTTCAGAAGAGTCAAAATTGGCCTAGTACCTTTCCGGAATGGGGAAGCGGTCGTCAACCGTGGGAAACTGGGGGCTTGGCTCAGGGCTTGGCTCAGGGCTTTGTTCTGACGTAGGCTCAAAGCTAGACTCAAAGCTGGACGTTAGGCCGGACTCTAGGACGTAATCAGAACTGTCCGTGAGGCCAGGTATAGGGCTGGGTTCTGGGATGTCGTCGGAGCTCAAGGCAAAGCTGGACGCCGGGCTAGGTTCCGGGATGGGCTCAGAGGTAGATTCCGGAACGGGTCCTGAGCTAGGCTCGAGAGTGGGCTCAGGAATGAGGTCAGATTGTGACTCAAGAATAGGCTCAGGCTCAGACTCCGTGGTAGGCTCAGAATCAGGCTCCGTAGTAGACTCAGGTTCAGGCTCTATGGTAGGCTCAGATATAGGCTCCGTGACGGATACGGGTGTAGGCTTGGGGGTATCCTCTGGGAGATCGATTGTGTAGGGCTGCGCCGTTTCGAGGTACACAACCCCTTCGAGATCCCTCAGCATCGCGGCGCCAAGGTCGTCGGTCTCGACAGCCACCATGTTGAAGGGTGGGTACGTGTCAACAACCTTGACATTGACATCACCATCCTCGATATTATCGATCTTCTCAACGAAGTCTCCAATGTTGGCGTCCTACGGATCCAAGTAGTTAGCACAGGCCCTAGATCGGAGAGAAAGGGGATGGGTAGCTCACAGGTTCTAGGACGACTATAAAATCGTCAGCGAGGGCACTGGCCACGAATGGCAAAATGATGAAAGAATTGGCGAAACGCATCTTGATGTTTTGAGGGGCTTGACAAGTGCTCAGAATGACTCGTAGTGGTGCAGGGTGTAATCGTGGTAGAGATCTGGTCAGAAATGAATGAACTCAGTGGTGACACCCTCCTCTATATACACAGTGATTCTAGTCGTGACGCATCATGAGCCTGGAGACGGGAAGTTTCTGGCAAAACAAATTATACCATTAGCCTCATTCCACTAACGTTCGGACGGTGAACAAGGAATGAAAGGAGGCACTGTGGTCTAGCCAGATCTATCCGTCTTCTAAGACATCGATGGCACCGCCAATCCGGATAAAGTGTACGTGTAGACGGAATCAGATTCCTCGATAGCTGAACCTTTCCCTTGCATTCTTCTTGGTCATGGTCTGGGCATTGCCCATGGTGGAGATTGGCGGAGGTTCTACCCTGTTTGCGGACGCTTCCAAGTCTTTTCCTTTCTCCCGCTACAAAGACTAGCTAGCTATGACAGACAACAAGACACACCACGAGGGGATCGATATGTTGATCATTAGCGATATTCTACCGAATGCGACCCCTAAGTACTTAGAGGAGGAGCTAATCCCCTTCAATAACTCTGCCGAAATCAAGATTCTTACTTCCGTTAGGTCTGGCCATGCCCGTCGACTCGGCACGCTAAGCCCAAGCCGCCGCAGGGCGCCAGCTCCCTACACCACAGGAGGTGTAGGTTTTAGCCATGAGGCTGCAAATTGCTTTTTCTATTATCATTCCTCTTTCTTCCCACATCCTCAAGAAAGACGCACTTCGCTTCCAGTCTTGGCGCTCTCTCTGACAGCCTCGATGATGCGCAGCACGTCCCGCGCCTCGCCCGCCGGCACGGGAACGTCCTCGTCCCTCCCTGTCTCGACCGCCTTGGCGAACGCCTCGAATAGCTGGAGGTATGTCTTGGGCTCAGCCATCAGCTTCGTGCGCTCCTCGACCTTGCCGCCCTCCTTGGCGAGCAGCAACGTGCCGCCGTTGATGGGGTCTTCGATACCGAAGCCGGGCTCCTTGGGCTTTCTGCCGGCTTTGAGGTGCTCCTCCTGCGGGTCGAGCCCCGTCTTGTGGAACGACGCCTTGGTGCCGCGCACCCAGAAGCGCGGTTGATGGGCCTCGACGCTCATGACGCCGATGCGCACGCTGACGATGAGGCCGTCCTTGTACGACAGCTGCGCGTTCACGCTGTCAGGGTCCTCGGAGTCGAACTTGCCGCCGCGCTGGCTGATGAGCTTTCCGTAGACAGCCTCGGGCATGCCGAAGAGATGGTAGGCTTGGTCAATGAGGTGGGAACCCAGGTCGTAGAGCGCGCCGCCGCCCTCGGCCATGCCCAGCTCGCCCTTCCACGTCGCAGGGCGCTCAGGGCGGTAGCGGTCGAAGTGGGTGTCGAACTCGTAGACGCGGCCGAAGACGCCGTCGCCGATCATCTTCTTGACCGTGAGGAAGTCGCTGTCCCAGCGGCGGTTCTGGTAAACGCAGATGAGGCGCCCATTCTCCTTGGCGACCCGGATGAGCTCTTCGGCCTCGGCGACGGTGGGCACGAAGGGCTTCTCGACCAGGACGTGCTTCCCGGCCTGGAGGGCCTGCTTGGCGAAGCGGAAGTGGGTGTTGGGTGGCGTGAGGATGTTTACGATGGAGACTTCGGGGTCCTGGAGCATGGGCTCCAGGGCGGTGTGGTGCTTCAGCTCCGGGTAGTCATTCGGTGCGGATGACGAAGCCGTGGGGTTCCGCTGCACAATACTGTGCAGCTTGAGCTGAGGAGTGAGACTGATGAAAGGAATGTGGAAGACCTTTGCGGACAGGCTGTAATGAATTGTCAGCATACGAAATTGGCTGATGACTCCGCCACGGCGAGGCAATCCCAGAAACATGCAAGAGGGCTGATTCAGTACAAGGGTTGGCTATTCACCACGCCCGTGGTGTTGGACTCAACTCACCCGTATCCGATGATTCCAACGTTATATGTCTTGTCTGCCATCGTGGTCGTATTTTGATAAGTTGCAGAAAACGGTGCACCGGTTTCCACAAAAGAGACTTAGCAAGAGCAGCGGCCTTGCAGTCTTATAGAGAATCGTCCAGAGGGTCGCGTCGCCCGAGGCCAAGCATGAAGCGCGAAGTGAGGGGCAATCGTGAAGGAACTGGATCTCTTGGTGGAGTGATCGAGCCAACCTTGTCCCTTTGCGCCACAAGGAATAAACTCGGCGTTTCTCTTAATGGGTAGTGGGGGAAATCGCCCCATTTTCCGCTCGTCCGTTGCTTCACAGACCAGGACGCTAGCACCTGTTTACGGCAGCCTGCAGGGCGCACTGGTCCAAAAGTCAGAACTTGCCTAATTAGGTTGCTGATTAGTACTAGGGCCACCACTAGTGTACAGATAGCAGCAATATTACTTTATAGATAGTAATTTATCTATATAGTATTTATAAGCCCTATCTATATAAAGATAAAATCTATATAGCTTATGTACACTTATATATAGACTTATACACCTATAATATATACTATTTAGTATAAGATAGTATTAAAGTGTCCTAAAAAAGATAGCCTTAACTATTTTATAGTAAAGTTACTCTATAAATAGCACTTTTACTTTTTTTATTCTCTTAATTTAATTATTCTCTAAGAACTGCCTATAATTAACTTTACCTTAATTAATAAGAATATTTTTAAACTTTTAAAATCTTTTACTAGTATCTAATTATAACTACCTAAAAATAATATAAACCTAACTAAGTCTACACTATATATCTTAAATATAAAACCTTTAATAAGCTTCTTTATAGTAATTATTAAAGGCTTATAAAAGTATAAAGTAAGTATATAATAAATAAAGAACTAGCTAATTTAGGACCTAACTATTTATATTAATATTAGTCTTTAAGTTACCTTATATTATAAAGTAGATATTAATAGCCTTAGTTTTTATATATACACTTATATATAATACCTTAAGAAGTTTAATAAGAGATTATAATTTTTATTAACTATAAAGTATACTTTATATATTAATATAATAAAGTACTTTATTATAAAGTTTACTTTAAATAAGGCTTTTCTTAAATATAAGTAAAAAGTAATTTTAATTAATATAAAGAACCTATTAGATATTATAAAGTTCTATAGTACTATATATAAAGCCCTTAATCTCTAAATATTTCTTTATAAGACTTTACTTTCTAGTAAAAAAGATAGCTTTACTATTACACTTATATCTAAAATATAAATTAAACTACCTATCTTTAAGCCTTAAGTTTTAAAAAAATAATAATTTAAGTACTACTAGCTAAAGCTACCTACTTTTATATAGTAAAAGGAAGTCTAGCCTACACTTATATACCTTAGTACTATTTAGACTAAAATAAAATAAAAACTAATACTTAAAGCTTTAGAGGTAAGCTTATAAGTAAAATTATAAAAGTATATATACTTAAAAGTAAAAGATATAAGAAGTAAAGATTAAAAAGTAGCTATATAGGATAGTATTAAGGATAAGGATTAAATAAAAGATATATAAGAAAATATATAGGTTAAACTAAAAGAGAGTTTACCTTCTAGTTAAAAATAAAGTTAACTACTTTATAAAGATTTACTATAAATTAATTCTAAGTATAATAAATTATACTTTTACTTACTTAACTTTACTACTTTACTTCTTTAATAAAGAAACCTCTAGAGATACCTTTAAGATAATATATATCTCTAAATATTACTATAGGAAGTTATATACTTTAATATAAAGGTACTTTAAACTATAAAACTCTATAATAAGTAAAAAAGTCTCTCTAGAACTAAGAATATCTTTATAGACTTATATTATCTATATAGGTAAGTATAGATTAAGATTTATACTATCCTGTTTAAGCACTATAAATATTTTTTATACTTTTAAGAGATTAACCTTCTATATAAAATTAATTATAGAAGTCTAATTAGGCTAGTAAAAAAGTAACTAGGGCTAGCTATAGACACTATAAGGCTAATTCTTTTATATATAGATATAATAATTATTCTAGAGGTATATAAAGTTAAAAAAGTCTTTATAAAGAAGTAGTATATAGATAAAAAGTAAAGTAATCTAATTAAAAAGAGAATTTAAAAAAAAGAGTTATAAAGACTATAGTTAATAAAAGAATCCTTATATAAAGTATAAGTATCTTAGAATATATATATAAACAAGTAAGTATTTACTTTTTATTATATAGATTAGGCCTAATATAATTAATTCTACTAACTCTTAATCTTAATATTATAAATACTTTTACTAAAGACCTAATAATTATAAAAGGTTATAAGAATATCTATATCTAGTTAAAATAGTATATATTTTATATACTCTTATAAAAGATACTAATACTCTTCTATAGTAAGGGCTACTTTTATACTATAGTCTAAATAAATAGTAAAAAGTATATACTTCTATTTAAGAATAATAAAAAAGTACTAGGTAAATATAGATTAGGTAGTATATATAAAGAACTTTATATAAAACTATATAATATACTAGAAGTATATATTAATAGTAGTATATATCTTAAACCTAAACAAAAGTAGCTTATTATAAGTATTAATTAACTAGATAAAGTTAAGCCTTAGCGTAGTCTAACTTTTTTATTAATACTAGAGCTTTTTTAGATATTCTTATATATTTTTAGGAAAAACTTAATAATAGGCTTTATAAAGGATGTCTTAGCTAATAATATAGCTATATTAGTATATAAAAGTATAAAAAAACTTATAGCCTAGGTCTTAGACTATATTTACTATACTATCTTCTAATAAAAGGTACTAAACTATACTATAATATATAGCTTAGAGCTATTTAGGTGTTTAGTGTTACTATAGTAAATAGTATCTTTAAATATCTTTAAAGCTATATTATAAGATTTAAAATCCCTCTGTATATAAAGCAGTAAGAATATTCTAATTAAAAAAATAATAGTTAAAAAAAAGCTTAAAAATATATTAAAGTAAAAGAACTAAGAATTATATATAGACTTTATAGTAATAATTAATTAAAAGTAAAAATTATTTAAAAGTAGTAAAAAAAACTTAAAGTTAATAATTTTTTAATAAGTATATAATAATTACTATATAAGTCTATCTAGAATTTAACTTTTCTTAAATAAGTATAGAATACTATATAAGGTTATATAATAGGTAACTAGTCTAAGGTATTTTAGAGAAAAAAATTTTAAGATATATAGGTCTATATAAAGGTATACAAAGGAAAAATCTTTATATATAGAACTATAAAATTAGGTATCTAAAAACCTAGAAATATAAAGACCTAGGTAGGCTAAAACTAATATATAAGAGTATATAAAGGTGCCTAGGTCTATAAAAAACTAACTTTATTTACTAAACTTTATGCTTTACTATAAAAAACTAGCTAGGTATATACTATATTACCTAAATATATATATCTCTCTAAGACCTATAAACTCCTATATCCTTTTATAAAGGCCTATATTTTTCTATAAACCCTTATATCCCCTATTATCCTCTTAACTACTACTATAAAAGTATATATAAAAGTATTAAATTAGCTAAGATATATATAGATATATATAGATTAAGTATAACTATTACTATTACTATTAGACTAAATTAAAAGGTTAATAAGATTATTAGTACTTATATAGAAGTTAGTAAATATATAAATAAAGACTAAGGTTATATAGATATATATAATAGCCTATAGACTTAAGCTTATCTACTATAGAAATAAGTATATTACTAATATAGTATATATACTTAGGCTTAAGCCTATAGATCTATATAAGAAAGTCTATCTTTATATAAGTAGCCTTAATAGCCTTAAACTTATATAAAGTAAATAGCTTACTACTAGATTACTTATAATTACCTAGAAGTATATATAAGTATAAGTATATATAAATACTAGCTAGAAATATATAGAACTTACTAAAGCTATAGGCACTTATACTAGAGTTATAGGTGTAGTTAGTATAAGTAGTAGTATTTAAAATAACTATATAAGTTATATATAGACTATTACCTTTCTAGTAACTAGCGTAAGCTTTTAAACTAAGATATATAGTTTTATATACCTATATTAGGATTAAGTTACTGTTCTATATACGTTTATACTTAAGTTTACGCTTAGTATAAATACTATTAGACACTTTTATATAAAGATTAAGTATATAAGGCTATATAAATATTAGTACTTATAGAAGGAATATATATATAAACTTATAAAAATATCTTCTATATTAAAGAACTAGGTAATAACTTACTAAGAAGTATACTTAATAGTAACTATATAGATTAGTATAAAATAAAGTAGAAATATATAAGAATATATATATACACTTATAATAGTGTATAGTAATTTCTATATTAGTAGAATTATTACTAAGCTATATAGGAATAGTGTTATCTACTAGAAGCTATATACCTCTAATCTCTTCTAGGATAAGCTTAGCTATAATATATAAGTCTATATAGATATATAAAAGTTATATAGTTAGTAATAGGTATAGATAAAAGTATAAAGACCTATAGGATTATATAGTAATATATAGTAATATATAGTAATATATAAAGATATATAAGAATATATAAGAAAGTTATTAGATATATAAGGTAACACTAGGCACCTTTAGGAATATATAAATATATAAAAATCTATAAAAAAACATTAGTTTAGTAATAATTAAAAAGTAAAATAAATAAGTAAACAAGATAAATAAATTAAATAAAAGTTAATAAAAGTATATAGTTAAAGGTTACTTATATACTTTAAATTAGGTATAGGAAAAGGAGGAAAAGTTTAGAAGTAAAAAGAAATATATTTATAGTTAAAGTAAAGCGCCTATAATTAGCCCTAGGTATATACTTCTATTAGGTATATACTCTAGGGTATACACTTCTCTATTTATAAACTAATTAGATAATTAAGGTATCTAGGTAAGTAGAACTATAATATTCTAGGCTATATAAAGTAATATAAATATATCTAAAAGGATAATTTATTTAAAAGACTAATTAGTTATATATAAGTTAGATTAATAATATGCAGTGTTTCTAGAAACTAATAGGGTAAATATAGTAACTGTTTAACTTTTAGACCAGTGCGCCCTACAGGCTGCCGTACTGTTTTAACACGCAGGGATAACGAGGCCAATGAACTGTTAGAGTTGCCTGATTGGGTCACCTTGACGGTTTCGGTGAGACCGTAGCTCTCACCAAGATCGGACCTATGTTTATGTCCGGATACCTTCGTCTTCCTAACAATGTGCCTTGAAACTATCAGATCCACTTGAGGACCATCGCAGTCTGTCTGATATTATATAGGGTAGGGATACTTCCACATATCGTAGATATTACTTCCACATCTCCCCTATGAAAGGTAAGAATCGGTTACCTGTGAGGTAGATCCCATTTGGTTGCTGACGCAGTGATGCAAAGTCCTCTACGTAGAAATAAGCCCTGCAACACGCATAAAGTGCAGAAATGAGAATATTTGGCATGACCACGAAAAGGGGAACAGCCAATGACGGATCCTTGTCTGCTGAGTTATTGTACTCTGACCGAAGCAGAGTCATCAATCTGTTGACAAAACCTCTCTTCTGGCTGTCTTTTTGTTCGCCATGCTGACGTTGAGCCTCAGCGTCCACAGTCGATTCGACCGACGGCGAATTTCGCATGCGTTCTTGGTCCCGGTGCCACTTTTGGTCCTCGTAAAGCCAGTGAAATGCTCCGTAGAGGGAAAAGAACATGTGGTACGGAGCAGCTAGCCTCCACATCAGTTGCTCTGTGTGCGACGGAAAGTGGAAGCCCCATGCAATCATGAAGGAAGCGCTAAATCCCACGATGAAAACGCCGCCGAGAGGGTAGTACACCAGCTCCATTGGACGCCAGAGATCGGACGGGAACCTATCCCAGAGCTCTTTTTTGATGGGCCGGCCGTACGGGTGAAGGTGCATCACATCGCCAATCCTCTTATAGAAGCACCAGTAAGCGTCGATACGAAACATGCGTGGAGTGATGTCGTCGAGGGGGGTACGATGCCACCTTGTTTGGAGTCGAGGATGTGTCTGACGGGCGGGTCAGTATAAGGGCGAAATCCACTAACGAATTGGAGTGGTACCGACATGAGACCTAGCGTATGATCGAATGTCATCCAAAGTGATTTGTTGACCGTTGCGAACCTTGGTTTCGATGTATCGTGGATACGATATAGCGGGCTTCGGATACCAGCAAATGAAGGTTGCTACCATGGCGAAAGTAAAAGAGAGCGCAGTTAACTCAAGGGTCGTGATGGGCAGTCCCATTCTGATTCGGTCAATTTCGACAATGAAAAACCAAACTGCTTGCCACAACGTGATGATTCTATAGAGGACTGAGCTTTCCGAAAAGATACGCAAGCTTCTCATGGTCTTCTTACCTTGACAAAGTATCAACGGTGTTGCGCTCCGAAATGTCCATGGACTTCATGTCTGGAAAATCAACAAAGCCGTGCTTTACCAGATAATGCAGTTGTTCGGCATTTATCGGGAATCCTTCGGGAAAGTCGGGGCTCTTGAGGAAAATGCCACCCATATCAACAAAGAACGCTTGCGTGTAGGTCCATTTCTTGCCGTCACACAAATGTTGGTCCTTGCGAAATTGCTGACGATTGGTTATTATCAAGCCCCAACGGCTAGTGGACTTTTTCGACAATGGCTCACCTTTACACTTCTCCTAGCACTTGAGAGTTGGCCCACGGCTAGTCCAAACAGAAAGTCGGGTCCCAAGAGGCCTATCATGGCCAGACTGAGCTTGTCGTAAAAACCGTGATACCACTTGTCCTTTGGCGAAAGCGCATTAGGTTGCGTCGCCGCCCATACGCAGAGGACTATTGTTAGAATACTTGACCAGAGGATGTCAATGGTCCCCCTGTCTCGCCCAGCGGCTACCCACCCATTGACTGTGGTGTATATATCGCTCTGATTGATGCCATTGCGGGTTGACAAAGAGTGGAATTGTGTGCTATCGTGTTCCCACATCTGTCTAGAAAGGGCCAAAGAGAAATGAGCAATATGAGAGAGAATGGAGGTGCTGCATCCGGAAATTGAGAATTCAGATAATTGTTCGATTTAACAAACCACCATAACACCCATTTAGACAACCGGCCGGCTTTTGGTCTGTCGGTGCATGCGGATGATTGCTGAAAAGTTTCATGATGAAGAGTCTCAGTATCACAGGAAGCGGATCTAAGGGATAATTAAGAAGTAAGTCGGCAATAGAGACTACGAGTGCCTTGGGGGCGGTCAGGCTAACACGTAGACAGTAAGAAGCATGGAATCTTGCTAATCACGACACAGAGTTCGCATTCATGCAGGGGGTGCCTAATTCAGGTAACACGTTCTCTTCGGCGCTTAGGAAATGGCAGGGTGGCCGGCGAGGCGGAAGACCCAACGACTTGGCGATATTCCCGGTCCGCCACGATGAAGTCCTGGCTTTGAAATAGCTTGGTTTAGTGGGTGAAAAGGACAGAAGATTCGTACAACTCTTGCAAATCCCAGTGACCCTGAGCATTTTCTGTGTTTTGAACATTTAACCGGACCAATACGATCGCAATAACTTGAACCTGTTGGTTCAAGGTTGCTTTCGAGTACTTGGCATTCACTGGGGGATAACGGGCTAGCCGCCCGCAGACCGGATATGGTAATGTACTCCACTGCTCTGCAGCGTCTATTTTCATACAAGCACGCGATTGGCAAATCTCCTGTCGAGTGAGTTGGGACTCACCTGGATCTGAATGTGTTGGTCACGTTCTATCAGACTATAGAAGGATTTGGGACAATCTATTGAGTCTTAGATCTCACGACGTTACCGCACATATATTTACTAGCAACGGCTGAACGTGTTTAAATGACTCATTGTCAAGGGATCGTGGTTCAAACATAAACCTCTTCAATGTTCTTATGCATGGAAGCAGATATAACAGTCCAATGAAGGTAAGAGTTGGAACCATCAGCTGGGGCGCTTTTCCCAAGCCACCCATCTATCTACCTGTGTCCCCAAGGAGAACCAGTGAACCAGCAATGCTCTACGTTGCCAGCCACCACATCTCAATGCCCAGGGAATAATCCCCTGCCATTGACATCTGATTGCTTGAGGAAGGACTCTTATAGCTATTCTCGACTACCTGACTCAGATCAAAGTGTGATGAGCAATGCATCCCAAGAAGTGACTGCGATCTCCTTCCCATTGCAGTCATACATTCACATTCAGAAACAGTTACTGACGGAACGGCTAGAACATCGAAAATGGAGTCTTAGACCCCGATTGAAGCAAGTTTTACGACCCGCAAGGCTGCGTCGCTTACCTTTTGATAATGCTGTTAGACCGCGAAACAAACAACTGGTGAATCATTGTTTTATTACCATCACTTACCTTATGGACGGACATTGTCTGATCACCAACAGAAACTGTAACGACGGCCTTTGAGTTAGAAGATCCATATTGTAGCAGACTCTAATTTATTCACGATGTCTTGGCACCGAACGCGTAGAGCTTACCCTCATGCACTTGCAAGCTTCATCGATCTTCGCGAACACCTCCAAGGCCGCACGTGTGTCGTTGTAGAGGTCGAGGTCGGAGCCGAATCCCAGGGTGCGGCAGGATTGCCTCCGAGGGCGTGGGTTTTCCATGACCATCCGCAAACCTAAAAAAGCATTCCCATTAGTTCTGTTCGGAAAAAGATTGAATCTCACCCGGAGCGAACCCTGCCACTGATGCGAGTTGAAACGTTCATATATTGACTTGTGTGAGAATCGTGCATCCGGAATTGCGACGGAGCTGTGCCGACCCCTCGTCTGAACTTCAGGCCAGCAAAGCGGTTGGCGCGGCCAGTAGATTCGGTTTGTACCCAATCTGACCCGATGTTGGTGAAGATGTCCTCCCATTTGATAATTGTTCAAGACCAGCTGCACAGTCTTCACCATAGTCTTCTTGAAACTTCGTTGGCGTCAGGGAGGATGCTTACGACGAGCATCTTCCGATGGGATATGATGTTGAGAAAAACTTTTTAGCACGGTCCTCTCGAAGCAGTAGTGGTGATCTCGCAATATTTTTGGGTTTCCGCTGGACGATAGTTCAGACAATATGACCCTAGCTTTTATATGCCAAATAACCTGAGATTTTTATCGTCTTTTACGTTGCGTGATGATCCAGCAAGTCCCATGTGACCCAACTGCCAATCACATCTTTGGTCGAAAGGGGAGAAGCTTGAGATCAATATCCAGGAACATGAAAATGAAACACGTCAACTTTACTGTTGTCTGAATGCTCCAATCATCAGGTAACGCGACAAAGTTCGCAGCACGTCGCATTTATCCCGGTGGTAATAGTGTCGTTGGGCGGGGCCTCCCTGACACAGACATTGTGAGAAGAAAAGCAACGCAGCATAATCTGTTCTTCGCAACCAACGACTCCAAGTAAGGCAGCTGGCACACACGCAGCCCGTAAACGACCGGAAGTTCGGCATGGCCTTTTCGATTGGTTATGCGATAATAGCTGGCTTCACTTCTGAGTCTCTGCTCTGACTTGACTCCAATCAGACTTCTTCGCAGCTAGTAGTCCAAATCAAGATGCAGAGGATACTCAACGAATGGCTCGGAAACTACTTAGATATCTGAACACTAGTTGTAATTGCCTGAAATCGTGTGCGTAATGGTAATGAACAGAGCGTATCTTGGTATTAAGACGTTACATGTATCCAGTCAGCATCTTCCCTGAACATACCGGACTGCTCCGGGCTCTGTGTAGAATCATCTCAGAGAAAAGCGTCTGACGGCAGAACGTTCAAATGATGGTAAAGAGTTTCCCGGAAACGAGCAGCACCCCTCTCCCCCTGGCGAGGTTGCAGACCACCCTGTCAACTGAGAAGCCGCGTATCCGGTGGGGATGGATGCATTTCTCAAGGAGTCAAGATGGTTATTGACAATCACCCATCCTTTTCATCACAGAACATATCAGCCGAAGCACCAAACTCATCTTGAATAATGTTTAAATGTTCCCTATCAGTCTTGTCAATGCGACTAGGCCCAGCGGGACATACTGCGGGAGGCAGGCAGGCTCCAACCGTTCACGGTATCTCAGACGGGCGGAATCAACTTGTGTGGCTGGCGAAAGGCGCACGTCCTCGATCCATACTGTTAGGACCATCGCGTCGTTCTCGGACAACTGGAAATGAACGGCTCTCGACCGATTCGATGCCTTGTTCTGCGCCAGGTCTGTGTTTTCACATTAAAAACCATACTGAGTAGGAAGGCTGGAGGTAGATCCATCACGATCTGAGGCACTCTGAGCCCACGAGAGTCTGCCCCATCAACACATACTTTGGCCTGGAACGGGGATGGAACATGGACCTCTCTCCCTTTCCTAGACAGATTATCGCATGCCGTGACGATGCACTGCCCAACATGAACCTTAATGACCGATCCGATTTTGGCCATAGCGCACTGCTGTGGCGGGCAGAGCGCGGGGTATTTCCCGCCAACAGCGGAATCCGACAAACAGACTCATCTTCCATCCTCTAGCGGATTCGTTTCGGCCGATTCCTGACTCGGCATGTTTCCTCTATTTGGCTGGGAATAGCATGTCTTGGCGTTTGGGAATCAACACTTTCTCCTTGGATTATTTGTCTACAGTCTCTTGACGGATGAATGGAGAGCTGAGCCGCATCTTTTTAAACTACGGTCCATTCCTTTTCTTTTCACTCTGAACTTTTGGCGCCCTTTGCCAGATCCGAATTTGTACTCTTGTTGTCCGGTAACAGTACCCCCTACACAACGCCTTTCCCCATGACATCGCCACATAGCGGTGCAGCTACGTCGATTATTCAATAATAGCGGAGATGAACGAGTCGCCAGATCATTACGATTCTGATAATTCGCCCTACTCGATCCGTCCGCTGCCACTCGTCCTTCGCAATGGCCTCGCCGTGGTGGCAACAATGGGTTTCCTCTCCTTCTTTACTAGCCTCGGCTTGTTAGTGTTCCTGACATTCAAGCTGGTATCATGGCATAACGGACCGCCCAAGCAGAGGAAAGAGGAGGACCAAGTCACGAAAGTCGAAGCGCCAACAACAGCAGACGCGAAACTTGTTATCCCGAACAACTGGCTTGCCGCTACTGAGGCTGCCGCCGAGAGGGCTGCAAAAGAGAACTGGTGGCGAAGGGCGATAAACGAGCCGCCGAATCAATTTCTCGTCTTAATCTTCAACTTACTCCTTGCCGACATTCAACAGGCGTTGGCGTTTCTACTGAACGCCAAATGGCTCACGAAAAATTCGATCGAGGTCGGCACGAAGACTTGCTGGACCCAGGGTTGGTTTGTGTCGACCGGCGACTTGGCGTCGTCCGTCTTTATCACGGGTATAGCGATCCACACATATGTGTCGATCGTTTCAAACAAGAAAATCCCAACCTGGATTTTCCACACGGCCATAACTATCATGTGGACATTTGTTTACGGAACAGGGATCCTTACTGTTATCATTACAGGACATGGGAAGGCCGAGGCCGGCCTTTATGTTAGAGCCGGTGCATGGGTAAGCCGCAATAGTCTGCATTTCCAGGTTTGCTGTACTAACGCTGTCACAGTGTTGGGTCAACTCCAAATACCAGGACATCCGCCTGACTCTCCATTATCTCTGGATCTTTGCTGCATTGATCGTCACTACCATGATATACTTTGCAATTTTCCTGCATTTGCAGAGAATAGCAAGGAAGAGCGGTGGCGTGATCTCTTGCGGCGACGTTGCTGGGCGCGAGTCAAGTTTGTCCAGCTCTGACGGAGCCAGTCCATCAAGTTTCAGTGTCACAAACTCGACGTGGAAGACGGGAAGCGTCCGCGACGGCCAAAGATCCCGCATATGGCGCCCTGTAGGCTTGACAACGGTGTTAAGACGGCTCCCAGACATACCGGATTACGCCCGCCAGCACACCTTTCTCTTGTATCCTTTCGTATATGTCATTTGCACCATGCCTCTGGCGGCAGGCCGTCTCGCATCCATGGCAGGCCATGAAGTCTCTCTGGCCTACTTTTGTTTCGCGGGAGCTATGATAGCTTGTAACGGCTGGATGGACGTTGTCCTCTACTCCTCGACCCGGCGATCCATCGTATTCTCCGCTGATGGACCACCCACGCAAGAAGTGGGCTTAGAAACATTCGCATTCATGTGCAATGCACCACCGAGATTCGGCAATATCACAACTGTTATCAGCGGAGCAGATCCCAACGGGAATAAAAATTGCAGCAAGTGGAATGACAAACTTTCTCGGAAGGGGCCTAAGTCAGGCAGCCTCAAAGGGCTTACAGTCGATTGCAATGAGAGCACAGAAAGCATGAGGGGATTCGGCATGGGAGAGGGCTCTATCATGGGCATGGCTATTCAATGCGAGAGAACCACGACTGTCTCCGTGGAGGAGGTCAACACACCGACACCTCCCACAAGAGCGAGATTTGCCTCTTGGGATAGAAAGATGAGCGACGCTAGTTTTTTAAGCATCGACTCATTTCAATCATCAGGGTCGGGCTCTATAAAGGAATGATAAATGTGTTTTATTGGAAGCAGAACAAACGGACTATCTGGAAAATGACCAACACTTCTAGATGTATGTATATATGAACAACAGAGCAGGCCTCAGTCGCCTGGCCTCACAGCTGGTCGCCAGAGCTATGATATACCCTAATATGATACTCATACACGGTATTGAGTTGTAACAATACGATGAATACGATGAATATGAAAATTTTCCTAGGAGGCCGGATGGTGCAGGAATTCTTCTTGCTGTGATATGCGTGCTGTCACAAAACCAACCCACTTGACCAGCGGCTCTGCTTGAACTTTTTCTGCGTGCTCTAACAGAATGATCACTCTTGTTAGCCTCCTTTGTATCGAGCTGACCACGAATGGTAGACAATCAAAGCTTGGTTCTTAAGCTGGGTCCATGAGACGGAGGGAACATCGCCGCCTTCCCAGAGCCAATGGGGAACTTCCCTGTTCAATTAGGCCGGTCTATGTTTCGTGCCCCACGGATCCGCCTCTCCGTAGACAGCTCGGTCTGAACTTTTGTGGGATGGCCGGTCGGGCTGGAGTGTCAAACATATTTACGGTGACCGCTGACAGCTGAGAGCCGGAAACGGTCGATGTTTGAGAAAAGGCGGCATCCATCCCAGGGCGGTTTTGACGTTGCCGGCTGAAAATAGACTTCCGATATGGTTTCGGGCTGTTTAGTTCAATACTGCCCCTTTGTTGATCGATTCCAACGTGTTGGACTAACAGTGGATGAGCCGCCGAGGCGACAGCTGACCGTACCCATGGCTATACTCACGGACGTAGAATGAAACATTGAAAAAGAGAAAGAAAAAAAAAAAAAAAAAACACTTGCCACTGACGTTACCTGTGAGTATCGACATTATAAGCTGTATGTCCAGCAGTTGACGGAGTTCCGAACGGACGTCTGCGACTTGTGAAGGCCCGCAAATCTACTGTCACGATGTGATTTAAGGCGTTAGTTGTGTTGCTGCAACTAACGGCGTCGGTTTTAGCACGACATCTACAAAATCAATACGACATTCCAGAGGGGCACAGCGGAGATGAGAAACACTTTGTGATGTCAGGTGTGAGGAAAAGTTGTGCCAGTGTAGTTCTGAAGGCCCAAGATCTGGGTCTGTGCCACCAACTGAAGCGGTGAAGCCTCACTTTGGCATCTTGAGACGACGAGCGGCCGACGTTTCATAAGGCAATTGTCAGACTACAAGCCCACCTGATGATGAAGCTTGGTAGGAATTTCGGCCGGATAACGTACCCGTTTATTTATGAGGCATAGAAATTGACAGGTAGTCCTCAGTCGGATATATCGACGCTGAAGGAGTATTGAATGCTTCCTGGTCGCCCTCTGTATCAACTTGACCAGAAACACCTCAAAAAGGACAGACGTATTGGTAATAAGAATATAAAAGCTTTGGTGGGGGGAGGGGAGGGAGGCCGGACGCTTGTCTACCAGGAACAACAAAGCTAGTAAAGTTATGTGAGTTTACTGGCAAAACGCCACGTCATGAGACACACAAGAGGTTCCATTCTATATTAGGAAAAAGAACGAAAGAATGGATACTAGACGAAAAGAGGCGTCAAATGAACTAGGCCACGTTCTGATGTACGGGGATGCAGATAGGCCAGTAACAGGCAAAGCTAACCAGCCCTCCGATTATATGGATTCAGCCAATCAAGTGAGCTTCAACGTCTGGAAACTAACTACTGTTCTCTCGCGCCTTCACAGTAACACCGCCGCCCTTCTCATCGAGCATCTTGTCTGCCACCGCATTGACCCTGCCAACTTGAGCATCGTCTCCATCAAAGAGCAGGGCGATCTGCTCCAAGCTAGGTCCTTTGGTCTGTAGGAAATCAGCGCTCAGTATTTCTATCGAGATGCCCGGAAACTACTCACCTCCGGGAACACCAAGTACACGACAACGAACTGGACGATGATCCAGCCGACGTAGAAAAGGTAAAATTTCCAGGACATGGCCGCGATGCCAAGCGGGTTTACGTAGGTGTTGAAAGCTCCGCAGATACCCGCCACGAGAGAAAACATGGCCATGCCCTGAGCGCGGATGGTATAGGGGAGAATCTCGACGACTAGCAGCCCATCAGTGCTCTTACTCTTTCCACGTCGTATAGGAAGCGAGTACACCTACTGTATAGCATTTGCGCGCCCGTCCATCCTAGGTTGTGCACACCGCTGTACAAGTAGATGAAGGCAACAGTGGTGAAGCTGGCGTGTCGGTTGCCCGTCTCGACATACGCTCCGGTGGTGGCAGTGATGACGACAAACACAACCCACATTCCAGCCATACTGACCAACATCAACGGTCGACGACCGACTCGGGCAGGAAGAAACGCAAAGGCAAACGAGCACGCGAAGCTAAACATCTGCGAGGTCGCCGTGATGAGCGTTGTCTCGATTTGTTTCGTGATGCCGGCGCTCTTTAGCATGGATCCGAGGAAGTATGAGATCAGCCCGTTGCCGCTCCATTGTTTACAAATCCCGCACCAAATAATGATGAAGGAGCGCCATCGGTTGCCCGGCGTCGCGAAAAGAGCCTTGAGGTGGAACGGGTGCTTGTTCTGCGAGATCTCGGCCTCGATGGTATCGCGGATTTCAGCATACTCGTGCTGCACGACCACGTCGTCAACGTTGCCGGCGCCGTGATACTTGGTGAGGATTTCGAGCGCCGTCTGCTCCTTGCCTTTGCTGCAAAGCCATCGAGGCGATCTAAATGACGGGGTTTCAGATGGCATGATGTGTTAATGTTCCCGGACGAGCTTACTCTGGAAGAAACAAGAGACCGCAAAGCACCATCGCTGACGGGGCCGCTTGAATCAACGTCGGTGTTCTCCAGGCCCTGTCAGAGGTTTTTTAGTGAAGACTCTCGTCGTGTGCGCAACAGTTTCCCCATGCCGGCGAAAACTGACCATGTGTCCTGGATCCGGAAGCTGCCAAAGGCAACCCACGCGGCGAGGATGGCACCGACGCTGTAGGTCGTGCTGCTGAGCGCCGTCGCCGTCGCCCGGTGTGCTGGGTACGCCAGTTCAGTCATGAGCACCGTCGAGACAGAGGAGCACATGACTCCGCCCATGCCGAGGAGAATACGGCCGGCGACAAAAGCTCCGGTGTTGGTGGTTGCGGCGCAGATGGCGGCCCCTCCGACGCAGAGGAACGAGCCCACGGCGATGGCAAAGCGGCGGCCGAAGCGGTCGGCGACCAGTGGAATGAGCACAACCCCGAGAATGTTGCCGACCCAATATGATGCGCTGAGTGCGCCGAGGATGCTCTTCTGCGGGTGGTCAAAGTCTTGAGCCGCGTCAGTCAGCGGTCGACGGGCACGAACGAGAGTTGGTTGCGGCTTGCCTTCCTGCCATTGATTGATCTGCTGCAAATTGTTGATGAGCGAGCCGTCAAACCCGTGCGCGACATCGCCGAAGAGGAGGAAAAAGAGACCGAAGTTGAGGGGCCTGAGGCCGGGATCCTTTAGCCATGAGACAGTCTTTGTTGTCGTCGGCGTCGTTGACTCAAGAGCGTGGCGATCGTCGCTGTTCATCAGCTTGAGATTACAGCCCATGGTTGTGGATTCGCTTTCCCTTTTCCCGATGCCACTGATCTGCTAGAGGAAGAGACGAGCGGAGATGATGGGCGTGACTCTAGTGACTACATATTCAATGGACGCCCACGGTTGTTTATATCCAACCCCGCTGATCGTTGCTATCTGCATGAGTCCCTGCCAGTCTTGTTTGCTCGAATGGTTCCATTCAGACTTCTGTCCTAGCTAGTACCGGTCCATTGACAGGGAGAACAATGGTACCGAACGCGGGGAAACATGGGGTCAGCAACAGGAGAGGACCATGGGGTAAACTCGATGCGAATAGAGACAACTGCGGGGAAACCCTGGTTCGGCGGGCTAGATTCTCACTGCCGTTCACATATGTTTTCATGGGCTAGCTCGACTGTACGACGTGAGATCGGGCGTCGCCAGAAGCGCCGGAGTGCTTTGATAGGCGATGACTGTCGGGAGAAGCTTCGGGGTTCGCGATCCTGACGGCGCATCGGGGGATTCGTCGCGCGGGGAACCGTCCATCGCGTCATGGCTCGGCTCCATTTTCCCCGAATCCAGCGGAAAGGATCGCCATACGTCAGTCACGATGAACGCCGCATAGAGGGGCGGGGGGTCGTCCTCCGCAAAGCACGGCTTTCAACCCGCCGGCTGGATAGACTCGAAGACGAAGCATCCCACACGGACGAAATGGACCCCAAACTGAAGTTCGTCGCCAAGTCTGAGTTGACGCTCGATGCGCGGCGGGAGCACCGGATCAATGCCAACTCGTTCCAGCAAGATGCGCTGACAACCTTCAACGGTTGGCAGTACGCCTGTTTCTACACGCACAAGGACGCGTCCGGCCGTGTCCTCTTCGTCAGCCTTGCGCGACGCTCAGTCAGCCAAACTCTGGGTAGCTGGGAGACGTTAACCTTTGACGACTACGAGCAGACGGCGGACGACGGGCATAACACCATCTCCATAGGTATCTGTGCTGGGGATGGATCGATTCATGTCTCGTTTGACCATCACTGTGACCCGTGAGTTTTACGGCCATCCCATCTCATCCCATCTCGTAGAGCCCCGTTGACGAGTGGGCGTGGCGCAGTCTGCACTACCGCATGTCGATACAAGGCGTAGCAGCGAACCCGGAAGAGCATGAGTGGAAGCCGTCACTGTTTAGCCCGACTCATAATCAACTGCCGGGATACACACGCACTGGTCAGCTAGGCGTCGAGAAGCTCTTCTTAGAGACGACTTATCCTCGTTTCATTCGAATCGAAGATGACCTCTTCTTGACCTATCGCATTGGCATGTACGTGCACCGGTATCGCTATACGCTGATCCGAAGACGCCGCTGACTGGCATGCAGAGCTGGAGCAGGGTCCGATCACCTCTTTAAATACAGCAGCAGACCCCAGTCGTATTCATACATCGGACAGTTTCTCACGGGTGTCCAGAACAATCCATACATCAATGGCATATCGTATTCCAACGGCCGCATCCACGTGTCCGGGACCTACCGCGGGTTTGTCTGGTACGAAGGCGTCGACGATCCGGAAGCGAGGCTGCACACGGTTCAGGCTGGTCCCAACGGTCCGGAAAACAACCACAATGTAGGTTTGTGGTCGCGCCCACCCCCCCAGTGCAAGACTTGACTGACCTCAGACAGTTGTTCTACGTATGCAGCGATGACGGTGGTAAAACATTCAACAACACAAAGGGCGAACGGCTCGCGAATCTGGAACTTGGCGAGACAGTCCTCCCCGACGGCGACGGGCTGATCGTCTTCGACATACCCACGAACAGCGGCATCCTGAACCAGGAGGCACAGGCGGCCGACGACAGCGGCGGGTTCCACGTCTTGAACCGCGAGAACGAAGTCTGGATGCACTACTATCGGAGTCCGCAGGGGAAATGGAGTCGACACGCGCTGCCTCACCTCCGGCCGACGCGAACAGGAGCACGTGGGGATGTCATCGCACTGCCGGGGAAGAGTATGGTTGTGTTTGCTTTGCCAGGAAATCGGGATGACAAGCTCACCGTCCTGGGCGCCCGGCTGCCTCTGGAGAACGTCCCGACCGAGGAGGCGAGGCTGGAGTATGCCACGCTCTGGGAAGGCAACGGGTACTCCGGCGAGCCGCAGCTTGAGACGTTCGAGTCGGGGTCGCGACGGTTGGTCTCTGTCTTCACACGCACAGAAGAGCAGGAAAGAAAGGTGGTGGTCTTGGACTTGGCTGTGGAAGAGGCTGCTTGACGTGCTGTCGATACCACAAGCTTCCTCCAACTCTGCTGCTGACGCCAAGACAAAAAGAAAAAAAGAAAAGAAAAAGAAAGGCATGATGAGAAAGTCGGGAAATTACAGGGACTATCCGGCACCCTGCATTGTTTGCTGTACCGCTGACACAGACGTAATACTCTACTCTACTTGAAAGTTGACGTAGCACAGGCAGACAAAAAGAGTGGAAGAAGAAAACTCCCCCTAAGACGGACCGTACTAGGCTATGTTTGCCTGATGCTAAGAGGCGCAAATCCGGCGAGGCGGTGTGGATTGCGTTTGTCCGGATAAAGCAAAGATAGAGAGCGCAAGAAATGCCTGTTGGCACTTCGAGGGTGAGACATTTGAAAGATCGCCATATCCGAGGCCCCGTTTCTCGTATTCCACTCGAGTCCATATGGCGCTTATCGCTCACAAGTGCATGTTAGAGGCGTGTCAGTCAAGAACATTTCACTCGCGCCGGACATCGTGGAGGCAGCCAACTGCTCTGCTCTACGGAGTACTATCTATTCTAACCACGTCCTCTCGGGCAGCGCAGCACGTGCATCGCAACACGGCGTCCGCCCTGGACATATCAGACATGGGACATCGCCCTTGTGTATGCTGTGCCTAGTGAAGGACGGGAATAGGGAATCGATTGGACATGAGGGGTCGAGTGAGGCGATGCAGAGATGCATGCTTGCCCAGTAGTTATTCTCCAGACCCCATCTTACTGCTGCAAGGCCCAATGTCGAGCAGCCCGACCGCATACGAGGCCAGACACCAGACAAGCAAACGATCACAAGACTCTTAAGAGACAAGACGGCCGAGAGAAACCCGTTGGATCCCTGTCTCAAACGGCTCGGTCGCCGGTCCAGCCACCCGGTGTTGCTGGGACTCTCATAGGCTGCGGCACCCAGCCCCGGCCCTCTTCAAGAGAGTCAAAATCTCTCTTCATCCCGCCCAGCAACCAGACCAGCCAACTCAGAGCAGCCTACCGCACATATCGTCCAGGGTTTGCTTTATGAAACCCCGTTCCGCCAATGCGGCGCTACTGTGCCTGAGCTCGTGTTGACCAACCCCTGGTTAGGCCCTGGTCCGGGGACCAATTATAGCTTATTCCCAGCCAATCCGGTTCCATGGACTAGCCAAGTCCCTCACGTCTTTTGCCTGCCGTGCTGTTGAATATTGGAGTCGCTCTCTGGGGGGGGGGAGAACGAACACATGCATGTTCGTTCTCTTTAGGGTCTGCAGTTCACGGACGGACAACGACCGAATGACGCGAGAGACAGCTGTCAAGCCACACATTTCCTCCTCTTCTCCTACCCCCCCCGCGACATCGCAAGAGAGATGCCGTTCCGGCCTACAAGCCTACTCTGGGCTGTGTCCGCCGTATCCGAACTTTCTGCTCTCCTCCCCGGGATGCCTCTGCGGTCTCCATCTGGTGGACATCGAGGTCTCGCTTCTGCACCGCCAAGGATGCGCAGAAGGCAGGCAAAGCATCGCTAGAAGCTCCGCATTTATGCGGTGAGCAGCGAGTGCCGTGTGTTCCTGGCGTTCCTGCGCCGTCGACCCGGGAGACTAGTCGTTCTGCTTGCGTGGGACATGCGCTTGGGGAACTGCATGTCTATCCTTTAAAATAGATTGCCGCCATTCCGAGTGGTTTGCCCAGCCCGCTGGGTATCGTATCTGAGGAGTAAGTTCGTGCAGACATACAAAGAGGGATTCCATCCCCCGCCCGCGAGCGATCGTCACACACACACACACACACACACACACAAGCTTTCAAGCGGTCAAGAATCTTCACTCATCCCACACGTCCCTCGCCCGTCCCCAGTCGGGTCCGTTCGGTCCGCCTTCTCCCATCGGTTTGATGGCCGCACCGCGCTCGTTCTAGCCAACTCGACCTTGACGCCTGTCACTCGCTATATCGAACCATCCGTGTCGCCGCACCGCAGCGCGGCAAAGATGATCCTCTCTCTCGCCTCGAGGACCGCCGCGCCCTCGTCCTCTTCCTCGACTGACCCCGTGGCCGACGACTCGACCGCCACATCCCCCGGGTCCACCAGCACACGGACTCTCATCATCACCTCCACCGTCCTCGGAACCGCGTTTTTTCTCGCCATCGCCGTCGCGGCGTATTTCGTCGTTACACGCAACCGGAGGAGGCAGTCCGCCGAGGATTACAAGAATGCGTGCCTGCGCAACCCGGACCTCACCTGGGAAGAGTACACGCGGCGCACGAGGCTTACCCAGTCGCGCATCATCCTCGCCGAGGAGGAGCTGAGGGACACCATCATCCGCAAGTCCCTGCAGGCCCGGACGTCCATCACCGTGAGCACGGTCGCCCCCGGCAGCCCCGACACAGAACCCCCCGTCTCGCCGCCGCCCCGCACGCGCTCCAGGATCTGGCACGGCCGCAACAGGTCGAAGTCGAGCATCGAAGCGGAAGAGGGCGAGGGGCTGCTGATGTCCGTCCGCAGCGACTGGGACCAGCACGAAGCCCGCGTCGAGAAGACGTGGGAGCTGCTTCACAAGAAGTACCCGACACGGCGGGTGACGTTGCCCGTCGAAGAGGACTATGGCGGCCCCGTTCGCCCGCCCACTATACGCCTGAAGACGCCGCCTCTTCTCTCGCATCCCATGTTTAGGGGCTGGACCGCCGAAGTCCCGGCGAGACAGAGCAGTCTGCCGACGGAGCTGGCCCGGATGAAGCCGGCGCAGATCTGATGCACGATAATACACACCTTGCCTATAATGTCTATTATGGATTAATGAATCATGGGGCTGGCTTAGAACCAGCCCGGCGAGGCGTTTTGGAACGGGGTGCATGTGATCATGTTCATGAAAGCCTTGTCTTCTGCATTTCGATGATATATATATGTATATATTGGCAATTGACCAACTTCACCAACACCTGACATCCGTCCGAGTTGAGGCATCTTGACGGCGTGCTACTAGCGCCGCCCTTCAACATCGCTAGGTCCTCCGGCTTTAGTACGGCAGCCGGTGCGCTTTTTAACTATCTAGCAAGACTCTGCTGTGGCAATAAGAAATTTAGGTTGGATATTTAGCCCCATGCAAAGGTTTGCTGCTTGTTGATTCTCTTCTTAACCTGACGTCGAGCATATGCGGTGCATCCAAATATTTGATTCATGGCATTGTAAAAGACACGAGCAAGTATAAGCACACCACTATCAACGTATTACGCATAACTTCGAGCCCAATGGACGTTTTCAAGTAAAGGACAGACATGTGAAACAAGCCAACAAGCCCGGCTCTAGCCAACGAGGTAACGGCTCACAATTATACAGTCTGGCGACTCCGGGCTCAGATCTATCAATTGCGCTGAACGAGATACGACTTCCTGGATGCTGGCGGCGTCATGCATAGACTCGGCCTCGTTTGTTTTCCAAGCCTCGGCCGCCTCCATCAGTTCCACCGGCTGACGGGAAAAAACAACTGAAAATTCGACGCGTCACAAAATCACACCCCACAAACACTGACGGCAACGAAACAACCGGAAGAGACAATGACAGTGGCCGCTGGGCTGTCTCAGATCATGCCACTTCGGCTCGCCAGGCCGAAGAAAGAAGCATTTGGTCTCAGTTCCACGACCTCGCCGTCTCGGTCCCGGTGAAGAAAACAGCGTCCGCGGTGAGGATTGTACGCGGGCTCTCGGCTAGATGCTGCAAAAGAAATCTGCATTCTTAGGTGGGCACTTGCACTTCCATTTGCTTGGGCCGTTAACCCTTCGAAACGCTACGCCTATGTGGGCTAGTGCTGTTGGACAGCCCACGAGCAGCGTGGTAAGCATATATAAGCATGGATCAATGGTTCTTGATCAGATTTTCGAAATGAGAAAGACAACTCTCGACTTCCCTTCTTCCTATTCTCTCATGACTCCAAGTTCAGGTCAACCGTGCTAACGGGCTTTTTCGAGGTATCGGAATTATGTAGCAACACTCGGAAGACTAGCGTTGTATGATGCTTGGCGATGCTGCCGGGTGCCTTCTGTAGTTAATACCGCAGTAGCATATCTGTACTAAGATTTGAGAATGAGAGGACAAGTTGATGCAAGGCTAGCAGGGCACGGTTAATCACAAGTCAGATGGCTTGTGATGGGAGGCAGGATAGATTGATATCATTCCTTCACACCATGGGGCGAAACGCGGGATATTCTTCTGTCTTCATCTGACAGACGTACTTTTCGTGATACATATACATCGTCTCCTTCATTACTACATTAGATATGCACCCCTATGGTATCGTTATCTATATCGCCAAGATGGCGAACACGCTCAGGGCGATGGCGCCCAAGCTCACGGAGACCATGCTGGCACCGCTCTCTCCGGATGTGGAAGACGGGGCGGCGGCAGATCCGGTGGCGGTACCGGACGGGCTGCTAGTGGTACCGTTGCTCTGGACGATGCGGCCCTCGATCTTGGCGTCGACGGGGCTCCTGGCCTGGACGTACTGGACGAGAACCTCGTCCTGGGTGTCCAGCGAGACAAAGTCGGTGGTGGCGACGAAGATGTTGTCGCCGCCGCCGGCCAGGAAGTCGAGGGTGACGACGCGGTAGTCCTTCTCGTCGTCCAGGGCCTCGCCGGCGACCTTGACGGACACCAGCCTGGAGCCGTTGTTGCCGGCCGGGTTGTACTCGACGACGATGTTCCTGGAGACCTGGAACCCGGAGGTGATGGGCAGGTTGTTGAACTGGTTGACCCTGCTGACGGCGCCCTCGAGCACCTTGCGGACGTCGGCACCCTTGTAGGTGATCTCGACGATGGAGTTGCCGAAGGGGAACGAGGTGAGGACCTCGCCGCGGGTGATGTCGCCCTTGTCGATCGTGGCGCGGATGCCGCCGGCGTTGATGAGGGCGAAGTCGGGCGGCGTCGAGTCGGAGTTGTTCAGGCGGTACTCGTACATGGCGTCCGTCATGACGTTGCCGAGGAGGCACTCCTGGCGCTGGCAGAGGGTCTGGTCGAGCTCGACGTTGCTGACGCCGACGACCTCGGCGGCAAAGGCTTCAAAAGGCCCGCGCCACGCCTTGATCTGCGCCTGCAGCTCCGGGTCCTGCTCGGTGGTGTTGGTCAGGTGGATGGGCCCGCCGTGGTAGGCGAGGACCTTGCCCTCGGCGTCGTAGGTGACGTCGATGTAGCCGACGTACTCGCCCCAGCGGTAGGCCGTGACGATAAAGACGTCGTCGCCGTCCTTGTTCTTCTTGATGGTCGGGTAGGGGCCCTCGGCGTCCTCCATGTCGCCGAGGAGGGTGTGGGAGTGGCCGCCCATGATAAGGTAGAGACCGGACGTCTGCTCGGCGAGTTTCTGGTCCTCCTCGTAGCCGATGTGCGTGAGGGCGGCGATGCGGGTGATGTTGGTGGTGGACTTGATGTGGTCAATGGTGGACTGCACCGCGGTCACGACGTCGTGGAACTTTGTGCCCTTGCCGGGGGACGAGATGCCCGGCGTGGTTGGGGTGGTGACACCAATGACGGCGAGCTGCTGCTTGTCAAAGATGTGGTAGGGCTTGATGGTCTTGTTGAGCTTCTCGTTGTCGGACTCGATGTTGGCGGAGACGATGGGGAAGGTGAGATTCAGCAGGAAATCACCCAGCTGGTCGTCGCCGCCGTCGAACTCGTGGTTGCCCAGCGTCATGGCGTCGAAGCCGAGCTGGTTGATGGTCTCGGCGATCTTCTCGCCCTTGTAGAAGCTGTAGAAAAGGGTGCCCTGGAACTCGTCGCCGGCGTTGAGCCAGAGCGAGTCGTTGTACTGCGGACGCAGCTCGTCGACGGTGTGCTTGATGCGGGCGTAGCCGCCGTAGCAGCCGCGCTCGGGGCGCGTGCAGTCGGTGCCCGAGGAAGAGTACTCATCGAGGTGGGCGTGCACGTCGTTGACGTGGAAGAAGGAGACGTTGAAGTGCCCGGCGGCGTCGATGCCGCGCTTGGCGAGGCGCGACGAGTACAGGTGGTCGCCGTCCTCCTTCGCCGGGACCGCGAGTACAGTGCCGGCGAGGGCCAGAGCCAGCGTCGGAAGAGACTGACGCATCGTGGGCAAAAGCGGAGGGAAAGGATGGACCGCGGATGGAGGCCGGGTTCGGTCTGGAGTTCCGGTTCGCACGGGGAAGTCAATGAAGCCTTCACGGTGCCACGGTTGGACGCTACGCCAATCGATTGACTGAAGAGGGAGAGGAGAAAGACAGCTACGGCTGACTGCGTAGAAGCTCTCCTACGTAGCTTTGAAGCTACCCTAGCTCAATATATACAGTTTCCATTTTTTGCCTGCCGTTGGAAAGCAATCCGCCGCCGATCTCTGTCCTTGCACCACAGGAGTGTGGAGGTGGGTGGTTGGAGGGGAACCATAGACGATAGTGACAACAACGGTGGCACAGAACGACGAGGGTGAGGGGAGGGAACAGACAGGGCCCTACAGCTCGAGAAAGCATCTCGGAGGCCGCTGACTGGCTGGACAAAAACGAGGCAGACCGATAGGAGGTTCTTTTGGCTGCTTGCCAAGAGCTTTAGCAGGGTGGCCGATGCAGGGAAAGCAGCTCGTTCGGTGACAGAGTCTCACTTTGCCAAGAGCCGCGCTAAGATGAGGGACGCGATACACGTGTCGTGGCCCTTTGGCTGATTGGCTTATCAGCGGTCCGTTTGCCTCTTCGGGAGACGCAATGTTGGCCCGGGGGAGACGGGATTCATGGTCAGTCTGCGGTCTGCGTCGCTTTTCAGCTCGGCCGCCCGCTCTCAGAAGGGCGACCGAATCTCTGTTCTGGTTTATGGTCAAGGTTTGCGGATAGGTAGCGAACTTGAGGCTCATGGACGTGACAGCCCATTGGCAGGGTTGTGTTAAAGCCGCAACGACCACGAGCTGCCACTACGTTGTATGAGTCGGAGACACGGCCAACCTTGATAAATATGTGCGGAGCTATTTATGTTATGGAGCACAATTACGAAGTACCCGTACACCAGGGACAGACACTCCCTCGGTAATACTGCGTATCTCCAGGGCAACATGACGTGAGACCAACAACGCCATCGTCGCCCACGTTATGCCATGCCGGCTCGGCAAACGTCTTTAATCGTTCCAGTATTTCCTCTCTCCTTCTGTTTCCATCCAAGCTCCAGTAGGCCGGCGTCTCATCTCTTTCTCTAGGTGGTAGGTCTCGGAGCGAAAGAAGAAAACGGCCCAATCCCGAGTTCACCCTCCCTGGCCACTGGGAACACAGACCAAAGATCCCTGGCCGGCCCGTGGGGGTTTGGACAGGGCGCAAATAACGTTAAATTCAGCGAGCGTCCAATCCTGCGCCCCGTCCGGCCAATCTATCTAAAAGCTAAGGGGCGCTGTCCAGAGAGTCCTAGGCCGAAAACGGAAGGTCAATGTTACAGCGCCTTAGGATCTCCCTGGCGAGCATCCAAGCCATCTCATGCCAGTGGTCCAGTGGAGGGTTTGTTTCGTTCAGGCTGTGATCCCGGCGATGGGGGCCGAGCCTGCGCGGCACCTTGATGCGTAGCCGTTGTTTTTTTCGGAAAATAACCTATTCGCGGGTTCGAGATGGCGTGGGACGCCTCGAAAGATAAGGAACGCAAGACTGATAATGCGCATAGCCCTTGACCACATATGCGCAAGCTATCCTTGTTTTGCAAAAGGGCCCACGAGGCCGTCTCAATGATGGAGTTCATGATATCAAGTGTGAGTGAAGTTATTCATGTCAGCATGTGGGCTGGTCG